GTTGGAATTCAGGTGTAAAGGCAGAAATTATAACTGCTGTCTTGAATCGTGACATGATCTCAGGAGTGGCACACTCTCTTCATGGCAGAGCAACAAGATAGAAGGAACTCAGCTGCCTCCCACCACGGATGGCATAGCAGCCCTCATCATCTCTGGACTGGGTTCTGGAATGAGAGTTACGTGTCAGCTCAAAAGAGATACGACATGGGGCTGGGGATGTGGCTCAGTTGGTAGAGTGATTGCCTCGCCTGCACAAGGCCCTGGGTTCAGTCTCCGGCACCACACACACGCACACACACACAAAGATATGACGTCCTGGGGCTGGGAGTGGGGCTCAGTGGTAGAGTGCTCCTAGCCTATGTGAGGCCCTGGGTTCGTTCCATCCCTAGCCCAGAGGAGAGAAAAAAAAAAACTGCATTTCCCCTCAAAACAATTGTATGTTGAAATATAATTCCCAGTGTGAATTTGTGTGTGTGTTTGCAGTTCTGAGGATTGAACTCAGGTCCTTGCTCATGGTGGGCAGCGCCCTGCCACTAAACTACGTTTCAGAGGCTGGCCTTGAATTTGCGATCCTCCTGCTTCAGTTTCCAGGTGGCTGGGATGACAGGCGCACACCACCACACCTGATGCCCACTTGAGCGCATGTCAAAGTGGGGATCAGGTTATGAGGTCAGAATCCTCACAAATGGGATTAGTACCCTTATGAGAAGATTCAGAGTCCTCACCCCTTCTGCCATGTGAAATACAGTGACAAGGCCATTTATGAACCAGAAAGTGGGTGGTCACCTGACACCAGTCTGCTGGCACCTTAACCTTGGACTTCCCAATCTCCAGGACTGTGAATAATAAATTGGTTGTTGATAAGCCATCTAGCTTATAAACTAAGAGAAAGTCCTAACCCGCCTCCATACCTCAGAATGTGACTTCTTTGACATCATTGCAAATGTAACAAGATGGAAGTCATAGGTTGGGCCCTAATCCAATATGATTGGCGTCCTTTTAAGATGATCATGTGATGATGAGAACGTGACCATGAGGGCAGGGACTGGAATTCTGCATTTATAACTGAGAAACACCAAAGTCTGCCACAAACACCAGATTCTCCTACAGGTTTCAGAAAGAGCACAATCATGACCCCAAGTTCACACTTCCAGCCTCCAGAACTTAGGTATTTCTGTAGTCTTAAGCCACCCAGTTTGTGGTACTGTCACGGCAGTTCTGGAAAATAATACAGAGGAAACTACTAAGCATGTGTAAGCCACTACTGCTTTGGATTTTTCCATTTCTTACAGCTGATCTTAAGCCTAACAAGTAGAGGGTATGAGTCACATTTTATAAAAAGTGTCAACCTTTTCTGCTGCCTCTGGAAATACTAGATTATTGCATCCTTAGTCCAATTTCAGTGGTCCCTTGGGAGCAGCAGAGGTTGTGAAAGGAATGAAGTGATAAAACAGAAGCCACTGTTCTTAAGATGGCTTAGAGAAGCCTCAATCTCTTTTTTTTTTTTTTTTTGTACTGGGGATTGATTGAACCCTGAGCTACACTGAGCTACATCCTCAGCCATTTTTGTTTTGAAGACAGGGTCTTGCGAAGTTGCTGAGGCTAGCCGGGGCCCCTAGTTACTGAGATCACAAGCATGCAGCACTGTGCCTGGCCCAGCTGATTTTGACAAATAATTGCACCTAAATTTAGAGTCCCTATTGTATCTGGTATTTTGCTCAACTCATTAGATCCTCACCAAAACTTACAAATTGTTAACATTTTTTCTTAAGAATGTAAAATGAAGCTAGATCCAGTAGCACAGACTTGTAATTCCAGCAACTCTGGAGGCCAGGGCAGGAGGATCCTGAATTTGAAGCCAGCCTCAGCAACTTACTAAAAACTGAGGCCCAGAAGGTTAAGTGGCTGCTCAAGACTCTTCAGGTGGCAAAAAAACTAAAACCTGAACCCACCTGTGACTCCTAAGCCACTCTATCCCACTCTATCCACCAGGCCAGGCCCCTAAACAAGGAGGGAGAGGCTAGAGATTCAGGAAGCTACCAGAAAGCGACTATGCCAGTTCTACTGTGCTGCTCTTTGAACACACACCCACTTGGTTATGCCACAGGTTGTCAGGGAAAGGCGAGCAGGGTGCCACTCACTTCTGTCAGCATTACTTAACTCATAGATAATGGTGTCATCACAAAATGAAAAACAGCGAATCTGCTCGAGCTTGCCTAGACCCTCTCTGAAAAGGGACGAGGAATGTACTTGGTGAGTGGGAGCTTTTACCTTTTGTATTTTAATTTTGAATCTCGTGACTTTTACTGTTTAAAAAAATTAACACTGAACATATATAAGTTTTATTTTCATCTTAGAAATAAGAGAATGAAGATTAAATTCAAAGAAAACCTACATAATTCTGTGACCCAAAGATGACCACCAGTATGTGGACACAATACCTTGGTGGACCGTTTGGCTTTAAAATGGGGGTCCGTGCTGGTATACATCACGGAGTGCTTGCTGAGCACGCCGAGGCCCTGGGTTGATCCCCAGCACCACAAAAAGGAGAAAAAAAATGTTTGAAAACGGGTTCTATGATAAATATAAAAGCATGATCTGTTCTTCACTACAGTAGCCCCGAGGGCAGCTCCCCGCAGCAGGCGCCCACCTCATGGTGGACTGCTCACGTACTCATCTCTCCTTAGTAACCAAACCCTAATTCCATGTGATGTACCAATCTTGGTTGTCTCTGCACCAATGTGTGAGCACATAATTGAACAGGATGAGATGCGAGTGCAAGTGTCACGCACACCTTCTAGGAAGCCCTCAAAACAATGTTGGCATTTTCCCTTTCCTTTCCTCCAGCTCCTTCCCGCAACTCACAGTACAGATGCAGCTGGGGAGCTAAGCCATCTTCTTGGAACAGGACGTTGAAGAGCACGTTCTCAGGGGCTTTAGGGGATGGCAGGAGCCTCCGTTCTTATTGACTGTGATGTCTGTAGCAGAGATGGTTCTAGACAACCTCTGGTTTCCTTTCCCACGGGAATGTAAACTGGGTGTTCTGGCCACCGTGGTGTATTGCCTTATTAAGCAGTAAGTGGTGCTGGGTGATTTTATTAGAAATAAATGTGATAAAAGGCTTCTCTAGGGCTGGGGATGTGGCTCAAGTGGTAGTGCGCTCACCTGGCATGCGTGCGCGGCCTGGGTTCGATCCTCAGCACCACATACAAACAAAGATGTTGTGTCCACCGAAAACTAAAAAATAAATATTAAAAAAAAAAAGGCTTCTCTACATCTACTGAGATGACTGAGTAGTTCTGAGCTATTAATGTAGTTGATGGCATTCCCAGAAATGCTTTGTGCAGTGTATTCTTTCACTATACTGCTGGCTTCAAAGCAGTATTTTAGCTAAGACGTCCTGCTCTTCTCTTCTGCCTGTGTATAATCCCAGCAGCTTGGGAAGCTGAGGCAGGAAGATTACAAGTTCAATGCCAGCTTCAGCAATTTAGCAAGACCCTGTCTCAAAGAATAAAAGGGACTTGGGGATGTGGTTCAGAGGTTAAGGGACCCTAGGTCCAACCCCCCATGCCAAAAACAAGCAAGCAAGCAACAACTGATCTGTCTACTACCTGTTCCAGATTTTGGTGTCAAGGTTTTAAATTTCAGGATGTTTACAAATTTGCTAAATAAATTCTCAATTTGTACCTCACTGAAAATATTTTTGCAATTTACAGTGACTTTGGCTTAAAATAAAAAGGATTGCATTATGCTTTTTAATTTCAAAAAATTATTTTCCCTAGGTCACATGGCTAGTTAGAGCATCAGTGAAGCCACTGAATTACATTTAGGGTTAACAGTCATTTCAAGCTGCAGGGGCTTCTGACCTCCACATTTAGGTCTGTCTCTGGGGCCTGTACTCTGAGGTGTTATTTCAACTTCTAAAATTCTAAGTGGGATGAAGGAAGTGAAGTACATGTTCCTCTCAAGACGGAAAGTCAAAGGAGAAAGTCTATGCTTTCCAAAATGCCACCTTTCTAAGAATGAACATGGTTGGCTGCAGTCATGGCTCAGAGGTAGAGCACTCGCCACTTGGTTCAATCCTCAGCACCACATAAAAATAAAATGAATGAACATGGTATAACTGGCAATGTGTTGGACGAATGGGACGAGAAGCCTGAATTTTCAAACTCTGGACCTTGAGTACCTGAGTTAGGAAACCAAAGGCTTGGCTCATCTGAGGATGATGCCTGTGCTGTCCTACCTGGCCACACCCTGCTCTAGGTGAAAATCATCAGGCTGAAAAGAAGCCCATAGCAAACATTCCAGAATTCTCTTAGTTTAAAACAAAAGCAACAAAAAAATCACCTGGTTGTAGAATTCATACTTCTGGGGCTGGGTAACTAATTCTTCATTGAATATACTTAAGAAACTTGGAACTAACATTGTAGTAGTTAAGTACGATTTGTATTTTAGGTATTATCTTTGCTATCTACCTTTAATATTTGCCATTTCAATTAGTGCTATTTTATCTTAAATGGGTAATAATCATTTCCTTTTGGTTATCATTTATACTTTTATTTCTGGGCAGGGGTACCCAGGATTGAACCCAGGAGCACTCACCTACTGAGCCACATCCCCAGATTTTTAAGGATTTTATTTAGAGACAGAGTTGCTTAGGGCCTTGCTAATTTGCTGAGTCTAGCTTTGAACTCTCAATCCTCTGCCTCAGCCTCCTGAGCCACTAGGATTACAAGCATGCACCACCCTCCTGATTTCAATTTACTATCTTTACCTCCCATTTATGTTCAAAGAGTGGCAGAGGTAAGGTGTTTGTGTGTGTGGCGGGGGGAGTGGAACCCAGGGCCTCACACATGCCAGGCCAGTTGTTCTATTCCTGAGCCCCAGCCCCAGAGTAGCATTTTAGAATAGCATTTTGGCTGAGTCTTAAGTTCAGTGAAGGGATACAGGAAGAGGAATGAACTGCATATATAGTCAAAAAGAAAAGAAAAAACATGGCATTTACCAAAGAGCTTAAACAACTTTATTGTTGCGGGGCCATGTGGGCTCTACTCTTGGCAGGTGATGACAGGAGAGTAGGAAGCAAACTTGCAGAAGGGCACTGGACGCCGACACAAGCAACCTGGATTGTTCCTACCCACCTACAGGCATTAGGAAGCCATTCAGCCTAAGATCAAGTGCTCTGATTTGCTAGAGAATTCTGGTGGTGGCAAGTATGAATCACAACTGGGAGACTACTGCAGTATCAAAACAAAACAAGAAAAAGCCAAATTAAGGCATGGTAATGTGAATGTAGGGGAAACAGACTACATGGGACAAAACCGAGTGGATGTACGTGAAGCACAAATGGAGGACCCAGGAAGTCTCAAACAGGTGCCTTCGGGTCAAAGAGCACGTAAGGGAACAGGGAGAGAAGGAGGGGTTCTGTTCTAAACAAGAGGGGGGCCTCCAGCGGAACCTCAACTGACAGTCAAATCGGATCTGATGTCAGCAGGGAGAGGGAGCTTGAGATGAGGGTTAGGATCCACCTAGTGGTCTAGAGGGGCTTAGATGCCAGGCTCAGTGTGTAGACCTAGAAAAGTCCGAAGGACCAGCCCTGGGAAAGCACATTAAAGGGGCAGAGGTAGGTCAAGAAGTAAAGATAAGCAGGATTCCAGACAGATGAGGACAGGAGACAGCACTGGCCATCAGTGCCAGTTCTCCAGCTGACACAGGATAAACTCGTCTCTCTCCAGAGGACCAGAAGATCCAGAAGTCCCTGCTGCGTCCGTAGTGCCCACAGCAGTGCTGGCTACGACAGCCGCTGGTGGGTGAGGGAACCAGAGGGTGCAGGCCGGGCTCTACGCACTCACTGAATCTGGTGATTAGAGGAACTCATGGCATGAACCAGGGACCCTCCCAGGACAGCCACCTTCTTCCTCTCTTCCTATCTATCCTCTCTCCAAGTCTACCTATGCAGAGTGCCATTTCTCCTGGAAAACAGAAGGATCTTCAGGGATGTACATGAGTTCATCTCTAAACTACAGGATAAAAAGCCTGTCTTCTCATGTGCCAGTCTCATTCACCCATTTGGACCAGTTCTTCACAGGCAGACACCGTCGTCCTGATGGGCACCCTTTAAAAACTTTATGTGATAGCTTTTCTGTAAGACACTGGAACATTAAAATAATTTTGGGGTTAAGATTAGTCTCATATGAATTATGCCAAATGAAGAAATCTCCCCATCATTTATCTGTCTTATGAGTTTGCACATTTGCTTAAAAATGAGCATCCCTTGAGGATCTTTACAGCTGCCATTTCCACCACTTAATGTTGGCAGATCCAACTATATGCAGACATCAAGACCAGATCTCACGATTAAAAGCTCCAAACAGCCTTGCAGGTTCCTAGGTTGACTGCCACCCAGAAGGCCGACCTCTTGGCCCTCCCAGCCCTTCACTGGTACATCTCAGCCAGGCTCAGGCACCTTTTCCCAGAGTCTAGTTGAGCAGGACTTGTTAAATATGCACATCAAAGATCACAGCAAACAGTAGATGCTCACTAAGGATCACCTGACTATATGCTTGAATTTCTCCTTCAGCTTATAAATGGAACAGATATCCAGCTCTGCTCAGATCTTCAGGGTTTTGTCTTCGTGGGGTCACTGGCTCTCCATCCTTCAACAGGAAGCCAGTTCCCTTCCAGCCTCTCAGCTCTAAACACAACTGGCTCTGCGACTCCTATTTCCTCGACTTCCCGCAAGGCAGAATGGGCTGGCCACTAGCTATGATTTATGACTAACCTGGTGTCACAATCAAAGAGCTCAGAGGAGATGCTTATGGAGAAAGAGGATGAGGATAGAGATGAGGGTCCTGAGTAAGGGCCCAGACAGGCTGCCCAACCCATGGAACCTAAGGCCTGGGGTCTGCTTTCCCTCTGCCTCAGAGGGTCCATCTAAGGGCGATTCTAAGGCACAGTGGTGAAGGACATGATTGGCCCACCAGGTGTGGTCTTCTGGTCTCACAGCAGCCCCTCGCTGGTTACAGTGCAACAAGCATTCCATTCCAGAGATCTTCCCGAACACACGCAAGCAGCATTCTTGAATGAAATGGAGACAAGGTCTTTCTTGGAAGAGTAGTGTCCCCAGAAGACACTCTTTGCCCCAAGACCAACCAGGTCCCTTTTAAGGTCCCTGAGAACAGCAGTCTGGGAGCAACCAAGACTTTCAAAGGCTGACAAGGCACAGAGTGGATGAATGAAAAGATAACATACATGAAAAAAACTTTGGCTTATAAAACCTCCAACCTGAGGCAGGGACATCGGTGTCCACGACATGCAGAAACAGATGACTGCAGCAGAGATGGTCTTCAGAAATGCCCGGCAGCTTCCACACTGCCACCCCCAGCCCCGCTCTTCCCTCCCCGCAGCCCCCGACAGCACACACACAGTCTCTGCAGAATAGTTCAGAGGTTGGCATTCAGAGCCTGTGTCAGGAGACAGTTTTTGGCACTCTGCACTAAATCATGTGACTAGTTCCAACTTGAGAGTGAGAGGAACGTGGCCCAAGCTTGACTTGAAGGGTCTGTCTCACGAAAAATTATGCTGCTCCCAAGACGGCCAGGTCTGGAAAGTCCTTCACTTCTCCTACTTCACTGAAAGGCTGTCCACCCTGGTTGAATGTCAGTTTATACCGTAACCGGATAGGTTCCTGGGAGGTGAGAGATACAAGACATTCAGTTAGACGGGAGCAACCCAGAGGCCAGCCAGAGCAAATGTCTCCAAGGAATGGCGTTTATGTTACTTTCCCCCAAATGAGGGCTTCAAGCAACTACATGACAGACACCCTGGCCTGCCTTCTTTGGGGCTCCAACAGGGGAGCCAGACATGTCTTCTGGGAGCCCTTCCACACTTCCGCAGTCCTGAAGTGGACTGCAGTTCAGAGACCTGCTAAGGAAGCAGGCTTCACCCTTCAGGACTCCACGATATTAGAGGGAGCTCCTTGCTTGGTTCCCAGAAAAACAGACCTGCTTTAAGTAAGTCCCCAAGAAAATCACCAGCAAGGGATGTCCCACCAACGCCCCACTCCAGCGCCAACCAGAGGCTTCAGAGCAAGCCTCAGTGTGCCTCTCCCTGCGGTTGCCTCCCTACAGTCCAGGAGCCCGTTTCCCTGCTTCCCAAGGCATCAGCACTCACTTTGTGAGGATTGTCGAGCAGAAGCATCTGAGAGATCACAGCTGGAGGCACCAAAGGACTGAATGCAGGAAGCTTGGAGCTGGAGGCCGGCTGCAGCTTCACTCTCATTGACTATCAGGGAAACAGCACATAAAACTCATTCCTCCCGAGCCCCGGCTCAGGGAGGAGATCAGGGCAACAGGAACCGGACTCCACACCACCCATCCAGAAGAACTGGCTTCTTAGGAAATGTGGTATCTCAGTTCCCACTACCTGATGGAAGGACCCAAAGCCTTTCCTTCCACCCAAAATATATCTGAAGGGGTGTGGTCAGTGGCAGGCAGCATGAAGAGCTGCGTCACATCTTGGGTACAATTCTCACTCTGCCTCTTACTAGCTCTGTGACGTCAGGCAAAAACTCCTGAGTCTTCCGTTGATCGTTTATAAGATAAGAGCTGAGAATAGTCCTTAGAGTACTGACTCTGTAGAGTTATGTAATTATAATACTAACCACAGAGTTAATAACATGCTTCACAAAGAACACCTTGAGGACAAAAACACATCACGGAGTCATGTGTTTCTGCCTTGAATCTTTTCCTTTCGGGAGATGCCCCTTCCCCTGTGATTAGGGTATGGATATTAATCAGTGGGGCCCTACTTCCCTTAAAAAGGGTGGGCATATCATCCCAACTTGGCCAAACAGTTCATCTCCCTGGACACAAGTTACTGGTCAAAGGTATGCAAGTAACCCCAGCAAGGCCCAGCAGAGCCCTTTGGGTAGTCGATATGCACACCTCAGGCCACGTGAGCTTCTTTTATTTTTTTAAAGAGATAGTGTCTCGTTATATTGCCCAGGCTGTACAAACTCCTGGGTTCAAGCGATCTTCCTACGTTAGCCACCTGAATGTATCCTGGACTACAGATGCATGCCACACACCAGCTGTGAGATCCTGTCATAACAATGCTTAAGGTTCAGTATAACCCCAAACCAAGAGATTCTTAAGCAATCATTTAAAAACCTACCTGGATTGATTCAGGTGAAGTGAGATACATTCAGGAACCCCCAGTTAAGGGAGCCAATAAAATCCCCATTCTATATAATGCTAAGTGAAGTAAGCCAATCCCAAAAAACCAAAGGCTGAATGTTTTCTTTGATATGAAGATGCTGACTCATAATGGCGATGGGTGGGGAGCATGGGAGGAATGGAGGGCAAAGGGGAGGGAGGGGAAAGGAAGGGGCAAGGGGTTAGGGATGATGGTGGAAAGACATCATCACCCTAAGTACATGTGTGAAGACACCAATGGTGCGAAAATACTTTGTGTACAATCAGTGACTTGAAAAATTGTGCTCCAGGGGCTGGGGATGTGGCTCAAGCGGTAGCGCGCTCGCCTGGCATGCGTGCGGCGCGGGTTCGATCCTCAGCACCACGTACAAACAAAAAATGTTGTGTCCGTCGATAACTAAAAAATAAACATTAAAAAATTCTCTCTCTCTCTCTCTCTGTCTCTTTAAAAAAAAAAAACAGAATCATGTTGAAAAAAAATTGTGCTCTAGATGTGTAATATGAAATGAATTGCATTCTGCTGTCATGTATAACAAATTAGAATAAATAATTTAATTTTAAAAAATAAATAAAATCCCCATTCTATCATTAACTAGTCTGAGAGAGAGTTCTATCTCTTACACCTAACAATGTCCCATAAAGGATCTGGTGCTCAACGATGACAGCCATTCCTGAACAATTCAAAGAAGCTGGCCAGTAGCGGACGACTTACCTTTGGCACAGCCACTTGAAACATGATGTCCCAGACTGGCTGGGTAGCAGTGCTCATCATGGTCAGCAGTAACACCTGCACCTCTGGGTGGCCAGGGGCCCCCGTCTGGGAGAAGTGGAGCAGAATTCTGAATCCGTTCCGGTCATACACGATAATAGGAGGCAGGCTGCCTGGGAGAGAGGGACCACCAGGAGGGTTAGTACTGCCACCAACTGCCACGAAAGCCAGGCTTCGGAGGCGTGTCACAAGTGCTGCTGCTCCTCCAGCTCTTGGACTTCACGGTAAGCCAAGACCTCCTGTGTCCACCGAGTTTCCTATGGTCCTCCAAACTGACCTCTCTCCACAACCAACCATCCTAAGCACGTTATCAGCTTTTTAAAAGACAACATCTTTTAAGGGAGATAAAAATAAAGTGTGAACACTGTGGAAAATACAGATACACTGTGGATAATACCATAAGATTTTTTTATTATTATTACTATTGATTCTACTCAGAAATAAACAGCCCAAACACTTAGGCTTATTTCTTTCCGGTCTCTTTCATGACTACATACACACAGCCACATCCACCTGAACATTCCGTAAAGATAGTAAATCTGAAATCGGCTTAAAGAAATTCCAACAGAAATCCCAAAGAGATTGTTTTAATTTAAGTAACAGTGGATTCTAATCCTAATTTGGGGGGAAAAAAAAACATGCGACTAACCAACAGGCCAAAAAAAAAAAAAAAAAAGACAGGCAGGGCTATTTATGTTGGTAAATATTCAGAGAAAAAAACTGTAAAGTGGTATAAATCAGAGCATGCAGAACAAACCCAAATACAAGAATTTAACAAGAATAACTATTTCAAAAATCAGTAGCTAATTTGATAAAGGGTATTCAGCTGACCTCTAAGCACCTGGGGAAATTTTTAATGAAGATCCTTATGCCAAATGTCACTTATCAAAATGGACATCATAAAGATGTGGTTTTATATAACTGCCAAAGATTTAAAAGACTAAAAACATCAGTGAAGTTTGTGCTGAGAGTATGGGGAAAAGGCAACGTTTTTGGAAGGGAAACTGATAATGCAGATCAAAAACTTAAAAGTCGACACCCAGCATTTCCCCACATTCAGGAATATGCTTGATAACCAGGAGACCACGTAGAAAGGCCACCCACGATGTTCACCATACCACTGTTTTTAACAACAAACAAGGTCAGCTTTCACAAAGGCACTGGGCCCAAACACACATCTGCAATCTCAGCTACCAGGAAACTCAGGCAGGAGGATCACCAGTTTGAGGCTAGTCTGGGCAACTCAGTGAGGCCCTATTTCAAAATAAAATAAAACTGGGCTGGTGGCAGAGCGCTTGTCTAACATGTGCTAGCCACTGGGTACAATCCCTATATCACTAAAAAAAAGGAACCAATAAATAAATCATGGCACATCTATTTAATGATATAATATATGGAGCTATTAAAAATCAAGGTTTTGAAGAACAATTAAGGGCATAAAAAATGCTATAAGCTTATAATGTAATAATAAATAAAACCAGACATCAAAATAGTCTATACATACTGTGAGGTCAATTTATTAAGAAGTACATTTCCATACATATGGGCATGAGGCCCTGGGTTCAGTATCCACCACAGAAAAAAAAAAAGGATATTAATAAAATTTCCATCTCAGCCCAGCTGGTAATGATTTAGATGATGATACTTTTCTGCTCTGTCTTTTCTAAAACTCTACAGTGAACATGTTTTCTTGCTTTTAACTTTTTGTTTAACTTTGTTTTGTGCCAAGTATGATGGCACATGCCTGAAATTCCACAGACTTAGGAGGCTAAGGCAGGAGATTGTGAGCGCAAGGCCAGGCTGGGAATTCAGCAAGACCCTGTCTCAAAATAGAAAAGGAGAAAGGACCAGGCACAGTGGTATACACCCGTAATCCCAGCAACTTGGGAAGCTGACACAGAAGGATCATGGATTCAAATCCAGCCTCAGCAACAGCGAGGTTCTTAGTAACTCAGTGAGACCCTGTCTCTAAGTAAAATACAAAACAGGCCTGGGGATGTGGCTCAATGGTTAAGTGTCCCTGAGTTCAATTCTCAGTACCCACTCCTCAAAAAAAAAAAAAAAAAAAAAAAAGGAGGGGTTATATACCCAATGGATATTACTCAGCCACAAAGAAAAATGAATTTATGGCATTTGCTGGTAAATGGATGGAACTAGAGACTATCATGCTAGGTGAAATAATCCAATCCCCAAAAGCTAAAGGCTGAATGTTCTCTCTGATATGCAGATGCTAACACACAAAAATGGCAGGGGGCGGGGTGGGGGGTAGAAGTTCACTGAATCAGACAAAGGGGAGTGAAGGGAAGAGAGGGGAGTAGGAATGGGGAAAGATAGTAGAATGAGTCGGACATGACCTTCCTGTGTCCATATATTATACACAATGAGGGTAACTCCATATTATGTACAACACAAGAATGGAAAGTTATACTCCATGTACGTATAACAAGTCAAAATACATTCTACAGTTACATAGAACTAAAAAGGGAAAAAATAAAACTGTACTTACTGGGCTTCACAGACTCCAAAGGGACAAACACTTGAGCCAGAGGTGTGTTCTGGGAAGCCGGGGAAGGAGCCAAAGGGCCAGCCTCCCAGGACCAACCTGGAGAGGACTTAGTACCTGGTGGCACTTCCTTGGGGATACTTTTCTGTGGGACATAATTCCTACAAAGAAATAAAAAAATATCAAAGACAAACAATAACTATATAGAGAATTCCACGAATCTGTGATTTGGTTTTCTGAAGAGCAAGATGAGGAACTAAATACACACACACACACACGCACTTATCCACAGAATGTCCACGCAAGGCGAGTGACTAACATCCACACAATGAATTCTAACATAGCCCCTAAAGAGGATGAGGCAAATACATGCAAACTGGCCAAGACGTGCAAAAATAAGCCACAATAATGTACTGCCACATGTAAAGGAAAAAAACAAAGACTTTCCTTGTTTTCATACAGTGGTTTTAGGGCCTCCTGTCATAAGTCTCTAGTGACTGAGTTTTGCATGACTTAAAATTACATGACAATTGAGAAAAATCAATAAGAAAACTTCAAAAAATCATCAATTTGCCAGATCTTAAAAACAAAAACAAAACCACAACACCCTTTACTGATGTCTTGGCCGGAATGTACTTAGGACGAGGAGTGGCAGGGACGGGGGACGCAGCACATGCAGTTTCAGCAGGAGGACACCCCTCCAGGGAGAGGCCCTGCTGCTCAGATGCCATGGGGAGCTGTCAGGAGCCAGGCCCTCTGCTTCCCTGGGCAGAAGACTCACAGAGGACCGGGAGACAGCTGTGGTGAGAGCAGATCCAGCAAGTTCCTGTCTGCGGAAGGGCTCTGGACTCCGCCACCTGGAGGTGTGTTGGCAGCAAGGTTCTTCTTTTCTTTGCAGCAGTTCTGACTGGCGACCTGCAGATGGACAATGGCTAAAATAAGGCTAGGGGATGAAGGACCATCAGCCATGGTGGGACCGTGGCCCCTTAGAGCCGCTGAAGCCTGGGCTTAGGACGTGTTCTCAGGAGGAGAAAGACAGACAGGCAGGACAGCACAAGACCCCTGAGCAGGAAGCAGGAGACTATACAACACAAGACGGGATAAAGGTGGAGAGGTAAAGATGTCAGTCCTGGGGATCTGAGCCAGCGAGGTGGATGAGGAGGAGCACTGACCCCCCATGTCCTCTAGGACTATGCAGTAACCCCTCCCTACAAGGCCCTGCTGCCTCAGAAGGCAGGCTGGCCACCCCGCTACTCTCCCCGGGCCGTAGCAGGAGCTTCCTTACCTTGTTCATAACAGGAGCATCACTGATCCCTGTAAGAGAGGAAGACAGACGCACAACAGTCACTCCACTGGATTCAAGCTGGAGGTCAGTGGCACACCACTCTCTAGGACCTCTGGAAACAACTTACACAGGGTCATTCAACTCACCCATGGCACAACTGACCCATACATGCAAAGAGACCTCTCTGAGCTGCCTGGTAAACCTGACTCACTCAAAAGCAGGCCTACGCACCCTGAAGAGACCATTACCCGCTCCCTCTCCTCAGGTCCGTTCTGTGCCTGAGCCCCACGAACACCCACACTAACCTAAGGCTGCCAGGTCCTGATGAAGCAAGGACTGTTCAGACCCACTGTCCACCTCCAAGTCAATCAGGGGACAGTTCTTCATGCAGCCTGCTGGGTTCTGAAAGACTAGAAAAGAGACAGGGTCAGAGAATAACGAGAAGATATCAGACAGCAAAGTCTCCAATCAAGGGTTGGGGGTGTAAGTAAGTGGTAGAGCACTTGCCTAGCACGTGTGAGGCCCTGGGTTTGATTCCCAGCGCGTGCGCACACACAAAATCTCAACTCAAGTCAGCATCCCTCAGGCCTCCTCCTAATCAAAAGACCCTGTCCCCTCAACACACCCCAGAGCCACCTTCCACATCAGCTGGGCGTCCTGACACACAATCTGAGCTGAGATCTATACTATGAAGCAGCCAGAGGTCTGCTGCTCACACCAGAGGTTAGTCTTCCTCCAAAGGTCCCCTCAGTCTGGGCAGCAGCAACTTGGGCTTCTTCAGCTCAGAGGCCGTTGGAGGTTTCTGACCCCAGCTGATCACAGCCACCTGTCATGCTTGATTAACACAGATACTGAGGGGTTCAGCGGTTCAGTGTTCCAGGAAATTCTGACACAGCTAGCCTCCGGCACTAGGAACCACTGAGGAAGACCATTCTTTTGGTCTCTAGCTCCTGTCATTCAGGAGAAGGATTCAAACCCAGGCACCACACAGCCTTCGGCTTCCACAGGGTCCAGCCTGGCCGTCAGTTCACAACGGCTCCTGTGGAAGAAGCTGGCCATGTGAAACGCGTTCTCGCAGGAAAAGAGAACAGATTCAATTCTCTCATTTCTGTGCCACACTCCACAATACTCTTAGAGTCCATTTCTTTTATGGGATTTGTAGACCGCCCCAAGCTAGAAGGGAGATTGCAAATCAAGAAGAGCTCACGGTACACACCTCTAGAGACAGGCACGTCTCCCACTGAGCTGGGCACTGTGTTCCCAAAGGTGACACGGCCCTCCATCACCTGTTTATACAGCAGAACTCCCTGGGTGAGGAGGTCATTTGCCTGGAGAATCTCCGCTGCAGAGGAAATGAGAATCAGAACCCTGTGTAGCTACCGACAACCTCAGCCCTCTCTACGCCACTGCACACAGCAGGCCTCTTGGGTTCAGCACATCCACACCCTCTGTGCTCAGGCCTTGGCAGCAGGCCCTATCAGACCTCCTTGCTGAACCCCTCAGCCCTAATGCTTTTTTTTTTCTTCTTTTTTTGGTACTGGGGATTGAACTCAAGATGTTCTACCCTTAAGCTACAACCCAGTCCTTGTTATTTTTGGTTTTGAGACAGATTCTCACCAAGTTGCTTAGGGCCTTGCTCAGTTGCTGAGGCTGGCCTCAAACATGGGGCCCTCCTCCTGTCTTACCTGTCGAGTCTGCAATCACAGGCATGTGCCACGGCGCCTGGCAGCCCTAATACTCTTACTCTCTCTCTCTCTTTTTAATATTTTATATATATATATAGTTGTAGAATTTATTGTCAAAGAAATACCTTTATTTGTCTCATGCGGTGTTAAGGATCAAAACCAGTGCCTCACACGTGCGAGGCAAGTGCTCCATCTCTGAGCCACATTCCCAGTCCCCCTAATACTCTAAGTTCCCACTGTAGTAGGAAATGAAACTTTTCACCATGTCTACACTGTCTGCCATAAGAGCTGACGGTAAGCACTGGAAATATGGTTCATTGAGAAACTAAAACTTTCAACTTTGATTTTATTAAACAAAAACTAACATGAAACTTTAGTCAATGTGGACACAAATATTTAAAAAAATTCTTATTTCTTTATTCAGTTATTGGAGAGAATTTTTAGAAATGAGCCAAGAACAGTGGCTGAGACAGGAGGACCACAAGTTTGAGGCTAGCCTGGGCAACTTAGCAAGATGTGTCTCAAAGTAAAGTAAGAAAAAGGACTGGATATATAGCTCACTGGTAGAGCGTTTGGCTAGCATGAGTGAAGCCCTTGGGTTAAATCACCAACACCACAAAAAAAGGGAAGAAGGAGAAATAAAGTGTTTAGAGAACAAATTGGCATATGAATTAGGATTTTTAAAAAAATTTTTTTAGTTGTTAATGGACCTTTATTTATATGTGGTGCTGAGAATCAAACCTAGTGCCTCACACATGCTAGGCAAGTGCTCTACCACCGAGCCACAACCCCAGCCTTATGAATTAGTTTTTAAGCCTACATATTTTATAAAATTGCAAATGTAGATCCAGCATTTCCAATGAAATGAAGCATCCAAATTGAAACTTACAGCATAAAATACACACTGGATTCCAAAACTGCATTAAGCACCCCATGGTTAGTACCTACGAGCACATCTCTCTAGGAGACACAGAATGGCAAGAGGACCAGGGCGATGCACAATAACTACCCACAGGTCAAAGTGCTGGAAGATTACTTCTCACGAGAGACCAACTGCTTAGTTCCCTCAAATTTTCTGGCTGTGAATGGAGGCTGCAAATCAACAGCAGGTGTTTTTATATTTAACATGTGAGATATTTACAAACTCGGATCTGTGTACCTTTGACTTCACTGACATCACTGAGAAAATGGTCAGACAATAATTACATCACAGGCCTCCTGAATCCACCTATCATGTATTCCTGCTCCCTCAGTTGAACCTGAATCTGACCCATCCCTGATGTAACTGGCAATATAAGAAATATCATTATACATCACCATAGGGTAGGAGGATACGCAAAACGGAGATCCGGAAGTCTACAGTCAAGGAACCTATTTTTAACGGGTGGTGGGGAGGTAGGTGCTGTTCCCACCTCTGTGGGATGGCCACACACTTAATCTCACGATAAATGTCCACCCTTTTCTAGGCTTTGGATCTGCTGATTCCCTGTTCAAGCCCAGGTAACTCTGAAGTCAGTTCTGTGTCAGCCAAGGCCCCCTCCCCCAGCCCAGCTGCCCCAGGGCCACAGCCCACTCTGCCTGCTCCTGCACCACGGCAGCACAGCAGCAAGGACGCATCTGCTTTGCTCTTGAGGCGCCAGCTACTCAGGGACCAGAACCGCATTACCCAGCGCGTCGTCGTCATCGGTGGTGTCTCCCGCCAGGCGGAACAGCGTGGGCCGCAGCTTCTCACACCTTTCATACACGACCTGGGGAAAGAGCAGGGTTCACACCCACACCTGGGCCCCAGCTGCGCCATTCAAGTGGGGAGCAGAGTCTGGGCTGCAGGAGGGCCCCTCAGTCTGCCCCAGATTCATGACTGACAGCAGTCAGTTTCAGAAAAAGTTTGGACTGTAAATATATGATTTTTTAAAAAATAAAAGTGTAAAGTCCTGAGCTCAGAAAAGAACCCATTGTCTCTGGGGGCACAGCGTCCCCTCCTCCTCAGGCCCCTCTCCCAGCCCTGGGCTGGAACAGCTCAAAGGACAACTCCCTGCTTGACCACTAGAGTCTGAACTTCCCACCCCAACTGCTGTCTGATGCCCTGATCCCTTCAACAAAACGCCCACCACGCCCGCCCACAGGGCTCGCTCCCCGGCTCAGCTGGAAGCCCCATCCTCATCCCGGGACAGCCCACTCTCACACTGCTGAGCACACACAGCTCTGCGCAGCTTAGATTTCCATTTTTTTCTCTCCCACAGTCCTGGGGATGGGGCCCAGGGCCTCACATGTGCTAGCAAGTGCTCTACCACTGAGCTACAACCCCAGCCCTAGATTTCCCTCCTTGAAGGGGGCTCCACCAGCTGACACTCCAGGCCTCCCCGACAGCTGACTCTGCCTCTCTCCCGTCTCTGCTGTGTGAAGAACAGCTGTGCTGTTTAAAAGTCCAACACGCTGACCTTCCTGAAGGGCCCTGGTGCAAACTCACCATGGGAGGAGATGGGCTTTGGAGCGTCTGCCTAGCTCAAGCCCAGCACCCTTCAAAGTTCTGTCCCTACCACCCACCAAGGAAGGCTGGCATGACGTTCTCCCTAATGCTGCCCAGTCCCAGTCCCAGGCAAGTCAGCCAGGGCAGATACACAAACCAAGCTGGCCAAATGGGTTTTACTCTCAGGAATTTGGGATTGGGAAAGACTCTGGTTTGTTTCTGCTAGTCTTCTGAAGTGGAAGGACGGGTAACAAAGGAGCTATGTGAAGGCCATCTTTCTTTCCTCTGCAGAGAAACAGAAAGCTGGACTGCCGAAGGAAGGCTGAGGGAGGCCTGCAGGGGGAGGCAGAGAGCCGAGGGTAAGAGAGATCACGAAACGAACAGTAGCTTCAGGCAGCGCTGCAGCGCCCCACCCCACCCAAGGCCTGGGGAGATTCCTGCACAGGACAACGAAAGCACCAGCAACAAAAGAAAAAAATAAAGTGAACTTCTCTGAACTTAAAAATTTTTGTGGTCCAAAAGATGCTGTCAAGCCACTGGAGTAGCAACTCAGAATGGAAGTAAACTGTCTGATAGGAACTTGTATCCAGAATATATAAAGAACTCATATCACTTAAATAACCCAATAAAATGATTAAATGACAGGCAAAGGCTGGGCACGGTGGCGCAAGCCTGTCATCCCAGCGGCTCAGGAGACTGAAGCAGGTGGATCGCGAGTTCAAAGCCAGCCTCAGCAATAGCAAGGCACTAAGCATCTCAGTGAGACCCTGTCTCTAAATAAAATACAAAATAGGGCTGGGGATGGGGCTCAGGGGTTGATTGCCCCTGAGTTTAATCTCCAGTACCAAAAAAAAAAAAAAAAAAGTAGGCAAAGGATTTGAACAGACTTTCTCCAAAAAAGATATTTAAGCGGTCAAAAAGCACATTAAAGAATGCTTGACATGGGCTGGAGATAGAGCTCAGTTGGCAGAGTGCTTGCCTTGCCTGCAGAAGGCCCTGGGTTCAATCTCCAGCACCACAAAAAAAAGAAGAAGAAGAATGCTTGACATAGCCATCAGCAAAATAAGGTCACAGTGAGCCTCTAATTCACACCTAGGATAGCTGTCATCAACAAGATAACAAGTGTTGGCAGGATGTGGAGAACTGAGACCCTTATAATTGCGTGTGAGATTGTAAAATGGTGCTATGTTGAAAACAGTTTGGCAGTTTCTCAAAATGTCAAACAGAGTTAGCATAATATCCTGCCATTCCAATCCTCGGTATATCCCAAAAGAATTTAAAATAAATACAAGGTACTGGGTTTCTTTTAGGGCTGATTAAAATGTTTTAAATTAGATAATAGTGATGACTGACTGTTTTTATGATATGTTAATTATCTCAAGGGTGTTATCAAAAAGAAAGATTGCTCTCAGAGTATGTAAGATATAAATAAACTAAACTGTGATATATGGCTGTTAGGAATGGAAAATGGGCAAACACTAAGGAAAATAGTTTGGCAGTTTCTTGAAAATTAACCACACACTCAGAATATGACCTAGCAATCCCACACCTAGGCAAATACCCAAGAGAAGACACATGAAGATACATGTTCACACAAAATGTTTATAGCAGCCTGTATCACTCGAAGCCCTAAACAACCCAAATAATCAACAGATGGAAAGAGCAAGCTACATCCATGCAACAGACTAGCCTAGCCATGGAGGGAAGTGGTGCTACCCACGGCAACAGGAGCAGGTCTCAATGGGAGCGTCCAGTGAGAGCCAGGCGAGAACTAAGGGCGCACTGTTACCAGTCCACTCACACCCACCAGAGCTGAAAGGGAAGCCTGCTGATGGGGGTGGGGTGGGGAAGAGAGCAGGGAGGGGATGACAGCCACATTTATCATCTTGATGAGGATGATGGCTTAGTGGACCTACAGACACACTTTCACACACAGGGAGGTTTCCAAGTCAGAGCGGCAGGTCACCTGCAGGGCCTCCTGGTCCGGGGGGGCCTGCCCTGGCCTGCGATATGTGCTCAGCATCTCCTGCAGCACCTTCACGTGGCTTCGCACTTCCTCCACCGCGCTGACTCTTCTGGACACCTTCTCTGATTTTTCTTGTTCCTTTTGGGATAAAAAGGACAGAGTAAGAGAGAAGAAGCCCTGGATGCAGCCTGAACAGAGATGTGAACAGAGATGGGAAGGGGTACCGTACTGCTGGGGCTCAGGGCTCAACACTAGGTAAGTGGGGCGCTCACCTAGCAGGTGGGAAAATACTCAGAGCCCAGAATTCCTGGGGCAACAGCACAGGGTGGGGGCCTGGTAACCTCCTTTGTACTGCCAGCCTCCATCGTGTTGGAAAAAGAAAACTCCCAAACCTGGACTCTGTCCACACCAGTATGCCTGTCACTGGCACAGAGTCACGTCTACAAAACGCTCTGAGCACCGCAGGCAGAGGAGCTGGGAAGCACAAGAGCACAGGGCTGTTCCCAGGCACCAGGCCGCTGCCCCTCAGGGAGCTCAGGGCTTGCCCATCCACGCCTTCCAGCACACGGCTCACACTGCCCATCAGCTCCCATGTGACCATCAGTGTCACATGCTGGTGACACAGAACCGACTGAAAAGCGCCCACCTCCTTAACCAGATTCTTGATGAGCCGGTTTGCTGCCTGGAGATCCTCAGGGTGGTTGCTCTTGAGAAGTCTCGTCAGAAGCTGAAGAATGTGGTCAAGAGGAGAGGGTGACACTGTTAATTCCCTCTGGCCCAGAGCCAAAGTGGCAGCAACAGAAGCCTTCATACCAACAACAGCCCCCACATTACGTGCATTATTTTACCATGTCGTCTGTGATGCTGTGACGGAGACTGTGGCCGTCCTAATAACAGACTGCTGGTTTTCATGGGTGGAGGATGGGAGGATTATGTCCCCTAGCAGATATCTCGCCAAGTCTGGAGCTATTTTTGGTTGTCACAACAAAGAGAAGGTACTTCTGGCAAACAGCAGAGGCCAGGGGGGCTGTGCTATCCACCCGTGCCCAGGGCAGCCCCCCCAGAGCACTACTGGGCTCAGAGGTCAAGCGTGCTGAGGGTGCCGGGACCATGTGCTCCGCGACGGGGCTGACCCTCCACCACAGATGGCTGGAAGACGGGACCTGCTCTGCTGGGACACTGGGCCCTGCCTCTCTTTGACATCACGTCACCCCCGGGGTCTTGGCCTGGGATTTGATCACCTTCCTCCCCCTTCCCTTTCTGATGTCGGAGAACCAACAATTTGAGCAGGCCACAATGGAAGGACAACGGTGAGCGTTGTGGGGGGAGTGTCAGGCCTACTGGCACTGAAAATGATGTGCACTGACATTGACCCTTTCCTCTCCCTAACCCTAACCCTATACCACACATCTTGACCCCACACCCCACAGTCCCCTGGGTTACCCTTGGCACCTTTCTTCCCCCCAAGGTCAGGGGTATGGCACAAAAGTGTGGCATTTATTATCTGGCCCATCCACAAACACACGTGGACCTTCTGCTACCTCATGCCTAAGAGCCTGGAAAGAGATGGAACTCACCACCCTATCTGCCCACACTCTGATCAAAGATCAGAGGACGTTTCAAGAAAAGGGCCCAAGACAAGCAGCCCAGTCAGACTCCGTGAGAGCCGCTGAGGCCGGGGAGGCGTTCCTTACCTTGGACTTCTCTTCGTCAGCATCGAAGATGGAGCTCTTGGGCCAGGGAGAAGGTGGGGGCAAGATCTTGTCCATTGGTAGCTTAGGGTCTTGTTTTATGATTCCTGAAACATGCATTTCACAAGGTTAAGATATAGATATGGGTATGCAGGGACGTTAATGGGGTCTGGAAGCCCTTAGTTCCTGATACTAGGAATGTCAACACCCTTGAAAAGCCACACCCGGGGGGTGACAGAGGCTATGCATCATCTCACTGAGCATCCAAGGAACCACCATGACCAGCAGTGTCAGAGCACAGCCAGCTGCAGCCTGCTCCCATGGGCTTTGGGCTACAAAATAATGACCACTGACCATGACTGTAGAACCTCCTAGGGCCCAGAAATAACGGCAGCATCCCCGATGAAGCTCCTAAAAGTGCTACGTGAGTGCACATTAGGGAAAAATTACCCATCCTGAACCCAGTTCCTTCTTCTAAGAAGCCCAACGTAAAAAGGAAGTCAGATTCCCAGCTTCCTGTCGGGACACTCGAAAGTGGGAACACGTAACTAACCGCCACCCCAACAGCAATAACAAAACCCTAGACACCTGCGATCTAACGCCTTTTCTCCAACCCATGAGACAGCTGAGATCACAGGACTACAACCAAATTAACCTTGAACCTAAGGCGAGGCAGAGCCCCTGGGAGCTGAGGAGGCAGCACTGGTGAGATAAGTTGCCCCTCTGCTCACAGGCCAGCGGCGACCAGGCCAGCGCAGGACTCCTGGGGTTACAAAACAAGGACACAAGCTCTTCTCCAGGGGCTCGAAAAGGAAGCTGGGAAGGCCAAACATTCCACTGAATCCTTCTCCATCGCTCCACAGAAGCAAAGCTTTTAAACTGCTGGGAGAAGGGCGACCACCTGCAGCTCTGGGAGCACTGGAGGGACCTGCGGCAGCTAGAAAAAGCCGAGGAAAAACAACCTTGTTCCCTGGGGCAGTTCATGCCAGGATCACGGACAGATCATACCAACACCCAGGAACAGTGCCTGCCTAACAGAGCTTAACTGTATAGATCCTGCCCCTGCCCACCACCCTCACCCTCCTCCAACAAGTAACAGGCACACACATGCAAGCACACAAAGGAAGCTGGGTGCAGTGGCACACACTTGTAATCCCAGCCACTCGGGAGACTGAGGCAAGAGAATTGCAAATTTGAGGCCAGCCTCAGTAATTTAGCAAGACCTTGCCTCAAAACATAAAATAAAAGTGGCTAGGGATATAGCTCAATGATAAAGCACCTCTGGGTTTAATCCCCAGTACCTCCCCGCAACCCCCCCTGCCCCTCCCCCAAAAAAAGAACATGGAGGAAGGCTCTCTTTAAGATACAGAGCGAAATCTGGGCGCAGTGGTACATGCCTGTAATCCCAGTGGCTCAGGAGGCTGAGCAGGAGGATCGTGAATTCAAAGCCAGCCTCAGCAACTTAGCGAGAGCATGTCTCAAAATAAAATATAAAAAGGGCTGGGGATGTGGCTCAGTAAAGTGCCCTAGGTTCAATCCCTGGTACCAAAAAAAAAAAGGAGGGAGGGAGGGAAGGGAGGAAACACAACAACAGAGCAAAGGGAAGGCGGAACAGAGACTGAGCAAACTCCAGCAAGTCAGCCCCCAACTATAAACACAGGCAATTAGGGCAATAACAAATCTCAAGCCTGGTGTAACTGCAGCCCCCTCAGAAGGAAAGTCCACCTATTTCCAGGGATAAAGACATTGACCTCAGTTTCCATCATCTATCAGTGTGTTCACCTCCGACAAATTACAAGGTACATAAAAAAGCAGAAAGAGCACACCACTGTGAGGGGACACTGCGTTAGCCACGGGGCCACACCTTGCTTCTTCAGCATCTGATAAGCATCTCGGATCTTGATGTCTTCTGGAAACCACACTGTCCAGCTAAAGAGGATCTCGATGACTCTCCCTTTAACTTTTTCTGTGGCCCAGGCCCCTAAGTACTGAGAGTAAAAAGAGAAAGAATTAGAGACTGGAAAGGGACTTGTCCCTTAGGAGACCACCTGGCTGACACAACGAGAGCCCAATTACCTGGCCAAAGCCCCTTCCGTCTCCAGAACTGCTAAAATTAAAGCCCACTGTACATGGGCCTAAGTCAGAGCCTTGTCCACATCACTGGGGACATTCATGATTTTACTAAGGCAAGGGTAGACTTGGGGCTGGGGTTGTGGCTCCGTGGGAGAGTGCTTGCCTCGCACTGGGTTCGATCCTCAGCACCACATAACAAAATAAAGTTATTAAAAATAAATTTTTTTTAAAGATTGATCTTTTTCCACTTCTTGGCACAGAAAGCTGGGCATGGTGTGTGTCCTTTTTATGATGCAGTCTTTAACTTTAGCATTTATTTTCTTGGCAGACAAAGCCACAGACCCAGCGTGTCAGAACAGGATTGGTTGGCTATCCAGAACTTCTGTGAGCAGGTGAACACTGACCCCAATGGGTAAGGTGACTTCACATAACACTTGACTCTGTGGGGACCCCAGTCTGTGCACAGGCCCTTGTTTCTTGGGATTGATGGCTGTTACAGTTAGGAAGGATTTCTGTCTTTCTCCCCCACCCCCTCTACAATCTCTTTTTCTAAAATTAGTAAATTCATGAAGGTTTGTTGTTTGTAGTGCTGGTGACTGAATCCAGGGACATTAGACCTGAGCCACATCCTCAGCTCTTCTTTTTAAATTTTATTTTGAACTGACATATCTGTAACTTGGTAGGCTAAGTCAAGAGGATGGCCAATCTGGGCAACTTTGTGAGACCCTGTCTCAAAATAAAAATGTCAAAGGTGGGGGATGCAGCTCAGTAGTACAGCGCCTGCTTCCCATGCCCAAACCCCTGGGTTCAATCCCCAGTACGACACACACACACAAAACAGAGTTTCCTGAGTGGTAAGGGTGTCTTGTTAGTCACAGGAAGCCCACTTGGACCACACCTGGTTCACAGCAAGAAAGGGGTCAGCCAACGTTGGTCACTGAGGGTGGCATCACTAACTCAGGTGCCAGTAGGAAAGGAGCAAAGGACCAGGCAGGAGGTGGCGTGAAACTCGGAGTCACACCTGGTCACCTCCCAGCACCAGGAACCCTGTGCCTCGGAGCTCAAGCTCCTCTTGTCCACACACCCCCAAATACTGTGCCATTTCAAAGAGTGGGAGGTCAGCTGGAGGGTGCTGGCCAGCGGATAAGCACCCCCACCTTCCCAGGGCATGGGGAGGAGACCATGTCCACAGCAGGACCTGTTCTCGACAGCTAAGACAGGCAGGCAGGGCCTGTCCAGGCGTGGCCTGCTGTGGCCTAGGGAAGCCTTTGAGTAGGACAGAGTCACGGCAGGAGTCGAAGGTTGGGTGCAGTGGGCAGGACCAAGCCCAGTTACTCACTTTGGGAGACAACACTTTGATCAGCTCATTCAGGAAGCGGAACTTGGCCACCTCATTGTGGAACTTCTCACCACAGTGGTTCATACATGTCTCCAGGACCTGTACAGACAGAGGACGCCCATGAGAAGGAAAGTCAGTGGCTTGTCACCTTGAAGCTGAGAGCACCTGCTGGTGACTAGTGAGACCAAAGCTAACCCCTCCTGCAGCCTACAAGGACCCTGAAGTTTTGGGAAAAGGAAACACTTTCAGATCAAGGGAAAAATAAATGTTACCTGTTCAACATGCTATGTTCATGCCCAGGCAGTACCTCAGTGGGGTGTGTGTGTACCCCAAGGTCACCCCACCTGTTAGGAACCCTATGGGCAGGTGAAAATGGCCTGAGAATCACTCACTCCCTGGAGGAAGAAATCGGGTATGCAGGGCCCAAGAACTGTGCCACCAGAGGTCACCCGGTGGCTCTCCAGAGGCAAGCTTGGCCCACACATATCACCTGCAGTCCACACTGATTTTTCAATATGTCAAGTCAGTTACCCACTTTTTTTTTTTAAGTTAAAGATCTTAACTGGCTTTATTTTCAATTCTAGAATTGGGCAATACTTCATTCCATAAAAAAGAGTGAGTGTCCCCCAACATTTAAACATTCAGAGAACTCACATAAAAATCTGGACTTCTAGTTTCTCTTAAAGAAAACAAAAGTTCTAAGAAAACTGGGCCCAAACTCAGGCCTGGAACAAGCCAGCAGGTCCTCGGCGCAGCTGCCTCTGCAGACAGGGCACATGCTTGCACCCGGCGGCTTCGCTCATTTACGCTCCCAGTCTGGCCCTTGGGCACTGGATCTTGCCAGCCTCACTCTAAGGAGAGCTTCCTTTCCTCCTCCTAAAGCGGCTCAGGGCTGCTCTACACGGACAGGTCTGGCTGGGCAACTTGGCTCAGAACTCCCTCCAGCCTGCTGTTCAAAGACTGCGAAGGACAACCTCTCAGATGTCCCACCTCAGTGAAAAGGCCTGGGTAGAGACAAAGTCCCCCTCAGTCGAACCCAGGAGCACTCTACTGATAGACCCAACCTGATCTTTTCTTAAAATTGGGAGCAAATTCGCCACAAAGCCATGAAAAGATAATTTCGGCTTTACTATAAATTACTGTAAATTCTGAACCTGCTTGGAACGCCTGCCCTGCCCTGAACTCACCCATGCCTGGCTCTCTGACCAGAGAGCAGCCCTCTCTGAAACTTTAGTGACCCCTCACAAATCTTGGCCTTCCCTGGCCAGACGACGACCCTCTCTGAGGCTCTAATGACCTTCATAACATTTGATGTCGGGGCCAGCAAAAATGTAAACTACCATTAGTGTGATGCTCGTCCGAGTTTTGTTATCTGTAACCCCCCTTTGGTAACTTTCTGGGCTATAAAGCTGGGCTGCAGGAAAGCTGTGGCTGCTGTCTTGTTCCCGCGGTTTTGAGAGGGAGAGGCAGCCCGGCCGGTCGAAATAATAAGCTTGCTTTAATTTGATTTTAATTGGAGTCAGTGGTCTTTTCTTGCGTCCTGGTCTAACATCTACCTCTGAGCGACCAAACTCACCGTCAGGGCATAAAGCGCTTCCTTCTCTTGTGGAGACTGGATCTTGTGGGCCAGGAGCCAGGGCGCATGTGTGGGGCTGAAGGAAAACAAACAGATCCCAACTGTGGGTGGGGAGGAAAAAACTAACTGGTCTCGCTGAGTGTGCTTGGTAAAGTCACCTGTCTTCCAAGAGCTGGTGACCGAAAGCAGAGGTGGAATGTGACTGGCACCCAGTCCGGGGCACCCACCCCCACCCACCCTTGCTGCACCTGCAGCACTTGAGCTACTACTCCTCTGCCCAGGCCACATCTTCCTGCCCTTGGCCATCCCACCCCAGCCATCAGTCCCAAGAGACAACTCCTAGTGGAGCAGCAGGGGCCCAAACCCACATGCAGCCATGTCTGAGACACACAGAACTCGTCTGTCCGTGCTAACTGCCCGCTGAAGACTGGGACAGGAAGTGGGCAAGGCACCGCTCACTCCGACTGAATACCGGCACCATGGAAGTTAAACCTACACATCAACGACTTGGTTCTTCAGCTGCTATCCAGGGGTTTGGGAAAAAGAATTTGATAAAACCGTACCCTGGGCTGGGGATGTGCCCAGTGACAGAGTGCATGCTAAAAGGCCCTAGGCTGAATCACCAGCACCCCAAAATTAAAAACCTAGCCAGATGTAGTGGGGCACACCTGTAGTCCCAGCCACTTTGGAGTCAGCTGAGGTGGGAGATCACTTGACCCCAAAAATTTGAGACCAGCCTGTGCTACAAAGGGAGACCCTCTCAAAAACCAAAACAAATAAACCAACAAAACCCAGCCAGGCCCAGTGGCACCCGCCTGGGATCCAGCTACTTGGAAGGCTAAGGCAGAATGAACCAGCTCCAGGTCAGCCTGGGCAACTGTTACGGCCTGAACAAATAGACTTTCTTGATTTACTCATTGATTTATTCATTTCAGTCCTGGGGATCGAACCCAGGAGCACTCTACCTCTGAGCTACATCCCCAGGCCTTTTTAATTATTTTGAGACAGGGTCTCACTAAGTTGCTGAAGGTCTTGCAGTTGCCTGGGCTGGCCTCAAACTTGCAATCCTCCTGCCTCAGTTGCCCAAGTCACTGGGATTACAGGCGTGTGCCACTGTGCCAGTTCAAAATAAAATTTAAAAAGAAGAGCTGAGGATGTGGCTCAGGTCTAGTGTCCCTGGATTCAGTCACCAGCACTACAAACAACAAACCCTCATGAATTTACTAATTTTAGAAAAAGAGATTGTAGAGAGGGGGGAGGGGGGAAAGACAGAAATCCTTCCTAACTGTGTAACAGCCATCAGTCCCAAGAGACAAGGGCCTGTGCTCAGTCTGGAGTCCCCACAGAGTCAAGTGTTATGTGAAGTCACCTTACCCATTGGGGTCAGTGTTCACCTGCTCACAGAAGTTCTGGATAGCCGACCAATCCTGCTCTGACACACTTGGGTCTGTGGCTTTGTCTGCCAAGAAAATAAATGCTAAAGTTAAAGACAGCATCATAAAAAGGACACACACCCTTCCCCAGATACGAGGGAGTCAAGGGCTGTGACATCACACCCTCAGATCAGACTGTGCACTGCAGAGAGCGCTGGGAATCACGCCTGTGTTGTTAACGCTGTCAAGGGCCATGTCTGGCACATACCATGCCCTTCCTGAATGTTTGCTGGATAAATAAATGAGCAAATTAATTAACCAGGGCACTGAAAGCGACTCCATTTCTGGTGCAGAGGCTGGCCTGTGAGTGCCCTCTGTCAGGACTACCCCATGCTGGCTCTGCAATGTGGTGGCACAGGGGTCCCTGCATGTGGGAGGCCACCTGTAAGTTTCCTAGCTCTGTGACAGGAAGACAAGAACCTGCCACAGGAAGATCGTCTTGGTTCTGACCCCCCACAGACCACGCTGGGGGCTGGGGCTGGGGCTCAGCGGTAGAACGCTCACCTAGCACGTGCGGGGCGCTGGGTTTGATCCTCAGCACTACATAAAAAATAAATAAAATGAAGGTATTGTGTTCAACTACAACTAAAAAATAAATATAGCTACATATATGAAAAAAAAAAAAGAAAGAAAAAGAGTCACGCTGGTCCTGACGGAGCAGCTCTTTCAGGCTCTGGAATAAGAGGTCAGTGTCAGGGTATTTTGGTGCTATCATTCCTCTAGTCCAAGTGTCCACTCCACTCCTCTCAAACTCCTATCCATCCTTCAAGACACATTTGAATTTCCATCTCCTCTAGAAACCTCCTCTCTTGATCCAACCCACTAATTTTCTTCCCTTCTGATTACTTAGGGCTCCATCCTCCACCCAGAATCAACTGTTCCCTGTACAGTCACACTATGTCATGTGGAAGTCATGTGTCTTGGCCATGAGATTCAAAGGACACACCCATTGTAAATGCCAGGAGAACATGACAAAGGAGTGCAAGGCAATCAAAGGATCAGTTCTGTCACTCCCAGGCCCCATTCAAAGTTCTCTTCAGGTGCTCCAACACTAAGTGCCCTAGCATCCTATCCACCATTCATTCAGGCCCCAATTCAAATGTTAAATGCTTCCCCTTTCATAAAAGCAAGCTTTTCATAAAAGCTTGCTTGATTTTTCTTTTTCTTTTTTTGAAGACAGGCTCTTAAAGCCTCATTAAGTTGCTAAGGATGGCCTTGAACTTGTGAACATTCAGTCTTATCATCCCAGTTGCTGGGATTACAGGCCTGCCCCAGAATACTGGGCTTCTTGGATCTTTTTATGGCCCACCCCTACAAAACAGAAGCCCTCTCTTCTTCCTCAGAATTCTGGTCTTTTACCTTCCCTCACTGCATTTAGGTGGGGATCGCTAATTCTAGGGGGTCTCAGTAGGAAGACAGTATCTTCCTCGTGGGATTGTCGTGTGATTTAAAGTGGACAGCTTCTAAAGTGTTCAGCATAGTTGGGCACAGTGGCAAATGCTGGTAATCCCAGCAATTTGGGAGGTTGAGGCTGGAGGATTGCAAATTCAGCAATTTAGGAAGACCCTAAGCAACTTAGCAAGGCCCTGTCTCAAAATAAAAAATAAAAAGGACTGGGGATGCAGCTCAGTGGTAGAGCACCCTTGGGTTCAATTCCTAGTACAAAAATAAATAAAGTACTCAGAACAGTAGCACAAAGTAATCAATAAAGGTCAGCTCCTGTTACTCATTATGTTAATAGTCTCTGCCTTTTCCTGCAAAAATACATATAAATGCCCTTCTCTACCTAAGGGGAATAAACCCCTGAAGGCAGAAGCCCTGCATGCCCTGCAGTGCTCAGCACAATGCTGCACACAGGGACCAAATGCAGCTGCTCCCTGACTTTCGGTGAGGTGACTTAAGGTGACTTATCCAAATAAACCCCAAGTTGCAAGTTGAACTTCCTGTTGATACTCAAATAAATTAAATAAAGCAATGATTTTCAGACTCTAGTCTCAATCACCTCAAAATAATCCTACATCAGTTAAGCTTCGATTTCAGTCCATTATAAGGTCAAGGTGGACACCTCAAAGTATTCTGACCCCTACAGGTGACTGTACATAGAGGCACAATCCAGCCTTGCCCCTCTCCCTGGCTGCCAGAGGAAAGAGACAGCATGGCCGGCACTAGCCTTTTCAAAGAAAGGGAGAAACCACCATGGAGTTTATTCACCTCCAAACCCTTGACCAAGTTAAAGCAGCCAAGAGGTCTATAAAATGTAAGTTAGATTCTATTTTATTTGCTAGATCTTATGAGGATTTCCTCAGAGTTTATCATCATGGCCCAAAAGTAAGAGAAATAGTAATAGCTGCCATTTTATTTCTATTATTTTTTTCATTTCTTTCTCTACTTTTCTTTCTTTCTCTAGCTGCGATTTGGGCCAGGCAACAGGCCAAGTATCCTCGGAACAACTGAGGTTCGCACCATTATTTCACATTTACAGATGTGGCCCAGCCCCAGAGCAAGAGAATGGCAGAAGCGGAAGTCCAGTCCCACATCTGCCTGGCTCCAAGTCCCTAAGGTACCGACCGCTCTCAGTATTCTTCAGTTCCTTGACAAATGCAGGGTGGGGCCTCTCTGGGGAAGGAAAGTGAACAGTCTCAAGGCAGGAAGGAGGTCTGTCTCACTCACCTGCCACACTCCGGCACACAGAACATCACTAGCCCAGATAGCTACTGAATGAACGAGGGCTCTGTCTTTTGCTGTGCAGTATTTGGCTGGCTGGCTGGACATACTGCCACTGTCAGGAGATGACGATTACAATTCCAAAATAACTGGGTCTCTGAACACATAATCCCAGCCTGCCAAAGCTATTTCAGAGGCCTCGAGCAGCTCCAGAGAAAATGACCCTCAGAAGACCAGCAGCGGGTATGGACAGGCCACAGCAACTGCCCAGGTCTGTCTGACACCAATCCGATCCAAGGAACAGCTAGGTGCCAGAAAGGCATGACCAGGGAGAAACTTAAAGGATTCCTTCTCTGTTCTATGATTATCAAGGCATTGAGATGGCCACTCCAGACTCCACAAGGTGGTTTACCCAGCTGACACGTGGGTGAGACAAATGAGTGCCAAGAAATACTCTGTTCCCATTTATTTGCTTAATAAAATAAGTATTTGGCCAAGCTCAGTGGCACACAGTTGTAACCCCAGCAACTTGGGAGGCTGAGGCAGGAGGATCTCAAGTTCAAGGCCAGCCTCAGCAACTTAGTATTTTTTTTTTTTTTTAAGATTTTTAGAACCTGCCTCAAAATCAAACAAACAACAGGGCTAAGAATGTCACTCAGTGACATCCTGAATTTGATCTCCAGCCCCCCAAAATAAAATAAAATAAAAGCAGTGTTTACATGATTGATTTCAAGCCTGCTCCAGGATCAGAGGTCTTAAGAAAACAGCTGAGCCTCCAGCTGTGAGTGAAATGGCTTATTGGAGAAAGACTAATTCAAAAGTCCAATCATCTTACACCAGCTGCCCACCAACCCCAGGGTCACAATTCCACACTAGCAGCAGCATGTACTAGCAAGGGGAGGCTTGGGGGAAAGGGAGGGAGGCAGTCACCTTCAGCAACAGAATTCAATCCTTCAGCAGTGTGCACTGCACAGGGAGTCCCTCCCCAGGGGCACACATGGACTGGACATCCTGGAAGTCACTTTATTCAGCATACATGAAAACCTGCCAAGACCCACCATGAAACTGTTCTAAGCTGGACTCCCAACAGAGAAGGATGAGCTCAGCCCTGGAAAAACTCAGACTATAAATAGATTGCAATCCAGACCTCTCCAGAGCCCCAAGGGAGGAATAAAAGTGGGGCTGGAAGAAAGGATACATCACCTGGGAGTAGATCCAGGCAGAAGGAAGAACAGGATTTACCAAGCACTCAATTTTTACTAGGCTACTGCCTTCCTGGCACCTCGGCCAGAGCTCGAATCCAGATTCAGAGACCAAGAGGACCAAGTGCTCGTAAAAATAGCACAGGACTGGCAACCCCGGTGATTCCACCAACAGAACTGGTTAAATGGTCTACAGGCAAAGACACAATGGGCATGTAAAACTTCCTTAAAAGGAGTAAGGTGGGCTGGGGGCAGGGCTCAGGGGCAGAGTGCTTGCCTAGCATATGAGGCACTGGGTTCGATCCTTCACACTGCATTAAAAAATAAACAAAATAAATGCATGCTGTCCAACTACAAAAATAAAAATTTTAAAAAAGAGTAAGGCAGCTAGCTGTACATGAAGTCACGTGAGCGATGATCAAAATACACTGTGTGTGTGGGGGGAAGCTGCAGAACAGAATGCACAGGAGCTGCCATTTGTATTTTAAAGCATGAGTCTCTGACAGCTTCCTGATCCTCTGGGAACTATCCCTTCTCAATTCTAGGGCCAAAGCCCAGGTGGGTCTGATGATGGCCTTCCCCATCTTCATTTCTAGGGATGGCCACCACCCCGCCCAGGTCCAGCAATTTTCATATTTTACCCCCACCCCCATCCAGATTCCAAAATGAACATAAGACCCAAGCTGGATCAACAAACAGAATGATAACTTTCTCAAATCAATAGGAAAAATTAATTATTTCTGTTGGGAGTGCAGCAGAAGACAAAGCAAAGTAGAGAAAATTCACATGAAGAAATGGGGCTGCTGGCGGAGCACAGTGGTGCACGCCTATAATCCCCGCGGTTTGGGAGGCTGAGGCAGAAGGATCGGGAGTTCAAAGCCAGCCTCAGCAAAAGGGAGATACTAAGCAACTCAGTGAGACCCTGTCTCTAAATAAAATACAAAATAGGGCTGAGGATGTGGATCAGTGGCCGAGTGCCCCTGAGCTCAATCCCTGATACCAAAAAAAAAAAAAAAAAGCAACCGGAGCTGCCCACTGAGCCCGCCCCTCCTGGGCCGTTGTCTGTGGTAAGCTACTTTACTGGCACCACTGCACTCTATAGTAAGGCAGTATTTAAGTGCTTTACCTATATTAAGGCCTTTCTTTGATCCCCCCAACAATCCTAAAGGGAGGTATTAATGCTGCCCCCATCTTAAAGATACGGTTGCCGTGCTTGCTCAGGCAAGAGCTGTCAATGACCCACCTAGAGCGGCATCCTTCTCCATCCAGCTCAGACCCACCACGCCTCCCTTTAGCTCCCCTCCGGCCCTGCTGGACCATGAGCCTCTACTGTCCCTCCATCCCACCACCAGTACCCCTCCCTCAACTGTTAGGGTTGAAACTGTAGTTTACTTTCTCTGCTCCCACACCCAGAAGAAAAGGAAAATACGACCCCCAACGACCCCCAATATCCAGCCACCAAGATGTCCGATCTCAAGAGGGAGAAGGGTAGGTCTCCCGCTCTACCCAACCCTTACTCATCCCCCTGCTCCAGGGAAATCTGGCAATGTCCGGAGATATTTTGGGTCATCAGAACTGGAAAGGGCAAGTGTGTTACTGCTATCTAGCGGGCTAAAGCCAGGGCTGCAGCTAAATATCCTTGTCCCAGGACAGTCCACTGCCACACAGAATCACCAGGCCCCACATGTCAAGGGCACAGAGAGAACAGCTCTGACCTCAGGTGTCCAGGTGGGCTCCCTTTCACTTCTTCTTCTTTGTTTGGTACCGGGGATTGAACCCACAAGTGCTTAACCACTGAGCCACATCTCCAGCCCTTTTTATATTTTATTTTGAGACAGGGTCTTGCTGAGTTGCTTAGGGCCTTGCTTCGGTGCTGAGGTTGGCTTTGAACTCACGATCCTCCTGCCTCAGCCTCCTGAGCCGCTGTCCCTTTGCTTCTCTTACTAGTCATTCCCGACCTTCCCTACTTTCCTCAAATCCCCTCCTGGCTCAGCCCCTGACACTTCACATGGTGTAGCAATGACAAACTAGTTCACATGTGCAATCATCTTTATCTCCTCCCCCAGACACTCAGAAACAAAAGCTGCCCTTCCTCCCTGTGGAGCCAAGCCACCCTTTCCTGCTCTGACTCTAACCTCCTTCCTGTCACCCTTGTAATCCTCCTGCCACAGCCTCCTGAGCCACTGGGATTACAGGAGAGTTGCTGGGACAGGTGGCAAGTGCCACCACGCCTGGCTCCTTTACTCCTGCTAGCTACCCCTGTCTGTCCTTCCTTTCACATATAAACACCATAAAAAAAGGCCATCTGAGCTAGTCGCAGCAGCTCACACCTCTAATCCCAGCAGACTGGGAGGCTGAGGCAGGAGAATCCCAAGTTCAAAGCCAGCCTCAGCAATTTAGCAAGGCCCAAAAGAATTTAGCAAGACCCTGTCTCTTAAAAAAAAAGAAAGAAAAAAGAAAGTGCTGGGGATGTGGCTCACTGGTTAAGTGCCCCTGGGTTCAATCCCCAGTATGACCCCCTCAAAAAAAGCCATCTCCCATACTCTTCCCACAGATTATTCTGCCTGATCTTCATCGGGCAAACAGTCTTTTTTTGGTTGTTGTCGGTACTGAAAATTAAACCTATGGGCACTTTCCCACTGAGCTACGCCACTTTACTACAGAGCTTTATTTTGAGACAAAGTCTCCCTAAGTTGCTGAGGCTGGCCTCAAACTTGTGATCCTCCTGCCTCAGTCTCCAGGCCTGCACCACTGCACTCAGTTGGGCAATTGCTGATGACTTTTAAAAACCAAAAAGATTTCACATAAAAATGGTTGTGTAAGGCTTCCCCGAAAAACTGTAAGATTCAGCAACTTTGGGACATCACCCCAATAAACTGGAACTGAAGAACCCTTCTGGGGGGATCGCCTAGGTTCCAGCCACTCTATCTCCTCTAGCTCAGCTGCCATTTGTCATCCCACCCAGTCTATTTTTCTTCCTGCAGCTCCAGCCTAAGCTTTCTGTTCTCCACTGCCCCATGAACACAGCCCCCCAAATAGCCTGTCTCAACCATTTAACATCTAACCTTTTAAGCCAGGCACAATGGCACATGCCTGTAATCCCAGCAACTTGGGAGGATAAGGCAGGAGAATCACAAGTGGGAGGCCAGCCTAGACACCTTAGTGAGACCCTCAGCAACTCAGCCAGACACTGTCGAAATAAAAAAGGGCTAGGGATGAAGCTCAGGGGTAGCACACCCCGGGGTTTGATCTCCAGTACGACAAAAACCAAAAACAACAAAAATATCCCAAAACCTTTGAGTTACCGAAATCAAAATTCCCCCTTCTTCCAAATTCTACTCCATTTTTTAAGCAACAAAACTACCTACCAACCACACCCCTCCTTTGTCACCTGTGCCCTGCCCCCAACCCCCCCCCCCCCTGGTTTTTCTGCTCCATCCTCAGTCTGCAGACTGCTCTCCCTACCTGCCTCTTCAATGTTGGGATCCCCCCCCCACGCCCATGCTCTGTCTCCTCTGTCTCCAAACCTCTGCTTTTCCTCCCCTGCACAGCCTCCCTGGCAAGCTCACTGTCAAGGAGCCAAGACTCCCAAATCACACCTCCTGCTCCTATCCTCCCTGGAGCCAACCGCCTGGAAAGCTCCTCTTCCTGGTGCTGCAAGCACTTCAAACTCTAAGGTCTTCCTAAAGCAGCTCTTCCTAACAGGTGAGAAATAGGTGACAACTGGGACCTGGTGTGACACCTGGGATCCATTCTACAATCCTCCTATCTCTTGCCTGCACTGCAAAGCAGACACTGCTGTTTCTCCTCTCCCTCCCCATTGCCTTTGTCTTAGCACCCTGAGCACCATCAAAAGAGCTTTTTATGTATGGCCCCTGCCAGAAGTCTCACCCTCTCTAAACAATTCAGCTCCACATGCTGCAGGCTTTCAGGCTTACTTGACCACGGATTCTCCTGTGGAAAAAATTCCTCAGCTACCCACCCCATGGTAAAATATCAGTTCCCTTCTGCAGCATACAAAATCCTTGTGGATCTTACACCAATTAGCAAACGAGTGTGCACCTCCTTCCAGATTCTCCGCTCCTTAGGCTTAGCACTTCAGCAGACTGACCTACTAGTTCCCAGAATGCTCCACATTCTCCAGTCCTCAGCTTTTGCACATGCAGTTTCCTCCGCCTGGAATGTGGTCGCCTCCATTGTCCACTCAAACACCTCGTCCGCGGTGACAACCCCCAGGTAAACAAACCGAATCCTCCCACCGCACGCTCACAAACGCCCTTCCCCGCAGCTCCAGTGAACCAGGTGCTGTTAGGGTCTGGCCAGCACCCAACAAAAAAATGCCTTTGTGAGCTAGGACCCTGGGTTACGCTTCTCAGGACCACGGCACCTAGCAGAGTCCTACACCAGCGGCTTTAGGAGTCTCAATTCCTCATCAGTAAAAGGAGGATAACAAGAACCCCTCCAGCCCCCAAGACCACCGTGAAACTTTCACAAGACACGACGTCTGAGCTGGGTTGCAGCCCAGTGGTAGCGCGCTTGCCTACCGTGCGCCGTGCCCTGGGTTCGAACCCCAGCACCGAACAAATAAACAGCTGGCCAGAGTAAACATGCACAAAAGGCTTTAATAACGGCTTATTTTGACATTAAAAGCAGCAGGCGGAAGGACTGCGAGAGGCTGCGTATTCTCCACACGATCTGCTTACAGCCTAAGCGTCCCCGCTCTCAGACGGGGTCGTAACTGAAGCCGCCTCTTTGGGGTCCCAAGGAGCGCGGACGCCGGCTGCAAGGGGCCGGGCGCAGGAGGACAGCTCGCGCGCTAGCCCTGCAGCCGCCTAGAGAGAAAGAAGCACGGCCTTCGGGGGACAGGGCATGCGCGGGGGGCGCCTAGGGCGCCCCGGCGCGGGTCCGCGGCTTCGCCGCCTCCTGGGGCTCCTCCCCCCGGGGAGCGAGGCGACCCCACCGCCCGCCTCCCCCGCGGCCGCCGGCCACAGAAAGAAAGGCCCCGGGAGGCGGGAAGCGAGGCCTCACGTGGGGCGCTGCGCCCGCGCCGAGGGACAGCCAGGCTACTCACTGAGCCACAGCTCCAGCGCCGCCGCCGGGCCTGGGGGGCCCTCAGCAGACTCGGTCCCGGCCGCCGCCCCTGCCCCCGCAGCCACCGCCGTCGCCGCCATGGGCTCGACCCCGCTGCAGTGGCCGCAGCCTCCCCTGCCCCTTAGCTGGTGCCGCCTGGCGCGACCCTGGGCTGCCGACGCGGCAGGCGCAGAAGGCCACGTGACGGGGCGTGGTCAGGCCTGGACCCGCCCAACCCGGGCCCCGCCCCCAATCGGGCTCGGGCAAAGGAGGACATCTCCGGCTCCCCTCACGGCCTCTCCGGGTCTCCGGAGACCGCCGGCAAGGTCAAAGTCAAATTAACCTCGCATGGCCTGCAGAAGTAGGGTTGCCAGATAAAAGGCAGGACAAATAATCATCCTTTTAGCATTTTTAATCCAGGAGGGTCTCCTCCCTCGCACTGTCCCCCACAAACCCTTATTTTCTCCATTACACTATCGACTTATCAGACATCTATTTTTCTAAAGGACTCTAAATAAGGGAACCAAGCAGATGTTATCATCTGTCCACAAGATAAGTCAAAGGGCTAATTTTTACAGAATAATAGGCTGTTGAAACAAATGTGCAAATTTCACAAAACCGGCTTTCCCCCAGTGCTGAGAGCTGTCCTTCCAGCAGACAGAATTAATCCGCATGTCTACAAGCCAGAATTATTTTGTATTGCTACCAGCCATCTACTACTTAGAGGACTGCCAGACTTCTCTGATGAAAGGCTAGACCCTGGCAAGGTGAGCAGTCCACACGATGCCCAATTTTCCACTGAAGGGGGCTGGGGATATAGCTCAGTTGGTAGAGTGCTTGCCTTGCGTGCATAAGGCCTGGGTTCCAATCCCTGGCACCACACACACCGATCTTCCACTGAAGTACAAAATCTTCCCTGCAGTCCCTTACCTATTTCACCCCCACTAAGCAGGGACCTTAGTCCAAAGAGCTCTGTACTTCAGGACCTTCCATAATGCCTGACATACCAGGCATTACTGTATAAGTACTTGTTGAATGTGCAAATGAACAGTGAAAGCAATGAATACACAAACTAAGTTTAGAAGGACATTTCTTGTGCTACTGAAGCCAGATTTAAAGTTAGGTAGTCAGTTAGGTAGTTAGGTAAATGGGGTCTAATATCAAGTGAGATTTAAAATGGAGGCCATGTTGAGAATGAATTCCGGGAAAAATTGAACAACTCTTGGAATATTAATGAAGTCCTGGAAAAGCCCAAGGCCAGAGCCCATCCCAAAGAAGTGTTAATGAACAGCCCCCAGCAAACTTGAAGATGCTGACTTAGAAGTCCTTCCTGCCCAGATTACTTCTTTGGCCCACCTGTGTCCAACCCCTCAGGCCTTCCCACCTACATGCCATCACTGAAAGAACGATAAAAAGGGGAAACAACCGCACTTCCATGGATTCTATCTCTTGGGTCCCCTTCTTCCTCGGGGAGAAGTCTTTTCTGCTGTCCTTCAATAAACTTCTAATTTCCACTCTGACCTTGCCTCGGCGTGCTTCTCTAGTGTTATACTTCAACATTGGGGAAGCAAGGACTGGTCACCAGTCTACAGCGGTAACACTACCTTAATTCCAAAACAAATCCCCTAACCACACATATTCCCATCTGTTCATAACGCCCTTCAACACTGAAAATTATGAAACTACACTGAATGACCCATGATTGGACTGTTTACTGTGTGTTAGATCCTATGCTAAGTACTTTGCAGTTATTGGTCTTAGTCAATTCAAGCTACTATAACAAAATGTCAGACCAGTATCTTTTTTTTTTTTTTTTTGGCACCAGGGATTGAACCCAAAGGCACTTAACCACTGAGCCTCATCCCCAGCCTTTTTTTATTTTTTATTTTGAGACAGGGTCTCACTAGGTTGCTTACAGCTTAAGTTGCTAAAGCTGGCCTTGAACCTACAATACTCCTGACTCAGCCTCCCAAGCCATTTGGATTACAAGCATGTGCCACCACACCCAGTTACACCAGTGTCTTAAATAACACACATCGATTTCTGTCAGTTCTGGAGGCTGGGAGGTCCAAGATCAAGATGGCAACAGACTGGGTTCCTGGTGAGGGCTCACTTCTTGGTTGCAGATGTTCACTTTCTCAGCGACTTGCTCATACGAATTTTAAGGGGACACAATTCAGTCTATAATATCACCCATACAGGGAAAATTTTACTTTAATTTTGTAAATTTAACTGTACTTTAATAATGAAAATTATGTATGTATTGTTTAAAGCATACCCTCTTATGTCACCTGATTTTGGTTTGGGGAAATAATTTTACATCTCTGTAAACTGTAGGTAACTGACACCAATGGAAAATTATTTCTCTCCATGGACATGCAAATGAATACTATCCTGGGAACACACAACCCTCTTCCTGTGGAAAAACCAGTTTGGCCTCCATTTGCACAAGCATTTCCATATCCCTGATTTATAACCTGTTCCCTAGATTCTCCTTTGAACTAGTTTTAACAGCTCACCAATTTCTTCATTAATGAGCTAAATAATGCTTTTAACGCACATTAGTCTCTTGAAAATTCTAAACATCTGGCAACATTGGATCTGGTTTTCCTCCTTGCACCAAATACCTAGAAATGTCAAGAGGCTGCAGTTAGAGAGAACGGTTCTCTAATTGCCAAAGACTACCCTTCACTTCCTGAGTATTTCTTATACTTATTACTTACTCTAAGTACCTTCAGTTATTTAACATTTTGACATCTACATTAGTGTTTTTCAGACTAACATGTATCAGAATTATCTGGAGGGCTTGTTACAGATTGCAGGGTCCCATCCCACATTCTCTAATGGAGTAGGTTTGGGTTGAGGCCCCAAAATTTATCTTCCTAAAATAGATTAAAATAAAGGAAATGGAGAAGGAAGGATAGGATAACATAAAGATAAAGGGAAAATGGGTACTGCAGAAGGAGATGAGAGGTAGAGTGGAGGGATGGTAAGAGGAGGCAATGTAGAACCAACATTTTTTTTTTTTTGGTACCGGGGATTAAACTCAGGGGTACTCGACTACTGAGCCACATCTCCAGCCCTATTTTGTATTTTATTTAGAGACAGGGTCTGAGTTACTTAATGCCTTGCTGTTGCTGAGGCTGGCTTTGAACTCACCATTCTCCTGTCTCAGCCTCCTGAGCCGCTGGAATTAAAAGCATGCACCTTGCCCAGCTTAGAATAAACTTTTAAGGGGCTGGGGATGTGGCTCAAGCACCTGGCATGGGTGCAGCCCAGGTTCAATCCTCAGCACCACATACAAACAAAGATGTTATGTCTGCCAAAAACTAAAAAATAAATATTAAAATTCTCTCTCTCTCTTTAAAAAAAGAAAAAAAAATTCCATTGGAAAAAAAAAAAAAAGAATAAACTTTTAAAAAGTCATGTGCATATTTACATATACCACAGGGATCTCCACCTTTATGCATAGGTATAGCTCAGTTGGTAGAGTGCTTGCCTCAAATGCACAAAGCCCTGGGTTCAATCCCTAGCGCAACCAAAAATAAAAATAAAGAAAGAACCAATCAAATATAAATACACAAGGGAAAGGAAGTCTAGCAGAGGAAGGAGAATGGGGGAGGGGAGAGGAGGGAGGGTGAGAAGGAAATGGGGAGGGGATCATGAACTGAAATCCAGTTCCATGCACCTGAAGGTTGTTGGGATAACCTCAACTATTGTATAACTATAAAGCTCTAATTTTAAAAAGTTTTTTTAATAAATCTTAAAAAAACAAAACAAGAATTTATCTTCCTAATGAGTTTCCAGATGATGCCAACCCTGCTGGCCTGGAGACTACAGTTGAAAGGTTAAAGAATAAATGGACCCTTCGGGGCACAGTGGCGCATGCCTGTAATTCCAGTGACTTGGGAGGCTGAGACAGGAGGATTTAAGTTTGAGACCAACCTTAGCAACTTAGTAAGGCCCTAAGGATTTAGTGATTAAAAAAAAAAAAAATACTATAAAAGGGCCGGGACTATAGCTTGGAGTTAGAGCGCCCTGGGTTTCAATCTACCGTACTACAAAAAAAAAGAAAAACATAAACCCACTATTTTGTATAATTACTATACACTAATAACTATAAATAATATTTATTAAAAAAAGAATTCATAGCTGGGCATGGTGGCACCACCTGTAATCCCCGCTACTCAAGAAGGCCGAGGCAGGAAGACCACAAGTTTGAGGCCAGCCTGGGCAACTTAGTGAAATCCTGTCTCACCGGGGAGGAAGGGGGGAAGGGAAAGCAAAAATACTAAGGAATGATATTGGCCAAATTATACTGTGTGCATGTACGAATATGCAACAACAAATCCCACCACTATACATAACTACAATGCACCAATAAAAAATGTAGGGAAAAAATAATGAAATCTTGCCTCAAAAACTTTTTAGAAAGGGACTGGGATGTGGCTCAGTGGTAGAATGCTCCTGGGTTCAGTCCTCAGTATCATAACAAAAATACATTAATACGTACATACGTACATAATAGTTAAAAATTCAGATTTTAAACCAGAAGCCGCCTCTTCTCCAAGCCTACATTTTTGTGATTAAGTAGTTGTACCCCTTTTAGAGATGGCTTGGTCTCTCCAACTCACTACTCATGTCCCTTTCATTTATGTTACCTGAGTTCCTGTAGGCACCTGAGTTTGTGACACTCTTGCCTAGTTTCATACCTCATTCATACATTCTCTTAACATTCCAGATCATACTGACGGATTAAGTAATGGGCATAATACGGGAAGAGGGAGACGAAACCTGTGGCTCCTGCCCTCAGAGGCTCCCAGTCCAATGGGGAGGGAGGACTATAACAGGGCGACAAGCACCCCGACAGGGTGGGGTTCTGCTCAGGAGGAGTGAGCTGCCTGGGAAATAGAGAGTCTGAAATAATTAGTAAGAAACAGAAAGAGCCAGATATTAGATGAAATAAAGCAGAAGACAGGTCTTCTAGTCCTGATAGGAGCTGGAACTGAATGACTGAAAAATGGCCCTGATTCTTTATTCACACACAATTCACATATGAATCATGATGGCTTCCGGCAAGGAGATGTGAGCTGCCTGAGAAGGCACGGTGGCACCCCCCTGTCATCCCAGATGCTCAGGAGGCTGAGGCAGGAGGATCACGAGTTCAAAGCCAGCCTCAGCAAAAAGCAAGGTGCTAAGCAACTCAGGGAAACCCTGTCTCTAAATAAAATACAAAACAGCACTGGAGATGTGGCTCAGTGGTCGAGTGCCCCTGAGTTCAATCATCAATACTAAATAAATAAAGTAAAAATAAAAAGTCTGAAATAATCAGTAAGAAATAAAAACAGAGCCAGAAATTAGATATAAAAAGAGGAGCCCCTGATGGGTCTTCCAGTACTGATGGGAGCTGAAACTGAACTACTGAAAAAAGTGCCCCCCACTCTATTTAAGGGAAAGTACATCAAAGGCAGGGATAAGGTTTCAGCGGGAGGAGTCTGGTTTGGTGCTTGCTTCTTGGTGTGGCAGGGATCTCACAGTAAACAGGTTGACTGGTATTTGGGCAAGCCACACCCATCTCCAGGAGGCTGTGTGGCTCCAAAGGGTCATTCCCATCTCCAGGGCTGTGCCAGAACTTGAGCAGTGAGCTACAACAGGGTACACATGGATCAGCGTTCACAAACCAGTGCATTCCGACCGGGGACTCCCGAAACAGGCTTCCCTGCCTGATGGCTTTAACATCGCTCAGTTTACACACAGCTCAATTCACATATGGGTCACGGATGGCTTCCGGCAGAGGACCTCAATCTAAATGGATATAGAAGTAGAGGACTCTGACGCAGTCAAGAGGAGGCCAGGGAGAGCCCTGCTGAAGAAATGACGACTGAGCTGAGACTGGAGGGATGAACAGTGATTAATAAGAGAAGGGGGGGGGGGATCAGGCAGAGGGATCAGCACACGCAAAGCCCTGTGATGGGGAAGAGCAGGGCCCTCTGGGGATCTGGCACCCACCCATCTCCAGCACCTCGCACTGTGCCCCAGGTCTCCTCCTGTGTGCTCAGGCAGCCCTGACTGCCATTTCCTTTGCTATGTTGTGAGGAAGATCCGTCTTGCCTTTCTGGAGAATGAGCTTTTATAGGCAATGACCTGTCTATTTCAATGAATGTCTGGTACTTAACTGGCACAAAATGATTATGGTGGGCTGGGGATGTGGCTCAAGCGGTAGCGCGCTCGCCTGGCATGCGTGCGACCCGGGTTCGATCCTCAGCACCACATACCAACAAAGATGTTGTGTCCGCCGAAAACTAAAAGGTAAATATTAAAAAAAAAATTTAAAAAAATAATAATAATTATGGTGGTTGGAACAGCCCTCTGTGGTGCTTAAAGCACCAGGGCAGGTTAACTGCACCTCTGACCTTCTTTCTCTACTTCTGCATGTTCCGTTCCATGGGCCTGGAATGTCCTCCAAATAACCTCAGGGTTGGCTTGTCAGATTTAGCAAGTTAAACTATCAGAATTCCAGGTAAATATGCACTTCTGGTACAAAACAATGTTTTTTTAGCATAAGTCCTAGTGGGGAACTTACTAAAAATAAAAATTAAAAAATAATTTTTTTTTTATCTGAAATTAAAATTAAAAAGCAGCTGGGTGCAGTGGTGCATGCCTGTAATCCCAGAGGCTCAGGAGGCTGAGGCAGGAGGGTCATAAGTTCAAAGCCAGCCTCAGCAATGGCAAGGCACAAAGCAACTCAGTGAGACCCTGTCTCTAAATAAAATACAAAATTGGGCTAGGGATGTGGCTCAGCGGTTGAGTGCCCCTGAGTTTAATCCCCTGTTCCCCTCTCAAAAAGAAAAAAAATTTAAAAGCAACAACTCACCTCCTAAAGTGTGTGTTCCCTGACTTGCCTCCTTCCCAAGGACAGCCACGTGCTTGTATGGCTTTGCCTGTCCCCCACACTGCTGTCACCTGTATACTTTCTACCAATGATCTACATCCTTTTTATATTTTGAGGCAGGGTTGTGCTATATTGCCAAAGCTGGCTTTGAACCTGGGGTCCTCTTGCCTCAGCCTCCTGGGTTGCTGGAATTACAGGCGCGTGCCTCTGCTCCCAGTCCACACACTTGTATTATCATAATCATTAATTTCTTTCCAGGCTGTGATCTCTTTGAGGCAGGAGTCTCATCTTTTGTCCATTTGTTTTTTGTCTATGAAAGCTTAATATCAACCCATCAGTAAATAGAGGCCACAGACCTCTGCAGGCGGGGTTCCACAGCTATGGCCTGTCTTATTCCTCTGCACACTCCCAGGCCCCCAAGGACCTGGCAAACAGTATGTGTCCCATAAATTAATGAAGACAAAATTGGATGGACTCAGCCAGACAGATTATAGATAGAAAAGACCCCTCCCTTTTGGGCATCTGTCCTAATGCAGTCAGGATGAGAAAAACGCTGTAGAGGCCAAATTGGACTTTCCCGGCTTGGACAGAAAGGCTAGGACCCCAACATTTTCCCCTGAACTAAAGGATAAGTGGGAAATCCCCAGGGTCTCATAAAGAGTTTAATGAGAGCCTAGCCAAGCTTGTACAGCCTTCTAAATTTAAAGAACTGTCATGTTCACATTCATATCATGTGAGTTACTGATGAAAATAGTAACCACAAATGATGTGAAGTTCCTGAACACTGCAAAACAGTATCTAATTAAACAGAGCCAGCCACTCTGCGCTTGACTTCACACTCTCACCATCTGATCCAACCAGATGTCTGTCTGGGCTTATTCAACATTTACTGACCCCGTACTGATCACAAGCTCAAAGCCAGCCTCAGCAACGGCAAGGCGCTAAGCAACTTGGTGAGACCCTGTGAACATGTGCCAATCTCAGCATGGGAGGCAGTGTTGGACAAGACGCATGAGGCTCCTGCATGCGTGGACCTTAGGATCGGACCCTGACAAGTGACTGTAGGACCAGTTACATATACAGTCATTTCCATAACCAACTCTTAATTATGTGCTTCGGAAAAGAACAGGGTGCTGATTAATGAGAAGGAGGAGGCCTCTGGAAGAAAGTCAGGGGCTTCCTTGGGGAGATGCTAATGGAGCACAGATTTCAAGGCTAAGAGGAGGATGAGGCAGAGGGTGGACAAGAGTGTTCTAGACATAGACAACAGCATGAGCAAAGGCGCTCAAGAACTTAAGGCAGGCTGATGTGGTCAAGGCCCAGAGAACAAGAGGCCATGGGCAGAAGGAATGAGTGAGGTATCACTGGAACATGTCAGATCTGCCAGGCCCTTTGATGGTTAATCATTTTTCTTTCAATTTTCTTGGGTAAAATACACATAAAATGTATTCTCTTAGCCATTTTCAGCATATAGGTCAATGTTATTAAACACATTCATAATATTGCACTACCGTCACCACCACTGTGATAATTAATTTTATGTCAACTTGACTGGGCTACATGGTTCCCAGAGAGCTGGTTAAACATCATTTCTGGATATGTCTGTGAGGACGATTTTGGAAGAGGTTAGCATTTGAATTGATGGACTGAGAAAAGCAGATGGTCATCCTAAAGGTGAGTAGGCCTGATCTGATCTTTTGAGGGCTTGAAAAGAAAAAGGTGGAGGAGTTGAATTGATTCTGCCTGACAGCACGAGCTGGGGCACTGGTACTCTGCCCTTGGTGCTCCCGGTTCTCAGGACTGAGTTGCACCACCAGCCTTCCTGAGCCTCCAGCTTGCAGAAAGCAGATCACGGGACATTTTAGCTTGCATTATCCTGTGAACCACTACCTGATCTTAACCCTCTTCCTAGATAAACATCCAGCTGATTCTGTTTCTCGGGAGGATCCCAACACAGGCCAGAATAGGCCACGATAAGCTGGTCATGACCGCAGCCCTCCTCCTCATCCAATCTCCTTCTTCCAGGCTCCCTGCTTCTGCTCTGGCCCTGCTCAGATCTCTCTTCAGCACAGCTGCCAGAATGATTTTACAAAAAAACACAAATCTGACAATGTCACTTCCCTGCTGGGAATATCTCAAGGCTTCTACTTTGTGAAGACCCAGATCCTTGACTTCACTAACTGAACGCCCACTTTGTTCAGGTACCCAGTACTCCCCACCCAGTCATGAACCCCAGGGAAAAGCAGACCCCACCCCCAGCTCAGACTGTCTACAGGGATCCTCACTTCCCCAGCAATGACGGGGAAGTCAGGAGGGGGGAGGTGCGTCAAGAAGAGTTTCTTTGATTTTAGAAGAGACAGGACCACAAAGAGCTGCTCTCTTCCCAAAGAAGGAAGTTCAGAGGAGCCGCCACCTGTGCAGACAAACCCAAGGCTGCTGCAGGTGCTGGGGCCAACAGAACAGAGGTGGAAAGACCCTGGCTCTCATGGACGTCACTAAATCAACCAGGCCTGGAGGCTGCCCTACCCCTGAACTTCCTGTTATGTAGGACAATAAATCATCTTGTTTAAACTGGTTAGAATCTGGATTGTGTTATTTGCACACATACCCCGATACATTTTGCTTGGCAAATAAAAGAGGTCATTCAGTTCTCATCTCTTCCCAGTTTCTCAGCAGTCACCTTTACTTCTCCCCTGACCCCAGTGCTTGGATCCACTCAAGTTCAATTTTCTTCCCTCTGCTTAGGATGCCCTTCAAACCCCCATCTGCCTGGGAAATTCCTACTCATTCCTCAGAGGTCACATAATCTGTTAAGTTACCTGATGGCTCCTCTGGACTCTTATTGCTTTTTTCAAAAAAGGTTTTCCTTTTCTCAGTATTAATTTTCCTGGTCCCTGGGAAGGTAAACAATTTTGTCATAAGCAAAACTATTAACTGATAAATAGAAATTGAATCCAGAGGCACTTTACCACTGAGCTACCTCCCCCGTCTTTTTTGAGACAGGGTCTCACTAAGTTGCTGAGTGTCTTACAAAATTGCTAAAGCTGGGTGGCTGGGGATATAATACAGCTCAGTTGGTAGAGTCCTTGCCTCACAAGCACAAGGTCCTGGGTTCAATCTCCAGCACCACCAAAACACAAACAAACAAACAAAAAGAAAACAGCTAAAGCTGCCCTCAAACTTGCGATCCTCCTTAGCCTCCAGTCACTGGGATTACAGTGCCACTGCACCCAGTTTGAATAGACAACTTTATAATCCCAGCAATCTGGGAGGCTGAGGCAGGAGGATCACAAGTTGAAGGCTAGCCTGGGCAACTTAGTGAGACCCTCAGCAACTTAGTGAGAACCTGTCTCAAAGTAAAAAGGGCTGGGGACTTAGCTCAGTGGTGAAGCACACTGCATTCAGTCCCTATTATCAAAAACAAAACAAGTCTCTCATAAAGGTAGTATCTTCCAGGTCATGGATTAAAAGCAAATTATAGGCAATGGATCACAGAGCTAAATAGCAAGTCTTGCAAAGAGGTAAGATTTCCTGGGGTAAATGAAAGTGATACTGGGGGACTATTAGAATGTGGCAGAGAGGCACCAGCTAATGACTACCACTTCTGAAGAAATGGAATCTGACCGACAAAGCCCTCATTTTTTTCATGATTTTTACTTGAATCCATCCTAAATATCAGGCAGTGTGCCAGGCGCTATGGTTATAGCGAGGAGCAACAGAGACCTCCCATCTACCTTCATCTTTCATATATATACATACCCAGTGCAGATACTGGGATGGAACCGCTGAGCTGCGTTCCCGGTCCTCAGCCTCCCCAGTGGCTGGCATTATAGGTGTGTTACTCTACCTGGCCAATCTTTTGTTTTTTTGAGACACAGAGTGAACATGAACAAATGGACTATGTAATTTAATACAGTAATTAGTACTATAAAAAGTGATACGAATGAGATTCCAAATTTGGATATAAAAATCTAATTTTCTGGAGAGGATAATTTCTGAGTGACTCTGAGAGAATATACTCAGGGAAGGAGCTGCCCGCTCACTCACTACAGGGGGTTCTCTGCAGCCACGGTCATATTACACGATTGTGTCCCACTGACCACAGCTGAATGGACCAGGAGAAGAAAGCTGACCCAATGAGCCAGTTAGATTCTCTCCTGGAGTATGGCTAGTCCACGCGGGTTATCTTGGCGGTGGTTGGAGGAGAGAGGAGTCAGCTTTGGAGCCGGGGCAGTTCTTCGACAAGTACAGAGATGCAGAAAAGCCAGTCTCCAGAGGGAAGATGAGAGGACAGGGACGGAGACAAATGTCAGAAGCTGTGTGGTCTCAGAGGGACAAAATATGACTGCCTGGGGTCCCAGTGGGTTTCAGATACAGATTTTAATTTTTCTGAGGTCCAGTGGAAGTACTGCTCTTTGGACCCGTGAGAGTCCTAATTCTTATCTATGAAATTAATTTGATAGATTCAGTTACTGAATATGTTTTGTCTTGCAACCAAGTTTCTAAGAAAGAAAATAACGTTGATCACGATGGATGATAGCTAGTGTTTATCAGGTGCCAGGCAACACTCTAAGAACTTTGTGCTACCTATGCTAACCCACGTAACTCTTGGAGGCAGGTAAATTTTTATTCCTATTTTAAGGTTGAGGAAACTCAGGTGTAGAAGTCACACAGTAAGTGGCAAAATCAGCGTATGAATCTAGACAGCTGGCCTCCATGTTCTTTATCACTGTGTTATTCTCTCAAAAACAGCGGGGGACAGACTTGAGGTTATTCACAATGCATGAAGTCATTTCAAACATTTCTACTAGTCCTGAGCAAAACCTCCAATTAGGAGATGCACACTTTTGCCTGGCTCAGTGGTGCACGCCTGGAATCCCAGCCACTCAGGAGGCTGAGGCAGGAGGATCCCAAGTTTGAGGCCAGTGTGGCAACTTAGTAAGACCCTTGGTAACTCAGCAATACCCTCAGCAACTTAGACACTGTCTCAAAATAAAAAACAAATAAAAGGGCAAGGAATACAACTTAGTGACAGAGTACTCCTGAGTTCAACCCCAGTACCACAGGGAAAAAGAAAAAAAAAAAAAAGACATTTTCTACACAGCTCATACCAATTGAGGAAGCATAGCAGCAGCTGCATCGATTTGGCATTTTAAAAAAATTGTGTTAAAGTTAAAAAAAAAATTTAATTGTGATAAAATGTTGTTTTTTTTTTTTGTGGCAAAACACAAAAACATAAACTTTACCATCTCAACCATTTTTAAACGTACAGCTCAGCGGTATTACAGACATACCTCTGTGCCACTGTCACAAGCACCCATCTCCAGAACTCTCCCTCCTGTGAAACCGAAGCTGCAGAGCCATTAAGCAAGGACTCCCCATCTCCTCTGCCGCAGCTGGCGACCTCCACCCACTGTCTGTAATGGGGCTATTCTAAGCACTTCCCATATGTAGAATTATGGAGCATTTGCAGTTTCGTGACTGACATTTACTTGGCACAGGGTCTTCAAGGTTCTTCCATGTTGGCAGCATATGTCAGAACCAGTTTAGCATTCTGATCACTCAACTCTGTTAAAAACACTCACATTTCCTGGGCACGGGCCAATGCATTTCTTGTAACCATTCTTAACATCTTAGAAGCAGAAGCTTTGGTGCCACTTGGTAGTTGGGCTGAGATTCTGGGTTGTCACAGACCTGAGTTACTTTTTTTTGAGAAGAGCGTCCCGTTATGTTACCCAAGCTGGTCTCAAGTTCCACGTTCAGCCTGAGTTCTGCCTCATTTCATATCCTCAAGTGTTACTTAACTTTTCAGAGCCTCAGTTTCAACGTATATAACATTGGAAAAAACACCACTTTCCCCCTGGGGTTGTGAAGTTTTAACAAGATGATGGGTTACAGCATTAAAAAAAAAAAAATTATTTAAATTTTAAAAAAAATTTTATTTAATTAAATTTAATTTTTAAAATTAATTTATTTTTTTTTTAAAAATTAATTCTTAGCACCGCTTTTAAATTTTTAAAATTAATTTAAAAGCGGTGCTAAGAATCAAGCCTGCTAGGCAAGTACTCTACCACTGAGCCCAGCTCTACCCCAGCCCCAATGGGTTACAGCATTTGCCAGCACAATCACAAACGCACAACTGAGGGAGGCTGATATATAACACCACAATAAATCACAAGTTGTTGTTTTGTTGTTGTTTTTTGTTTTTGTAGTTGTAGATTGTCAGAATGCCTTTATTTTATTATTTTTACATGGTGCTAAGGATTGAAGCAGTGCCTCACACATGCAATGCAAGCCCTCTGCCACTGAGCTACAGCCCCAGCTCATAAGTATTGTTCTTATTCTGTGTCCTCCTTCTGTGGTAAGCACCCATTTCTGCAGGTACAGGCATTGAAGCAGGATGCTACTTCATCTGAGGAAAGACACTCAATCACACACACACTAACACTCTAGCCAGAAAAGAAAACTAGCAGCTTTTCCTTATAGCTCTACAACTAGTTCCAAATAGCACCAGCAGTTTCACTTAGAAAAAGACATAGTTTTTCTTTTCTTCTTCTTGGTCTTCAGTCATAGTTAAGATAGACATCTTTTTCTGGTACTCATCAAGAAGGCTCTCACTGGCTGGGTGCAATGGCACATGCCTGTAACCCCAGTGGCTCGGGAGGCTGAGGCAGGAGGATTGCAAGTTTAAAGACATTACTCCTTCTCTGGAACAAGCTCCCTAGTTTTTCTTGAGAACTGTTCCTCCATTGGCTATCATCCCTGTGGGGCTACCTAGTTCTGGCTAAGAACAACATGACCTCAGTCAGCTAACCAGACAGATTCAGAATCTCAAATCTTTAGCTCAACCATCCAAAACTGAAGGAGAAAACACAGAAATAAGTAACAACAACAAAAACATAACTGTAGGGGCTGGTGATATAGCTCAGTTGGCAGAGTGCTTGCCTCTCATGCACAAAGCTCTGGGTTCAATCCCCAGCACCACAAAACAAAACCACCATATAACTGTAGCTCATGGTCCCCACTGTGGACTGAGACAAGACTAGCCCCTAGCTCCTGACGCCTGGTTCCTATCTTGTCCAAGGTCTGGTCTTTCACTTTTCCATAGCTTCTTTGACTCTCTCATAGTTCCAGTTAGGAAGAGTTGCAAGTCTATTGCTTCCAACCAAAGAACTTTATCTGGAGTATTTTAAAATATATTTTAATTATAGATGGACACAATATCTTTATTTTGTTTATTTTTATGTGATGCCGAGGATCGAACCCAGTTCCTCAAATGTGTGAGGCAGGCGCTCTGCCACTGAGCCACAGCCCCAGTCCCTATCTGGTGTACTCTTAAGCAAACACTAGGACCCTATAAAGCTCAACAAACTCTTTAATCTCCTTTCCCTACTCCCCTGGGCAAAAATTAAGGTAGTTATCTATTATTGCGTAATGAATTATCCCAAACCAAGTGGCTTTAAACAATAAACATTTACTGTATCACAATTTGGGCATGTCTGAATCCCAGACCAGTGTCACTGAGCTGTTCTGGCTCTGGGCCTCTCCTGCAGGTTGCAGTCAAGACATTGGCCAGGACTGTAGTCATCGAATGCTTGGCTGGGCCTGGAAGATCAGCTTCTAACATGGTTCACCGTTCAATCCCCAGCCCCAGAAAAAAAAAAAAAAAAAAAGCAGCAGCTAACATGGTTCACCCACTGGCTGTTGGCAGGGCCCATGCACAGGGCTGCTTGACTGTCTTCATGAGCTGGAAGCTGGCTTTCCCCCAAGTCAGGGATTAGAGACAACAAGATGGAAGCCACAATATACTCTATGACCCAGCCTCAGAAATCAAGCTGTGTCATTTCCTAAACAGCCAGCACTGTCCAGGGTGGAAAGGAACCATACAAGGGTGAGTACCAAGAGGCAGAGAACAGAGACTGGAGCCACCTTAGAGGCTGGCTGCCCACAGAAGGCTACAAGCCTTGTAAGGGCTTTGTCCCCAGGCACCAGCCTCCTTTCCTTTCAGCTACTCCTAGTCACCTAAGACCCTAAGAAGAAATCTCATTTTGGAAATCTGCAGACAATGACTTACAAATAATGGCACAGAGGTGGATGTGAAGAAAGACACACAAGGGCAGGGTGAAGGTCTCCAGCCTAAGGATCCTATCTGGAGAACTAGAAACAGATGACCTTCAGAGAAAGGAGTCACAGGCTGTCCAAGGTTCAAGGACAAAAGTAGCATAAAACACAAGGGCTCACCCTTGGCAGAAGTATGATTTCTCCCATTTCAACCCCAAACAAAGCCCTGCTTGTCTATTATCTGTCGTCGTTTTAACTCCAAACTGCACCACAAAAGTGAGATCCATAGTTCAGGCTGCTGCCAAACTGTGATAAGCTGAACTGTGTCCTCTTCAAATTCATATGATGAAGCTCTAACTCACAGAATGTGGACTGCATTTAGACCCAGGACCGTTAAAGAAGTCACACAGTGAGGCTGTTAGGGCGAGCCCTGATCTGACTGGCATCCTCGTCAGAGGAGATGAGGACACACAGGGAGATACTGGGTTTGTGTGCACAGAAGAAGACCCTGGGAGAACACAGCAAGGAAACGGCACCTGCAAGCTAAGGAAAGAGGCCTTGGGAAAACCGCTCGATCGTGGACCTTCAGCCTCCAGATCTGTGAAAAAATAAATCTCTGTTGTTCTGCGGTATTTGGTTATGGCGGCTGCAGCATACTAACCCCTGAACTCTCTGGGGTTACACTGTTTGGGGCTGTGTAATGTGATTTGAAAGAACAGACACAAGAACATCCCTCCCAGAGTCAAGGAGGTAAGATGGCTGAAGACCTGCCACGGAGCATGGATACACCGTACATGTAACACACGTATGCAGCGGGGATTCCGGTCCATGTTCAGCTCCTTCCGCAGTGCTCCGGAGGGCCCCAGGCCTCCCTTTCCTCTCCTCTGAAGGCAGCTCCCAGGTCCACAGGTTCCTACAGCTGCCTCCACTGTCCTGCACATCTTCTCCCTAACTGGAGAGCACCTTCTGGATTCGTTCCCGCACTTCTGTTGGTCCCAGGGACACCATCATCTCAGCTACAGGGGGTCCTTGCTAAGAAAGAAAAGGGAAAACAATGCCTTATTGTCTTAAACCGCCTAAGGAACTTGTGCTGAGCCTCAGCCTGCAGAAGACATGCCCAGGCCAGCCCCAACCCGGCCGCCTGCATCCCAGGAGCAGGCCTTGTATTTTATAAGTCTTGGACTTCCCTGGATGAGGATGGGTCTCAAGGGACTGTCTTTCTGTATTAAGCAAACTTGTTATGTCTCCTACCCTCAATAACCTGCAAACCCCGTGAAGGCAGGGATCACGTGTCTGCACCAGACCTAGCATGGTGCTTGCTTACAGCAGCTACTCCCTAACTACAGTTCACCAAACGAATGAAGGAGAAGGCGATCATGTTTCACTCATCTTTGTATCCCCCCAAACTGAGCTCAGAACCTGGCAATAAATGTGAGTTGCAAAGCTACGGGAGGTCCCAGGGAACAGTTCAGCCCAGCTCCCTCCTCACCAGCTGTCCACTGAGGGCCACTCGGAGGAGTTTCATCACGTTACTGTGCTTTGTGCCTTCCAGACCTTCCGACAGCTTCTTCAGTTCTCCATTCAGCACATCCTGCGTTAAGCTCACGCCAGATTTTTCCAAAAGCCTGGAAGAGGGTCGGTCTATAAGGGGCTTGCGTAGGTCAATGGCAAGTGGGTGGGAGGGTGCCTTCACAGGGATATCACTTAACCACAATACAAGCCCAATTGTGTGGGGGTGTGTGGGTGTGTGTGTGTGTGTGTGTGTGTATGTGTGTGGTAGATATCTACCATTCTCCATTCAAGCTGGAAAAACAAAAACAACAAGGGGACCACATACAGAGATAACCCAAGCTCAAAGTCACCATAATAAGAGGATTTTCTAATTGCTACCTCTGAGTCCTATAATCTCTGTCCTAGTTTTCTCATGTGTGTAAGTGGGGATAATTATAGCATCTGCACTGCACTGGGCTATGTGGAAAGTGGAAACTTGAAGGTGCTAAGCACGGGGCCTAAACACAAGGTACACGCTGAAGAGCATTAGGTTACAAGTCTCCACAGAAACTTTAAAAAAATTAGCTGACACTTATTATATTCAAGAGCTCAGATACATTACAAGAGGACTTAAAAAGAAATTTAGAAATAGATTAGACACAGGATAAAAGAACAGATAATTTCTGAAAATTATCTGAAACACAGTTTCAAGATTGGCTGGGGAAACCTATTTAAGAAGCATCCAGAAGACCAGAGGAACAGACTGAGACCAACTTGCTACAGCCCCTCTTCCCACAAACCAAAGCACTTAAGGATCTAAACTCCAAGGGGCCAGTCACTACCCCCCCAAGTTCTGGTGTCCAGCTGAGGTCCTCTCCGAAAAGCATGCTTGAGTTTCCAGAGCAATTTCCCATTCAGCCACAGCGTGACTGCAAACCATCTGGTCCAGCTCTGAGTGAGGTAAGCAAGAGGTGGAGTAGGCTAGTTGGTGTATCCACAGAACTTCCAGCTCCCCTAAGAGTCTACCTGAGATTTTAAACTGGAGACCCTAAAGAGGGACTGAGGCGGGGCGTATCACTGTTACAGATGATCCATGAGGCCGATCTGACACGACCTGCTACTCACAATGGGGTCCACACAGCTGGTTCCAAAGGTCTGCTCAGCATGAACTACTGGCTCAGGGAACAGGGTTCATAAGTGATTTGAAGAAATTGCTTTTCGCACACACTCTGTGTTCTTACTAACTGCCAGGACTTCAGCAACTAGCTTCAGTTTAAGACAAAAATGTCCAATTCCTACTGCATCATCGCCGTGTTCTCAATATTTTTGTCTTCCTAAATTTGTATGTTGAAACCCTACCTCCCAAGATGATGGTGTGAGGGAGTGGGTTTTGGTGAAGGAAAGGGATTGGTACTCATATAAGAGAGACTCCAGAGAGCTCCCTTATCCCTTCTGCCAGTGAAAGGACAGAAGAGCAACAGGCCACAAAAGCAAGCCCTTAACACTGAATCAGCTGGCCTGCTGATCTGGGGTGGCCAGCTCCAGACCTCAGAGAAATCACGTGGAAGCCACCAGTCTATGGTACTTTGTTATGGTAGCCCCACTGGACAAATGTGATCATTAACTGGGCCACATGATTGCAGCTATTTATGAAATTAAAAAGATGAAATATAAAATATAAAAGGTGATTTGGGGAAAAAACCCAGATACTCCCCCTAATGTCATTATGGGCAAGCAGGCTGCCAAGGAACAGATAAAGGGATGACAGCCCCTGGCAGCCACTCATGGCAGCTCGGGACATGGGACACGTCAGAACTGGCCCAGAGCTTGGCTGGACACAAAAGGGACTTCTAGTGATCTGGCAGGTTCTGAACATTCGGGTGTCAAATTTCCTGACTTGAGTGGGAGTCCAGAGTCTGTGAACTCTAATGCCCTGGCAGGAAGGAAGAGTCTTGGTGAATTATACCTAATGGCCCCACTGCAGATGTCTGAATGAAGAGCAGCGGCAATGACAACTACCGGGAGTTCATTTTCCAGAGTCACTTACAAAAATGCTTACTAGTACCCATGTGAGGTCCTTCAGGGCAGCATTACTTGTAACAGCAGAATTTGGAAGCAACCCAAATGTGCAGCAATAGGAGACAAACTCAATAAATTATAGTAAGTGGCTATATATACATATAACACATCTGACATATAAAACAGCACACTGAACGCAAACACACACGTTTTCTATTATTTTCTAATGTAATAATCACAGTAAAAGCAGAGGTAAGTAAAACAAATATCTGTGGTTTTGGCTGCTAAGCATCCATCCTGTTTTCTTCTGATACCAGTTTCCCAAATCTCCCTGGGGAATTCTCAGCCATGTGTTAGCTGGAGGTCCACTAAGGGTCCCGCACATGGCCTAGGTCTAAGCCAACCAGCACACAGCATTCCCTAGGCCTCAGTGGTTCAGGGAAAGGAAGACAAAACCAATCAGCTCCTATTAATCTCAAACCATAGGGAAAGAGGTTAATCCTAGAATACTGTCTGAAGCTGATTTTTTTTTTCGGGGGGACGGGGGCAGATACCGGGGATCAAGCTCAGGGGTACTCAACCACTGAGCCCCATCCCCAGCCCTATTTTGCATTTTATTTAGAGACAGGGTCTCACTGAATTGCTTAGGGCCTTGCTAAGTTGCTGAGACTGGCTTTGAAATTGTGATCCTCCTGCCTCATCTTCCCGAGCCTCTGGGATTACACATGTGCACCACGAAGCTGAGATTTTGAGGCATACAGTGGCTGAGGCTGTCTTACAAAAACTGTGCTGTTAATGATCCCCCAGCATCCCTTTTTCACTTTATCTATTTAGCAGGGTTGGGGATGGAACCCAGGGCTTCACACGTGAAGCAAGTACTCTAATACTTTGCAAATCCTCAGCCTTGATTTATTTATCTTTTTTTTCACGTCAGTCACGCAATGTGCTGATATTGTAACAAGGCTTAGAGGGAGGGACATCTCACACAAGAGTGTGAACACCCAATCATCACACTTAAGAACCGGAGGATCAGTCTTATTTATTTTCCAAAGACAGGGTCTTGTTTTGTTGCTCAGGTTGGTCTTGAATTCCTGAGCTCAAGCAATCCTCCTGCCTCATAACAGTTGTTTTGGTTACAAGGGTAAAAACAACCAACGAGGCACTCAACACCATGTCCAGCTTTCTCCTTTTCTTATGCAGTAATAGAATTTTAAGTTGGGCACGTGGCTGTCAAATATTAAAACTACACTTCCAGATTGCCTGGCAGCTAAGTGTGGCCCTGAGACGTAACTCTAGAATATGGGTAGAAATGGTGTGTGCAGCTTCAAGGAAGGTCCTTAGGGAGAAGGAATGTCCTATCCCCTGTCACCTTTCCTCCCTCCCCTTCTGGTTGAATGGTGGACAGTCCATGAGCCACCACAGACCACAGACAGGAGTGAAACTGAAGAGGCAGGACCCTCAGGACAAAGATAAAAGCTATTTAGTCCCAGACCACCTCCTGCAGGCTGCCAGGGAGACGTGGACTTCCATTTCTTCGGGTAGAGAGCCCCCTTCCACCTGCCCAATACAGAGCTCTGCAGAAAAAGCAGCCATGGAGGAGAGGGAGAATGCCAAGGACAAGTCGGTGTCGGCCATACGGTGTGGCCCCTCACCAGCAGAATCCAGGCAGCACGTCCTCTGGCCTTGGTAGGCGTGGACACCCTTCCCCTCTTGCTTGTGCCATCCTTGGTTGTTACCCTTGTAACCAAAACAACTGTTATGATTCCAGAAAGAACCAGTCCCACAGACAGATGAAGAAATGAAGCTCAGAGAGCTCCACTTGGCCAAGAGAAGCCACCTTGGCAAGAAGAATCAGCTTGGTAAGTGACAGAGCTAGGATGTAGCCCAAGTCGGGCCAAGCCGCTGAACCCACCGCCTGCGCCCAGGGAGAGGTTGGTCCTTTAGGCTGCCTCCTACCCTAAGAAAGCCACAGCGAGCCATTCTCCCCAGCCCGGGCCTATGCTGGGGGTCCCACAGGCCAGGCCAGGGGGAAGGGGCCGGGGGAGAGAGAGGGGAAGGAGAGTGGAACCTTGAGCTCAGTCTGCAGTACTCACCTCAGCAAGCGCTCAGCGATCACATCCACCTTCTCTGAGATGGCGCCCAGCTGTGCTCGACCCACAGCAGGCCGAGTCCACAGGTAGGAGTAGGCTGGGGAGACCAAGTCCTGTAGGCGGCAGATGTGACCCTAGGGAAGGAGGCCATCATTGCATGTGTGGGAGTAAGCTCTAACCACCCTGGAAGGTGTTTAAACCCACATTTGGAAGGAATGGCTCATCCTCTCAAAGTGCCATCTTCACACCTGTCGCAGCAAGATGATCCTCTCCACATAGGCTGGGTCCAAGACATCCCGGTCTTGCAGACGGCTCCCAAATGCCTCCTCCACAAGGGCCTGCAGCTGCCCCACCAGATGGTGCCTCTGGGACTCACTGCTCACCAGCCGTCGGAGGTGCAGCCTACAGGAGAAGTCAGAGGGCCACGCTGCCTTGGCACCCAACCCCTCTCCCCAGGGAAGCCAGCTGGCTTGAAGAGTGACACATCACATGAATCCCCTCCCCCAGCATTAGAAGCAGGACTGTACTTCACACTTATAAAAGGAAGGGGAGACAGGGGATCTTACTAAGGTTACAGTCAGCCCATGGGTCGAGGCCACGGCACACGTTTTGTTGCCAGCACTTTTAATACAGTAGCTGACAAGTTTGTTCTGTTTTTTGGCTGGGGGTGCTAGGGATCAAGTACAGGTCCTTGTACCTGCTAAGCAGGCCTCACCACTGAGCTACACCCCAGCCCAGGAGCTGGTTTTTTAACGAGGAAGAGATCATGTTAGACAGTCAGGGCTTCCTTTGGAAAATGAGGAGAGCTGCTGCAAAGGGCCCTCGTCCGCACAGCTTCCACTGGCTGGAGCAGGCTGAAGCCTGGCTTAGACCCCAGAGGCCTCCAGGTCACCTGTTCCTCTAATTCCTCGTCTCTTACTTGGCTCTCCGCTTCCCTCATGCTCCCTGTCTGGCCTCAACAGGCATCTAAGTTTATAAAGCAGAATCTGGAGCGTCCGCCTCCTAGCCTTACTACATGATGGGGCTTTGGTGTAAGAGGAGAGGTCAAAAATACAGACCCTAAGATTTGGAGCAGAGTGTTGTTTGAAGTATTTGTTGAAGTTTAAGTCCGGCTTTTCTTTCCAGCTGAAATCTCTCTATTTCAGAATTCTTTTAACTGTGGATTCTCTTCTTTGGAAATAGTAAAATCTCTAAGAATCCAAGCCTAAACCAGGTCCTGTCATCCTCAGTCCCCTAGGCTGCCATCCCCTCTCCCTGGCAGGACTAGAGGGGCCAGAGAGAGAGAGTGGTACAGGGTCAGGGACCATTCTGAGACACTGGGCTCCTCGTCTGAGACGTGGTAAAGAAGGCAGGTAGCAAGGAGTGGAGAAGCACCTCACAGGCTCTGGAATCGGACCGGCCTGAGGACGAGGCCTGCCTGCCAGGTGTTTGCAGTAAGTTACACAACCACAGGGAGGTGGGGATCCTCACCCATAAAGATAAAGTGGGGACAATAAAAGGACCTCCTCACAGGGTAGCTATGACAATTAAATGAGGGACTGCAAGTACAGCCCTGATAGCAAGGCCTGCACGCCACATTTGGAAACTACTGACAGGAGGGGGTCTGAAAAGAGGCTCCGGCATGTGACAGGGTGGAGAGGTGAGACCTCTAGAGAAGTTTCTGGATTGCAAACTGGTCAAAACATAGTTTTAAAACAAATTTTTAAAAGGTATTAAGGAAACACATGAATGCAGTACTGAAACTGTTTTTAGAATCTGCTTAGCAGCTGGATGGGACAGAAGAAAGAAAGAAAAATGAAGACAGAAGAACAAAACAAGACCAAAAAAATCCAAGAGCCCCTCATGGCCATGTTTGAAATAAACCCGTAAGGTCCAGGACCTGGGACACAGCAAGTGCTAAATAAAAGTTAATAACTATTGTCACTTTCACCACACCACTAGTACTGCTGCTGCTATGGCAACTGTATTTATTATTGTTTCTTAAATAACCACAGCAATGGCTTGAGGAATGTCTGAAGATAACCACTTTGGCTACATTAAGCCTTTGGCAGCAATCCTAATGCTCCACCCCATCCCTGACTCTCACTAAGCAAAAGTCCACCTCTGTCTTTCTTACGACACCCCCCCCCGCCCACACCGGGTGCTTCTGAGAGGACTGGAATGAAACACTAAGTATCTCTCCTCTCCTGGCCCCATTCCCCTAGAAATATCACTTTCTCTATAATAAAAAGGAGACATGCATGTGGTGTTTAATATGTATGCTGCACTCACTCTTGCACACTCCATGCAAGAGACGGCCACTGTTCACTGTGGAAACTTGAATTATTTAAATTCTGACTTGGACTTTGCACAGGTAACACAGGGCAAGATCATAAGACTGACCTCAAGGTCTGATGGGAGAAGTACATGAAATGACATCCTTAGAACAACTGCAGGGCAGGTTGCCTAGCATGCATGCAGCCCTGGGTTCAATCCCCAGCACCAAAACACAAAACAGTACAAACACACACACACACAAAATCTGCAGGTGAAGTGAATCTCTGCACCAGTAGGAGCTTATCCCCAAAGCAGTGCTCAAAAAAGGTGCTGAAAGGTGCCTGGTCCCTAACAGTGCCTGGCCCCAATTGGCAAAATGGATCAATGGCCTTATCCCTAATGCCCTTTGACTGACACGTCACAATGATATCTGAACTTGAACAGTGAGCCTACTGGAGGTTCAAAGTGAAGACCTACTTGATAGCAGCTACCTGAAACATTAACCTGATGCCATGAGATGGTGCTGGTTCCCTGAGCTGGCCGGGGAGAGGATGGGTAGATTCTAAATGAAGACGTTCCCCTCCAGGCTTTGGGTCATAACAGAATCCATGCAAGGGGTATCCAGAAACAATGGCAATGATAAAATCAGCCCCACCCACTTACTGAGCACTTTCTGTGTGCCAGGAGTTGTGCAAGATACCTTCACGCAACACTTAATTCTTACAACAATCACATACGATGGGCATTATTAGCCCTAGAGTAAAGAAGATAAAATGCAGGCCTGAGGAGTGACTTGCTATGACCCCGCAGCATTAGACACTAGAGCCAAAAGTCACAATCAGGTGCACGGGACTCCAGAGCCCACTCCACCTTCCACCGTGAGCTACAAGGCTCTTTCCCACCAGATCTTCATGCTCCCTACTCACCTGTTGAATTCTGGGAGCTTCTCCAGGTCCAGCAGGGCCGAGTGGCAGGTGATCCGAGTCAGGTCGAACTGTGCTATCAGCTCCGGCAGGGTCCTGCCCATTTGGTTCTCTGCAAGTGAGGCCCGTCCAGCGGCTCAGCTTCCTCCCTCCCGTCCTCCTTCCACTTTCTTTTGTGGGGGAGAAGGGGACAGAATCTTGCTATGGTGTCCAGCTGTCCCTGAACTTGTGATCCTTCTGCCCCACCCTCCCAAGTAGTTGAGATTAGAGGTGCACACCATCACGCCTGACCTCCTTCCACTTCTGAACACGAGAACTCTGGATTCCCCATTCCACTCCAACCCCAGGGATCTGAATTCTAGATATTAGGGCCCAGATGAGCCTCTCATTTTCAGAAAGGGTTCTTTCTGTCAGTAAGGGAAATGTAAGTCTGAAAGTAGGCAAAATTAATCCTTGTTACCCTAAAAGACACCAGATGCAAGAACAGTGTGCCCACTGCCTGGCTGTACCAGATTCCAATTTGATTGTAAAATATACTGATGCCCAGAACCAAACTTGGTTCCAGAATGCAACCACTGTTCAGAACTGCAGTGCCTGAAGCTGATTCATATAAGTAGCTGCTCCTTCCTATGCGTCAGTAGGCATAGTGGACATGGAAAAGACTCAAGTGCTAGATCCCTCACTAGCTGTGTAACTCTGGCAAGTTACTCAACCTCTCTGAGCCTGACAGAGGGATTAGTCCCCAAGGATATTTTAAGAGTTAAATGAAGTAAAAGCAGAATAAATCATGAGCAGACTGCTCTGGCCACATTTCCAGAAATCTCTGCCATAAGAAGTCATTCTATTTGATGCTTGATTCTATAAGATCTGGGTTCTAAACTCTGGGCCAAGTTTAAGGACTCAGCTCGGAATAAACTGAATTTGTAGTAATGTTAGTATTGTGGTTAAAGTATACGCTTGTATAATAGCAATAATCACGGGAGTTATAATTTTTGTGCTTATTATACAGCAGGCTCTGAGCTGGTAGCCTTGTGTTCATGAGCTCAGTTGAATTCTAACATAACCCTATGAGGCAAATATTTATCCCCACTGTACAGATGAGGCAAATGGTACTTTAAGCTCTGTAAGAACAGGAACTAGGCCTACTATGGTGATTATCTGGAGCCCCAGCACTCTACGAGCTGTCTGGCTCAATAAATATTTGTTGAATATTGTTGAATAAAAAAATGAATGTGTCCAAGATCATGTGGCTAGTAGGTGGCAAAGTTGGGACTGATGACCAGGTCTGCCTGGACCAAGGGCCCTGTTCCTCAGTGTCACACTCCGCCACCCTGACTGCTCTGGTAAGTGGGTACCTGCAAACCCCGAGCCACAGTTGGTGATGATATCGAGCAAGGCTTCAGGCAGAAAGCCAGCAGCAGCAAAATGCTCCAGGAAAATGTCCCCTTGCCTCTTGGACAGCTTGCTGCCATCCCTGTTGAGCAGCAGGGGCAGGTGGGCAAAGTGTGGTGGCTGCCAGCCCAGGGCCTGGTAGAGAAGCAGGTGCTTGGAGGTGGAGACGAGCCACTCGGAGCCTCGCAGCACATGGCTGATGCCCATGTGGTGGTCGTCCACCACACAGGCCAGGTGGTACGTGGGGAAGCCATCACTCTTCAGGATGACTGGGTCCCCCTCCACGCTGGCCACTTCATGCCGACTCCAGCCATATACTAGGTCCTGGAAGGCTGGTGCCTCCTCCTCCAGGCGGAAGCGGATAGCAGGCTTGGGATCCTTGGCCAGTTTCTGGGCCACCTGCTCCTGGCTCAGATTCCGGCACCGATTGTCATACCTGTTGGGGAGCAGAGCGGCATGACAGCTAAGAGAAATGCTGCTGGACGTGGTCCTACCTTTGTCTCTGATAGATGCATGACACTGGGCAAGTCACTTACCTCCTTAAGCTATCTCATCATCCTAGAATGGGAATAATAGTAGATGTTGTGTGGAAAACTGAGATGACACAAGAGGCAGACACTCGTGTTTGCCACCGTATCAACTACTCCCCTCTTCTCCCTGCTGATGAGGAAATGGCAAGCTGCCTAGACTGAGGGTTGAATCTAGACAGCAGGCAGTGAAGGTCTGAGGCCTACCAACAGCCAGGGAGAGAGGATGGAAGCAGATCCTCCTGGACCAAGCCCTGGGATAACTTCAGGCCTGCCTCAGACCCAACTGCAGCCCTGAGCTAAACCCTGAGCCAAAGAACCTGGCTCAGTGGTGCTCAGACGCCTGACCCATAGAAACCATGAGGCAACTAAAGCTGGAGGTAACTGGTTATGCAACAACAAATGACAAACACATCCAAGTCTGGGGAGGCATCGGAAATAGGCTGTGGCCTCACCGGGGCGTCTGATGGTTCCTCAGGGCCTCCTTCTTTAGGAGTTCCAGCCGCTGTGGAGAGCAGAAACAGGGATAGGCAGCTCCCGTCTTCAGCAGTGCTTCTGTGGCCTGAGCATACAGTGCCAAACGCTGAGATTGCTGGTAGGGCCCCGCAGGACCTCCCCGGCGGGGGCTCTCATCAGGGGGGATGCCTGAAACACAGGTAAGGAATCTCTATCAAATAACACCCAAGGGGCACACAGCGCTCATTCCCAGGAACTATCACAGGCACTTTGCATGCTAAACCTTTCAGGCCTCAGAAGGTCACAAGGTCAATACTATCATAATTTCCCTTTTCCAGATGAAAAGGGAAAGACAGAGGGGTTGAGCGTTAGAGGCCACAGTCTGGTGGAGTGAGGAGTCAATCAAGGAGGGTGTGGGCCCTCCACTGCCCATCTCTCCATCCACCACTGCCCTGATGAAGGAGAAACCAGGCCAGGCCTGGAACAGCGAGTGGACTGAGGAGAAGTAAGCAAAGTTCAAGACATGCCTGTCAGGCTCGGATGGAATCCTGGCTGCGCCACTCACTAGTTGTGACAAGAATTACAAAGAGTGCTGATGTGTGAGTGCTAGGGTGCCAAGCTCTCTGCAGGTTTCTTTATGTTATGTGACCTCCCTGAAGCCTTGATGTCCCTCCCAGGTAGGTGCTGATAGCCCATCCTGTCAGGAAGAAACAGAGGCCCAGAGGTGACAAGGTACATTAAATGGTCAAAGATAAGGGGCATCACCAGCCCCAAACTCAGGCTAGTAGGCCCCAAACCCCCATTCCTTTCCCCCACTTTTTTATTGGTGCATTATACTTGTATTTAACGATGGGATTTCCTGCTACATATATGTCCATGCACACGATACGACAATTTGGCCAATATCACTCCCCACATGTCTACCCTCCCTCCCCATCTCCTGCCCCTTGTCCCTTTCCTTTAATGGTCATGAGACACCCCCTACACACCTTTTCCTTTTTTCTGTCTAGCTTTCACATATGAGAGAAAACACAACTCTTGACCTTCTGAGTTTGGTTTATTTCACTTAATACAATGGTCTCAGTTCCATCCATTTTCCTGCAGATGACATACTTTCATTATGGTTGAATAAAACTCCATTGTGTATACATGCCACATTTTCTTTATCCATTTATCGCTTAATGGACACCCAGGCTAGTTCCATAGTTTGGCTATTGTGAACTGTGCAGCAATAAAATGGGTATGCATATGTCACTTTAGTATGATGACTTTAATTGTTTAGAATAAATACTGAGGATTGGAGTAGCTGGGTCAGATGGTGGTTTCATACCCAGTCTTTTGAGAAACACCTATACTCATTTCCATAAAGGGTTGTTCTAATTTACAATCCCATCAACAGTGTAGAAGTGCTCCTTTTTTTCCACATCCTCTCCAGCATTTATTATGGTATTCTATTTTGGTGTGTGTGGGGGGGCAATTAGGGATTGAACTAGGGGTGCTTAATCACTGAGACACACCCCAGCCTTTTTTTATTTTGAGACAGGTTCTTGCTAAATTGCTTAGGTCCTTGCTAAGTTGCTGAGGCTGGCCTCAAACTTGTGATCCTCCTACCTCAGGCTCCAGAGTGCTGGGATTATAGGTGTGTGCCATCAGGCCTAGCTATTGTTTGTATTCTTGAGGGCTGCCATCCTGACTGATATGAGAAGAAATCTCAATGTAGTTTTGATCTGCACTTCCCTAACTGCTAATGATGTCGAACATTTTTTTTTTCCACATATTTGTTGGCCATTTGTGTTTCTTCTGAGAAGTGTCTGCTTAATTTGCCCACTTATTAACTGCATTATTTGGGGTTTTTGGCGTTAAGAATTTTGAGTTCTCTATATATATTCTAGATACTCATCCTGTGTCAGATGAGCAGGAAGCTCATCTCTCCCATTCTGTAGGTTCTCTCTTCACATTCCCAATTGTCTCCTTTGCTGTGCAGAGGCTTTCTAACTTGATGCCATCCCATTTATTAACTCTTGGCATTATTTCCTGAGCTTTAGGTGTCCTATTGGGAAAGTCACTGCCTGTGCCTACGGGCTGGCGTGCTGACCCCACATTTTCTTCTGGGAGGTGCACAGGCCTAATTAGGCCTAATTCCTAGGTCTCTGAGCCATTTGGAGTTGATTTTTGTGCAAGGTGCAAAACCTCCCATTCTTCATGACTCTTTGTAAAGCCCCTTTGCCTGACCTGTTCTATCCCAGCCTCAGTTTCCTCCTCTGAAACATACTATGCAATCTGACTGTGAGAACGAGCGAGTCAGTGCTTATAAAGCACTCAGCCCCAAGGCTTACAGGTAGGATAGTTTCAATATTTGCTATAATCAAATCTAAGTTATTCTAGGCAGACCTGCCTAACCCAGCATCCTACCTCCTCAGGTCATATAGGATAGACAACTGTAAATGCTTCATGCAGAGAGAACACGAGGATTGGAGAACACACAGGAGATTCTGCCCTCAAAGAGCCTTCAAAGGAATTAGGAAGATAAAGTCACGGGTTGCCCTGTGACACTTCACGCTAACATAAACACTTCAGGTGGATGGGACTGGGCTCAAACCTACTGATTTATATGCAATGTCTGAAGGAGGCAAAAACAAGAGGCAAATCCATAGGAAGAGAAAGTAGATTAGCAGTTGCTGGTGGGGGGGGGGGGGAGTGGAATGAAGAGTGATTGTTAACAGACAGCAGTTTCTTTTCCAGATAATGAAAATGTTCTGGGACTAGTGGTGACAGCTGTACAACAAGGGGAATATACTAAAAACCACCGAATTGTACACGTTGAATGGGTGAATTTCAAGTTATGTGAATTATATGTCAGTTTAAAAAAAAATGACACCCAAAGTGAGGAGATCTAGACATCAGCCACCCTGGGGGCCTGCTTTCTGCCCTGAGACCCGTGCGGAGGGGTGTGCTCCGCCGAGGGCTTCAGACCTCACCCACCCATCAGGCTGCACCAGGAGCTCCAGGAGCGAGGGACCCTCAGCCTGCGCATCACTCTACCCCTCGTGCCCAGCACAACACCTGGCACATGGCAGGAGCTCCATGAGCTTCTCACCTCAGCTTTGCTTTAGCTCCAGGCAACCCCCGTCCTCAGATCTCCAGTGGCCCTGCTTTGTTCACTGCCCGGAGGCCACGCTGGCTTCCTGGCCACTTCTCAGATCCACCCAGCACTTCTTTTCCTGGGAACTTTGCCACTGTGATTCCCTGGGCTTTGAGCAGTTTCCCCTCAGGTGATTCCAGGACTGGCCCCTACTTCATTCAAGTCTTCATGCCAATGACTCCTCCTCAGAAGAGACTACCCCACTGAAATGAGCACTCCTCACCCAAGTCCCCCACCCCTTCTCCACACCTCTTATCATCACTTAGCATCAGGTCAACAGGAACGAGCTCATGAGTCTGTCCCTTCTCCCCAGCACCTGGACTGGAACATGGATCACAGTGAGTGATCTTACTAAATACATTCCTTTATTCAATGAGCCTCAAAGGAATATGTCTAAAACCTATAATAGGATCTATAAATAAAATGGTTTCTGCCCTTTAGAAAGTCAGAATCTAGTGAATGATTTACACGAGATGAGAGCACACATCTCAAAACAATCTTGGTATTTTCCCTTAGGGTTGTTAACTTTGACCAGTCATACCTGTCCCTAGCAGAGGTTTGTAGGGTTGTTTTGACCTGGGAAACACAACATACTCCTCCTTGTTTTCCCTGAGCTTAGCTGTCCTCAGAATTAAACTTTCCACAAGATCAACTTCAGAGACTGCACATATTTTGTTTGGCTCATATAATGTGGTTTATAAAAAAAAAAAAAAAAAGTCTGAGCTCAGACTTAACAATGGGAAGTATTCATAAAAATAAAAATGAGAAATAAATAAACTGCACTTCTGTCCCTCTTGGAACCAGAGGACTGGACAAGCTGGGCCACATTCTTGTGGGACCAGGAGCTGCAGCTCAGAGGCACTGCCTCTTGGAAGATGCCTGCCTCCTCTGCTCACCACAGGCCCAGCCCCCCAGTTCCCACTGGCCTGGGAGTCTTGCCTGGCCTGGTAGGGAATGGACCTGAGATTCTGAGATAAGAACAGGAATCTCAAATAGCCTTGGAGCTTGCTTTAGGGAGCCCTGGCATCTTTCCAGGTGGCAAATGCCACCTCAGGTAGCATAAATGTACCTTTTTTCCATTCTCCACCATGAGAAGATCTACAGACTCCTTTTCCTGCTCCCTATTCCTTCCTTGAAGATGGGTCCTCTCCCTGCCAGCCTCACCTGCCCACTCCAGCATGTCCTCAATATTCTCTGCTGCCCCAGGCACAAGGCGGCTCTGATCCGTGTCTTCCAGCCTCAGGATGAAGCTCCCCTGGTGCTTCTTGGCAAAGATGTAGTTGTACAGGGCAGTGCGGAGGCCACCCAGGTGCAAGAAGCCTAGTGGAAAAGAACAATTCAGATAAGTCAGGGAAAATGAAATCACAAGTCTCAGCTGAGGGGCAAACAAGTTCTTCTTGTGACAGAATGTCTCAATGCATTTCAAAGACCAAATATGGCTCTGCCTGTCCCATCTCCCTGACCATCAACCAGACAGTCAGACTGTCACAAAAGAGGACTGGGTGGTGGACTCATTTAAGTTCTCATCTTGGAAGTGGAAGATCATCCATGTTCTGGAGCCTGTCGTTTTGTAAAAATGCTCCAATTGTCCCCAAATGTATCCACCACTCTACTTTGATATTTGCCTCAAGGAGAGGTAGAAAATTACCCATGGAAGCCATATCACGCAGGCATTTAACTTATGCCTTGGTCTCGTTTGGGAGACCAAGTTAATTACAAGTGAATAACAAATTTGAAATTCTATAGCTGGTGCAGTGATGCATACCTGTAATCTCAGTGGCTTGAGAGGCTGAGACATGAGAATCTCAAGTTCAAGGTCAGCCTTGGAGATAAACTGCTTCTGGGTTAAATTCTCAGTTACTCCCCCTCCAGAAAAAACTTTAAAATCCTATTTTGCATATATACTCTATGCACACCTTATAATTTAATTTTGCATACTTGAGCACTAGCTTTAAATACTAACCAAAACAAAATTTGACTCCACAATATTTTCCTGCACCAGAGTTTAAACTTTTTTTTTAAAATATATATATTTTTTGTAGTTGTAGATGGATACAATACCTTTATATTTATCTTTATGTGGTGCTGAGGATCAAACTCAGGGCCTCACATGTGCTAGGCAAGCGCTCTACCACTGAGCGCCAACCCCAGCCCCCAGAGTTTACACACTTACTTTTTCATCATTCTTCACTGAGAACTTAAGTTTTCCTATGGCTGTCACCTCCCCTCCCCTTACTTTCTTTGGTCTAGTCCAGAGACCTGAGTCTCCACAGTAAGCTCATCTACATTTCCAGGTATCTGAGGGAGCACAGTTTTCCTCCTGTTTCAACATGGACTCTGTGTGTGACCTTTGCCACCACAAAACCAGTGGTGTTCAATGGCACTGGGTACCAGGAACATGAAGGACACAGTCCTCATAGTTAAAAACAAGGCCTCTGACATCACATTTACCTGGATTGAAATTCTGCATCTATCACTTACCAGTTGCTACCCTTTGGGCACTCTACTTAAATTTTTTGAGCTTTAATTTCCTTATCTGCTAGAGGAATTAAAAACAAAAAAAATAGGCCAGCCATGGTGGCACACGTTTGTAATCCCACTCTCTCTGGAGGCTGAAGGAGGAGGATTGAAAATTAGAGGCCAGCCTTGGCAATTAGCAAGACTAAATAAATAGATAAAGAGCTGGGGGGGTGGGGTTGTAGCTTGGTGGTAGAATATCCCTGTGGTAGTGGTACCTACAGTATAAAAAAAAAAAAACACTTTATTACGAGGTTGCTGTGATATCTAAATGCTTGCTGCTGAAATATACCTTCAATTAATTTTTAGCTAGCACATTAATCTATGCTGCTTGATAATTCTTTTATCCGTTTGTAGTCAACAGCTTTCCTATACAAATGAGCTCTTCCTGCAAATCTTCAGGGAAATGGGAATTATAATGATCAAAACAGAGGGTACTGTTCATCAAATGTCTTTTATAAGATTAGACCTTACTAAGTGGCTCAGCTACATTGGCTCAAACCCAAGGCAAGTACTATTATTAGTTCTACTTGACAGACAGCAAAACTGAGGCTCAGCGATGTTAAGTAATTTGCCTAAGTTACACATCTAGGAATTGGCAGAGAGAGAAATTTGGATCCAGACAATCCTAGGACTTGGCACTCTACAGTTAAGTACTCCTAAAAGCAAGGCGCACAGTCTAGTGCTGATAAGCAAACTGTTGCCAGCTCACAACAGACAAGCATAGAAAGAGTAAAGGTTTCGAAACATGTAGCAACTATTTTTTTTGTATAGCAATTTAATAGAGTAATTTTTGTCTGTTGTACTGAAAAAAATAAATGGGCTTCTATGTCCTATGTTTTCAGATCTTCCATTTTCCTAGTTCTTCATTTATATTGATTTTTACAATATAATGGTGAAGTTATATTGTAAAAATACAACTGAAAATTAAAAACCACTGCTTCCACCGTGGATGATCTGAGAAAACACTGCTCTCTATATAGGATACAGCGTGCATAGAAAGTGGTCACGTGCACCTGGAACTTGGCCACAAAAATGCTTATCTGCTAGCTGCGGGGTATGGAATGAAAGGCTTGCCAAGCGCAAAGCAAAGCGGGCAGAAAGTAGCCTTGGTGAGAAAAAAATGTTGGGAACTGGTGTGGTGGTGGGTTGACAGGAGTTGGAGACAGGTGGGTCTCCAGCAGGTTACACAATGGATCTCTGCTTCGCTGGCTTGCAAAGCTCTCAACGCTCCTAACCGCGGGGCTTTTGCACCTCCCATTTCCTCTGCTCAGGTTTCTTCCATGAGCTTCACATAGAAAGACCCCCCTTGGTTCTTGGTTCTCAGCTCACACGTTATCTCCTGAGCAAGGCCTTCTTGAGCATCTCACCCCAACCTCAGCTTCCTACTCTGCTCTGTTTCCCGCATGGCCCCTGTGACTCTGGAGTCACTTTTTGTAAGTGGCCACTAGAACACAGACTTCATTTTCAGTGACCCCCATCCTGACGTCCAGGACGTGGCACGGTGTATACTCAACACGCGTTTATTGAATGCATGGAAAAAAAAAAAAAAAAAGATCTAAAGAGACGTTGCAAAGATGTTCCCGGAAACGCGAAACCTTTCCGCTCCCGGACCTCAATTGCTGCCTCCGTAAAATGGGGTCGCGCTGCGCTCCCCGTCTGACGCCACCGGAAGGGATTTGTTCAGGAACATTCGGGGGGCGGGGACGGGAAGGTGGGCCTGCCGCGTCACGTCCGCCAAGGTTACCTGTGGGGCTGGGAGCGAACCGCACTCGAACCGCAGCCCCGGGATCGATGCCCAGGCTGGCCTCACGCCGTCCCACCGAGCGACCCAAGGCCGCCAGGGGTGTCCGGAGCCGAAGCAGCCTCTTCAGGAGCGTCGCCATGTGGGCTAGACTCGCACACGTGGGCGTCTTAGTGCGTCACTTCCGGGGACTCCTCCCAGCCAATCTCCCTCTGCCAGAGAGCGCAGCCCCGCCCCTTAAAGGCGCAGGCCCCCTACTTTGAAAACACGCCCCCTAGACAGCAGCTGCCAAACTCGACCACTAGGGGGCGGAACCCAGCCAGCGGGCGATTTCCCGGACCCGCCCCCCGAAGGCTCGGGAAAGCTAAAGCGTGGCAGGGGCAGGACCAGGGAAGCGGAGGAGGCGGGTCTCCATAGAAACCTCCACCTGTTTCCGGCCAGGCTGAGAGAGATTAGGGGCTGCTGCGGGGGCCAATCTCAGCCAGCTCGCTTCTTCCCGGCGGCCTCTGCGGGAGCGGTGGGTGTTGTACACAATCATCATGGCGGCGGCCGGAGCCCCGGATGGTGAGTGCGGAGGGGGTGGCCGGCGCGGGGCTGGGACCCAGGCTGCGGGCGCTCGCGGGCGGGGCGGGGATGCGGCCTGGACCCGGAGGGAGGAGCGTGTTTCGGGAGCCGTGAAGCGGCGGCGCCCGGCCAGAGTCCGGTTCCAGGCCCAGTCGGCGGCGAGCGCCCACCCCCTAACCCCCTTGCAGGCATGGAGGAACCTGGCATGGACACGGAGGCCGAGACCGTGGCCACCGAGGCGCCCGCGCGGCCCCTCAACTGCATGGAGGCCGAGGCCGCGGCGGGGGCGGCGGCGGCCGAGGATTCCTGCGACGCGCGAGGCAGTCTGCAGCCGGCCCCGGCCCAGCCCCCTGGGGACCCCGTGGCGCAGGCCTCGGTCAGCAACGGCGAGGACGCGGGCGGCGGCGCGGGCAGGGAGCTGGTGGACCTGAAGATCATCTGGAACAAGACCAAGCACGACGTGAGGGTGCCTCTGGACAGCACGGGCTCCGAGCTGAAGCAGAAGATCCACTCGATTACAGGTAATCTCGGCGCTGACAGCCCGCTCCCTCCACCCCACCCCCTTTAGCGTCTAGTGCTTACGCTGCACTAGACATTGTGCTTGCTGCTCTCTGTGCATCGGCCCCCTCGGTCCTCCCAAGTCAGTGCTTGCATTCCTCCTCATCTGGTTAATAATGGGCAGATGCGACCCTCGATCCCAGAGCTAGCGAGTGGCCGAGCCGAGATTCCAACCCAGCTCCGACTCGTTAAGTCTGTAACGTCGCTAGTAAAAATCACCTGAGGCACCTCGGCCCTTCCCCTGGAGATTCTGATTCAGTGGGTTTGGGATTCGGCCAGGAGCTTATTTTTTTAGCATATAATCTTAGATATCCAACTTTCACAAGGAAAGGTTAGGAAATACTGCTGTTGGCTGTCTTGCTGACCCTTCACAGGTACTCATATGTATTCATTTTCTCTCATTTATACTTTTTTTTTTTCCATTTATAGTTCTTGACCATTTGAAATGATGCTCTTTTTTCTCTCTGTGGCCTGTAAGCTGGGTAAAAGCAGTAACTTTGTTCTTATTGACTTCTATATTCCTGACACCTGTGAATCCTCCCTGAATATTTGAGTGATTGGATGATGCACAATTTGGAAACAGTGATAGCTAAAAAAATTTTTTAAAATGTTTTTTAGTTGCAGATGGACACAGTACCTTTTATTTTATTTATTTATATGGGGCTGAGGATTGAACCCAGTGCCTCACAGGTGCTAGGCAAGTGCTCTACCACTGAGCCACAACCCCAGCCTGTGATAGCTAAAATTAATTGAGCAATTCATTGAGCAAAAACAGGCACTATGCTGAATGTTCTGCATTTGTCCTGTCTCTTAATCCTTATAACAAATCTATGCAGAAACATCTACTTTCATCTCTGTTAGAAAGTTCTGGAATTTGAGGCTCAGATGTGAATTACCCAGGTTCACAAAACAAACAGATGATGATGGAGCCCCTGTTCACTTCCTGCTCCATCATCAAAGTACTGTATGGGCCGTGCATTTTTTTTTTTCCTTTCATTCTTTGCCCTCTACCTTTCTCCAAGGTCTCCCGCCTGCCATGCAGAAGGTCATGTATAAGGGACTTGTCCCTGAAGATAAGACGTTGAGAGAAATAAAAGTGACCAGTGGAGCCAAGATCATGGTGGTTGGCTCTACGATAAATGATGTCTTAGCAGTAAACACACCCAAAGATGCTGCACAGCAGGACGCCAAGGCCGAAGAGAACAAGAAGGAGCCTCTCTGTAGGCAGAAAGTGAGTCCATCTTGTGCTTGTTGGTCCTGAGAAATGAGAGGCTTTGTCCTCTGTAGCCTTGGTTGATGTTCTCCCTAGAATAAGCTCCTTTTTGGACAGGGCCCCTGATGGAAATTTATGGCAGCAGTTGGGTGCAGCAGAGTGGAGGTGACAGCTACCTGAGATTTGCAACTTTGTCTCGTCTGGCGGGTCAGTGTGTCTCAAGTCTACCTACTTTAGGATAAGGCCTTTGAACAGGGAGGCTTCAGACCAGATATGAAAAGAAATTAGATGTGGGCTTCTCTATCTGGCTGAGTGCCAAAAAAAAAAAAAAAAAAAAATGTCAGTACTAGTATTAAGCCTCCATTTTGAAAAGTGCTTACATTTGAGTTTTGTTTGTGGCTTTTCTCAAGTCAACAAGTGTAATTCTGAAGAGGCATGGAAATCAACAAATTTCAGAGTTCCTCTGAGACTGACCATTTCAGGAACTCAAATGAAGCTGAATAGGAAGATAATGACACTTTTTTATTTATTTTTTTTTTGTCCTCCTGAACCATGAAACGAGGACCTGACTTTTCCCCGTTGTTCGTTTGGATAGAAGAGTTCCAACTTTGTTTTGTAATCATTGTAGCCATTAAAATTCCTTTTATTTTTACTTTTTTTTTTTTGGTTGCTGTAGTGGGGTTGGCAAGTGCTCTATTACTGAGCTACATCATCAGCCCTTCTGAAAAATTTTGTTTTGAAATGGGATCTAGCTAAGTTGCCCAGGCTGGCCTCAAATTTGCAGTTCTCCTTCTTCAGCCTCCTGAGTGGCTAGGATTACAGGCATGTACCACTATGCCAGCTTCAAATTCTTTTTTTGTTTTTAGGAAAAGTGAGATTATTTTATTGTAAAGGGAACAGTTTAGGAAAATCATCATTCGTGATCTTATTACCCAGTGAATCCCACTTGTTGCTGAATAGCTTCCTTGTACAGAAAACAGGTGTTCTCATTTTAATCTGTGTCTTAAGCAGAGGAGAGCAACTTGGACTGATACCAGTTTTAGTGACAATAGGTACTAAGATATATGGCCAACATGGGGAAACCCAATTTTGTGTTAGAAATCCGTAATCCCTTTTGTGTGCTTTCAGGTTTTCAAAAGGATTCTGAAAACCAGGAGTGCTTTTATAAATATGCAGCAAAACCTGATTAGAGTGTGAATATTCACATTTTGCTCTAGAAATATTAATGTACTGGTGACAGGTTGCTCCCCCAGGCCCCATAGAATATTATGTAATTTTGAAAGTATATTTTCTGAAACTCTTTTTTTTTTTTTTTTTTTGGCACATGGACACAATGTCTTTATTTTGTTTATTTTTATGTGGTGCTGAGGTTTGAACCCAGTGCCTCACACATGCTAGGCAAGCGCTCTGCCACAGAGCCATAACCCCAGCCCTGAAACTCTTAAAGTCTAAAATATCTGTGTATAGGAAGTTTTGTGTTGGTTTTGCTTTTTGGTGCTGGGGATTAAACCTGGGGCCCTGTACATACTCTATCACTGAGCTACATTCCTACCCATCCTTAGGATTTTAGATAAGGGATCATAGACCTATATTACCATCCAAAAGGTGTTTATTTGAAGGTTTTTTCACTCTCCACATAAGGGGTCATAATATCCTGTAATGTGTTCTCTTTTCCCACCTTCCCTGTCACATGTATGAACAGATCTGAGTGAACATTCTCACTGGTCACACCCTTAGAGCATAATATGCCTTGTAAATACAGGTTTTAAGTGACTGGTGGTAGCTTAACAGGCTTAGAACTGTTCTCTACAGTGCAGGGAGGATTCTTCAAAAGGTGCTTGTAAGGCATGACTCGTAATTATGCTTCCCACCTGTGCCACTTTGTTTGAGTGACACCAGTTATTATGAGGTATGACATGGCCTAATGACGGATCCAGTCCCTTCAGCTTTTTATGGACACGTTCAGGTATCTGGAGCTGATGTGCAGGGTGACTCTTTGCTGGCAGTGTGGCATTCATTCCTGCCACAGGTTCTGCATGCCAGTGAGTAAGTGAGCTGGCTCATGGTTCCTGGTGCTTACATTTGACCAAATTTTTACCCTCTGCCCATTCTTTGTCCCCTAGTACCAGCTTTGCCAAGCATTGACCTGGAAAGCCACAGTTGGAGAAAAGATGAGACTTGAGAGCTGTAGGGGCCATGGATTCGAACCCCTATTAGCTGCCTCACCTCCTCAGCGTCGGGTGGGAGTGGGGTTTGAGACTTCTTAGTGTCAAAGTAGTCAGTGTTTCTGCTTGGAAATATAATTCCTCAAGTTTTCTTTGAGGCTGGGGTTAAGGATGGGGCAGTAGGGAAGACGTCTGCGATGGACCCCCACCCTTCTCAGCAGTTAGGTTGATTACCAGCATCTTGAAGTTCTCTTTGGGAGTTGAAGTTGACAGGTATTGCTGACATTTTCTACCTGCCAGAAGAGCAACACCCTTTGCAGCTCTTATTAAGGTGTTTCATCCTTTCATTGGTGACTTTTTGCAAAGAAAGGGAGTAGAACATTTGAATGAGCAATCTGGAAATCCTCTTTGCTCCAGAAGTTCATTGGATATTATAGCTACATTGAGATGATTAAATAATTAAACTAAGTATTCAGTTCTTCAGTCTTGTTTCTGTTTAATTATTGCAGTACCAGGGATTGAACCCAGGGGCACTTTACTACTGAATTACACCCCTTTTTAAATTTTGAAACAGGATCTTGCTCAGTCGCCTAGGCTAGCTTTGAACTTGTAATCCTTCTGCTTCAGCCTTCCTGGTAGCTAGGAGCATACACCTGGCAGTTCTCAGTCTTACTAGCCACATTTTAAGTGCTTAATAGCCTCATGTTGACTGATGGCTAACACAGGTGTGGAAGATTCCCTCATCACAGCAACTCCTAAGGACAGCACTGCTGCGCTGTGTCAAGGGATCATGGTCTGCAAACGTTAAAGGCTTTTGCACAAAAATGTTAAGACTTTCTTCATCCCATTTTTGAGACAGAGCAATGTGACTAAATTGTAAACAGCTGTGTCACATGACAGTCTCTTCTGGCTTGTGTTGTAGCAACACAGGAAGGTGCTGGATAAAGGGAAACCTGAAGACGTCATGCCGTCTGTCAAGGGGGCCCAGGTAAGCCCGACTTCTTTGTGACCATCTGGAAAGGAACCAGTTCCACCTTTGGAGAGTCTTGTAATTGTGTTCTCACGTCCTGTCCCTTCTCTTTTCTCTGTCCGATTGTCCCTGCCCCTCTCACCATGTCGTTGTGCCTCCAGGAGCGCCTGCCAACGGTACCCTTGTCCGGCATGTATAACAAATCTGGAGGAAAAGTGAGACTCACCTTTAAGCTCGAACAAGACCAGCTGTGGATTGGCACTAAAGGTAAGTTGGTTCTCGGCCTCCTCCCAGCCCACGCCTGCCTCTGCCGCCCAGCAGCACTGGTTCCAAGGGCTGCCGCTCCTCGTTGGAACCTCTCGCCTCACTGCTTTGTGTGCTTCTGGCTTTTGAATTTGCTTTTAGATGCTCACGTCTTGTTTGGACCCTTTTTGCTCCTGTGCAGTCTGATACCAGAGCCGACCTGTTGAACAGTGGCTCCTTGCACAGAGAACCAGAGGTCCAGAACATGTGGCCCAGGGCCAAGTGCTGGTCTCCGTAAAGGGCTTTATGGGCTTACTTAGACACAATTTGCAAAAATCAGGAGATTTCACTTAATCTGATTTTTGAGGGGCTTCTCTTGGGGAAAAAAAAAAAAATCAAAAGATTGGGGCCTGCGTTCCCGTGGCACCGAGGAGCTAGAACTGAGTAGTGGTTTGCAGTGGGCCGTGCTCCTCTCCCCGTGTAGCCAGCTTGCTCATTATGTCACCTGCCTGGTCCCTGTAGGTCAGTAGACCTGTGCTAGGTGAGGTTTTCCTGACTGCTGCCTGAGTCCCCCGCCCGGGTCCCCTCCGCCCTGCTGTGCGCAGTGTCTGGGTCACCCTTGCTGTTTCCTGGGGAGTGTCTCCGACCATGCTCGCTCTCCCTTCCCTTAGTGGTTACAAAGTCTTGGTGGTTACATTCCGCAATGTCTGTGTCCCTTTCTTGGCCACCGTGCGTGTGTGTGTCAGGGCTATTAACACCTCTCAAGTTGTGTTAAGAGCAAGTCGGCCACCTCCCTGCTCGGCCGTCATCTTCTGTCCTGTCCTCGTCGTGTACTCTTTTTTTGTTTTGTTTTTACTTATTTTTTAGTTGTAGTTGGATGCATTACCTTTATTTATTTTTATGTGGTGCTGAGGATGGAACCCAGGGCCTCCCACATGCTAGGCGAGCGCTCTACCGCTGAGAGCCCCCCACCCCCCGTCATATACTCCTTTTTGTCACTGGCTCCTACATTCAAAACACCTTTGGCCCCTTAACACCAAGTTCAAATGCCTGAACCCAGTGCTGCTGTTCTTCACAGTGAGCCCCAGTGTAGACTTGTTGCCTGCTCTGCGTGCCCTGTTGTCCCTGTGTGTCTCGGCTAACTTCTCCGCTTCGCTCATGCTGTGCCCTTCCTGTGGTTAATGAACTCTTCAGAGGCCCTGCCACAGTGCCCCCTCCTAATGAAGCCTCCCTGATAGCTCCCATCCCCTCCAAATGAACTGCTGCAGCTTCTGTTCCTCATGTCCCCAGAGCACTCATTACTCTCTGACTTGTCTGTCCCCCGTTAGATTCCCGGAGGGAACCGAACAATTCACCTGTTTCTGGCCAGCACTGTAGGTATTCAGTGTGCGAGGTAAATGCTAAAGAGAAGTATAGGGGTCCCATTATCTGAGGCTAATTGGTTTCAGGGACAGGCCATTTGCTATGACTCCACTAAAATGGGACCAAAGTTTTATAGAAAATAAAACTTGGGACAAGGGTGGTGGGGAGTGAGATTTTTATCATCTTGAACATTCTAGAACACAAAAATAAGTTTCTTATTTTCAACTCTGTGCTGGTTCTTAAAATGAGCAGATTGAAATGCCAAAAGCGCTTGAGTTTTCTAACATTTTATGGTAACTTGTTATAGTCTCCATTTCACATGCAGCTCAACTGCATGGTCAGAGCAAGCTTTGCAAATTTGGAGGGGCTCCCCGGTTTCTCCAAGGGCCTTCAAGCCCTTCACTAGACCGCTCTTTCCTGCCCCCATCCTCCTCATCAGCGGCCAGCTGCCCCGCCTGTGTTGGCTTTGCAGGTGATCTCGCTTGGTTCTCCATCATTGTATTCACTTGCTGGAGCACATAGACCTCCTGCCTCTTGCCAGACTTCTCCCTTGGCTTGTGGGCAGCCCACTTGAAGGCAGTTGCCAAGGTGGATCCAGGAAGACAGTAATGTGCAGGAGGGTAGGTGCAGCAGGGGTCTGGTGAGGCCTGAGTCTCTCCAAGCTCACTGGGCCCTCAAGGAATATTTTTGTGTTATGAAGTGGTGTAGGAGATGCATAGTAACCACGTGGACAGACTTAACTAAGAATTGCCTGTCCTTCAGTTGGAGGTTTTCAGTGGCCGCCTTCTTGCTTTGGCTTGAGGGCGCTGGATACATGGGGCTTCTGAGCTATTGAGAGCCTCCTTCCTCACCAGCCCTGGTGCCATCCAGGCTTGGCTGAGCCTGAGACCTTACTCCCACCCAGACCTTGGGGTCAGTATGCCTCAGCAGCCCAGGGAGCAGATGCCCTTCCCACTCGCCCAGGAGTCCTGTCATTAGTGGCAGTACTTGGAGGAGGATAGCTTGTGCTGGGAGCTGGCTGCTAGCCACTGGCATTGTCTTTCCACCAGCCAGAAGCTGCTGTGGACGACCATCCCTGTCCGTGGGGTGCTTTGCTAAGTAAGCGGCCCTCCCAGGCTTTTGTGCTCTCCTTGCTGCTTGTGTAGGAGGAAGCCGAGCTGATGGCCTCGGGCACAGCAGAGCAGGAAGCACCCGCAGCTCCAGGAGGCCTGAGCCCTGTTTGTGGCGCTCTCATCTAGTTTAGTTGCCATCACCCTGGAACGGGGGCCCAGCAGGTCCAATCTTTGAAGTTTTCAAGAGAAGCCAGAAATCCATATTTTTATGTGAAATCTCCAGACATTTCAAGGTGAAAGCTGTTTCAGAAAGTTTCAATCTTCACCACTGGTTTAGAGACCTGGAAAGTCTAAGCCCGAGAGAACATCTTTGGGTTCCTTGCCCCTGACCCCCATTTTTCAGAGGCAGGGCCCCCAGCGTGGTCAGCAACAAGGCCAGAACCCTGTCTGTAAATTGCTAGTCGGGCAGCTTGCCTATTTTCACATTCTACCTTTCCAGATTTTCCTTTCTGCCAAGGCTGCCATGGGTCCTTCTCTCCTTGATTCAGCTTGCTGGGAATGCCCGCCCCTGCCTCACACCCACCCTGCTGCACGGGGCTCCTGCCCAGCAGGCTCATCTCACTCCTGTCCGCCACCTCTTTCTTCGCTCTGTAGAGCGTCTTCAGCCCGTGTCATCGGTGTGGTTTCAGTCGGCATTCACACCAGGTTGTAGATATTGGCGAACACCTGATGTGTGCGCACCGGGGGAGAAGGCTCAGCAGGGCCTGGTGTGGAAAGTGGCCTTAAAGCTGGAGCACTCCTCCCTCCTGTGAGAGCCCCGGGAACACTGTTGCTCCTCTGTCCTTACCTCTTAACTCTCCTTATGCCAGGCGCCCAAGAGTTGAGCCAATGCTGGGCTTGGGCCGTGAGGGTATAAAGGAGTTTCTTGGGTATTTATTTAAAAAATCATCAGACTTTGAAAACTATTGCCAGGGAAGATCTATTTCTGCTCTCAGAAACTTTTGTCATCATTCCCAAATCCTGTTCCCCATTTTCTCCTGCGAAATTCCAGGTCTCCTTGCTGGGAGTGGTAGTGCGTGCCTGAAATACCCGCCCCTCGGGAGGCTGAGGCGGGAAGATGACAAATTCCAGGCCAGCCTGGGCGACTCAGAAAAACCCCATCTCAAAAAATCAAATGGGCTGGTGATAGAGCTTAGTAGGAGTGCACCCCAGAGTTCAGTCCCCAGTTTGGAAGAAAGTTCCCAGCTGCCAAGCAGGGATGTAGGGGCGCCTATTTAAAGATGCTGCCCTGTGGTCCCTCAAGGGCCTGGTGCCGTGAGCAGTTTACTGTAGATCCTGTAGCCTTGATGAGGGAGGGACTGCTGCAGCCGAGGAACTGGGGGCCTTTGAATAACCACTGTCGTCCCTCTCAACCTAGAGCGAACTGAGAAACTGCCCATGGGCTCCATTAAAAATGTGGTCAGTGAACCTATTGAAGGACACGAGGACTACCACATGATGGTAAGTGGCCTGGCCTGACCTGGCCCCCAGCTAGGTGCCTGTTCTGCCTTCTCTAGCAGGGGGTGGATTTCTAACTGAGCTTGCTATTGAAGAGAAAACATTGTCTTCAAAGGACTGTGTTAAGACTCTTGTGTTTTCTTGTCTACTTAGAACTTGACCCATGACCCTCTTCTCAGTTCTGTTTATTTTGCAGCCACCCCCCTCCCGCCCCATCCCGCAGCTGGAGGGGTACATTTCTCCTGTGCTGTTAGAGACCTCTCCTGTGCCTCCCTCTTATTTGTCATATTTTGTTTTTAGACCAGGAAAATAAATACGAAGAGGAGGAATGGCTTGTGGATTTCATTTTTAATTTTTTCTTGCTTTTAAAAAAGAGAGCACCCCCTGGCCTTGGTGTTGAGGAGTCTAGGTGGTCTCCCTCGTGGTGTCTGACGCAGGGCCAGGCTGTCCGCAGGGCGCAGGCTGTGCTTTCCCGGGCAGTGTGTCTGGAGCCACTCCTCAGGTCTGCAGAGCTAGCAGAGTGTAGACTAGGCTCCCTTTTCCAGCACTATTTGAAGGGGTCCCCCGCCCCCCTTTTTTTTTTCTGGTAACTTTTCAGTGCTGAATATTGAACTCTGCCTGAAGTTATGCTAGATCGAGGGGCCACTTTATACATGAAGTTTAACTGCCTAAACTCCGAAGTTGCTATGAGAGGGACTTGACCTGAGCTAGCAATGGTGTGAGGGCAGGACCATTTGCCCTCTTCCCTCTGAGGAGGGAGGTTTTTCGGTGTCTATGGATAGTGATGCAACTGTGTGCACTCTCTCCCAAGGAGAAGGAGCAGTTCAGTGGTTTGACCAGCGGGTGGTGTTACGAATTCCATGGCAGAGGGATCTGTCAGAAGATCTCCTTGTTAAAGGGAGAAATCGGCTAGAGAGCCAGCCTGTCCCTGTGCCTGCCCTGTATGGTGGTGCTAGTGCAGGGCTGTGGTTGGGACCCTGGGCTGCAAGTTCCTGTCCTTCCTGGAAGTGGCCACAACATCACTGGGGCTTCTTTCAGGCCCGTCCGCGGCCCTTCACCCTGCTCCGCTGCAGTCTACATGACTGCATACAGGTTTGATTTGCCTTCATTATTTTTCTGTTTTAATGGTTGCATTGTTGTACTTGAAGAATTTGTGTGAGCATTTTGACTCTGTAGGGTTGGCAGCCCCAGTTTTCAGGCGGCCCGATGGTAGGGATTACAGACAAGTTGAGCTCACCACCCTGCACATCTCTTAAGGACTTAGTGTGCAGGAGTAATGAGTTAGTCCTCAGAAAAGTGTTCCTTTCTCTGTGGAGTCATTGCTGGCAGAGGGTGGTTCTAGTCACCCCCCTCCTTCTAAACACTGCTAAGTAGCACTTTTGTGCTGATGAAAGTACTTACTTCCCTCTTGAAGCACATGCCATTTCTCTAGCTAGATAAATGTGTCACAGTTCACAATTAGAGAAATGTGGCTGTGCTCTTCCACTTTTGGAAATGAATTTCTAACAGTACAGGAAAGGAAAGGGAATACCACAAGCCATCCATCCCCCATCACTGAGATCAATTGTAAATCCTTTGTAACTTCGTTTAAATCTTTTCTTCAAATAAAAAATAAATTCTGCCAACAGCAATGATGTCCCCATTGTCTTCCCCTTCCCCCATTCCCATCATCACAATTCCTCGTGTGTCTTTCCATCTACAGTTCTTTTATGTATATGTCGACGAACAAGATCGAGTATTTTTTTTCTGGTTTTCATAAAGGACATCATGGTGTGTGCTGTTCTGCAACTTGGTTTTTTTCGTTCGACATCATGTTTTGTCATATGAACTCTAGATGCACAAGGACCAGCTCATACCTCTGTAAAGCACGCCAGTGTTTATGTGAATAGCATACCCCACTCGGGATCCTGCATCCCCTTCCTGACGGATGTGTAATTGTTGCTAGGGTGTCAACGTCTCCGACAGCACTGTCTCAACGTGCCCACCACTCTCCTTGTGCATGTGTATCAGGTTTTCTAGGGCAACGGTTCTCAAACTGGTCTTCAGCAGTGTTGGATTACCTGGGAGCTTATTGGAAGTTACTCAGGCCCCGCCCCCCCGCCCCAAACTAAAACTTCCAGGGGTGCAGCCTGCGGTCTGTTCTCAGGAGCCTTCCAGATGGTTCTGTTGCACATGCACGTTTGCAAGCCGCTGCCTTGGGGTTGGCCATGCTGAGCCCCAACCCCCTTTTCTTGTCCTGGTTTTTAAACATGTTAGGAGAGTGTCCCCCTGTGCACAGTTGCATTTTGTTTTCTTCCCTTTTGAATGAATCCACTTCCCAGCCCTCTCCCCATGTGTGGTTCTGCCTGCTTGGTCGCCCGCCTCTGAAGTTGGCTTGGTTTTCCTTTTTCCATTCCAGGCGTTTCAGTTGGGCCCCACGGAAGCCTCTTACTACTGGGTGTACTGGGTTCCAACTCAATATGTGGATGCAATCAAAGACACTGTGCTGGGCAAATGGCAGTATTTTTGAAAGCACTTTCACCTCTGGCCCAGGAGACTGACCCAAAGTGAAGGACATTGCTGGAGAGGCCTGCAGCAGCCCTGGATTTCAGAGTTCTGGAACTTTGTTCACACACACAAATCTCGATTCAGTCTGAGGTGATGTGGTGACTGAAGCCAGAGGTGATGTACTTTCACCATTAGCTTAATTTTAACTTAAAATCACCGATTCCCTTTCTTGCAGTCAGCTTCATACCATTTTTAAAGTCAGTATGGTGGAAATCAATAAATCTGAATTCCGAACATGTTGTGTGGAATACTCTTAAGTCTGTTTGAGAGTAGATCTGCCAATTATGTTGAGAAGGAAATGATGAAAAGCTTTCTGGGTTTTGTTTTTGTTTTTGTCTTTTTTAAAAAAAATGATTTCAGCTGAAATATTTTCATAAATCTTTGGTTGCAAACATTTGGACTGCATTGTGATGAGTTGGGGTATTTTTTTCTTTTTCCTTGGTATAAAATTGTATGCAAAATGTTGTGGGGGGTTAGTAAGCCATTTTTTCTGTTGATTGATTGATTGAGATTTCTTTCCTTTTTTAATTTTCTCACTTCCCTAGGTTTGAGTTTTGGTTTTAAAAACCCAAAGATGTCAGTTCCTCTTTTGGTACCTCATCCACGCTTCCTTTCCTGGGCTCTCTCCCACGTGCTGCTGCTGCTTGGAATGCACATGGGAGACGGGAGCTGCTGGGTCATGGTCAGGGAGCCCTCACCCTTGCTGTGGTGGTGTTGAGCAGCAGAGTATCTCACAAGTGACTCCTGTCTAAACGTCTTGCCCTTCGGGCCCCGACTTGTGGGGCTTTCCGTTGCCTGTTCAGCGGTCGCGGGCAGCCCTCGCTGAGCGGGGCTTTGAGGCCCAGCCTGGCCTGGTTGTGCCTAGGCTGGGCTCCTCCAAAGCCCCAGTTTGGTGAAGGAGCCAGGTGGAAGATAGTTTGTGCAGCCATATAGCCACAGATCCAGAGACCTTCTTTCTTTGGAAGTTTTCAAGAAATTCTTAAGCAGTCCAATGATTATTTCAATTATGCTTCTCCATTTGGTCCTTCTGCTCATGCATTAAGTTCAAGTGTCCTTTATCCCAGGTTCAGAGATGCTGCCTTTCTCAGTAAGAAGACACCTGACCTAGCGGGTTGGCCAGTGGTGTTTGAACAGTGAAATGGGATAAATTGCTTTCATGATCAGCTCTCCTCTGGTTTCAGCCCTTATGTTCTTCGTACATGTACATTTCTGTCATCTCCTATGGCTTGATTGACTCTGAAATGAGGGACAGTCTCTTGGTGGATGACACCCTCTGTGCTGTTTGCTGTATCTCTGCTGCTGTCTCTGCAATTCTCCTCTCTCTGGTTGCAGGCTCTCATAGTAAGGTCTGGCAAGAAATCTTCCCAACTTCACACTTTGGATTCTAAGCTGTTCCCCCTCATTCTGTGAAATGTATTAGCATGTGTTTGCCTAAGATGACTATTCCTTGTGAGCCAGTTACCGACGATATTCTACGCCCTTCCCTTCTAAGCTGTAGTTCAGGAATCTACATAGACAGACTCTTGCTTTTCGTGGTGTAGTCAGTGCCAAGTTACGCATCTGGGCAGGAAAACCTACTCTTCGCTTTTTGGGGGCATAAGGTATGGATGTGAAGTGCAGCGTCCAAGAACCTGCCTGTTTGCCATCGCTTGGAAAAGGAGCAGTAACTGCAGCTCTTGTCCCTGTTGGCAGTCGCCGGGGAAAGGAGTGCACCTTTGCTGCTTGTCCCAGCCACCTCCTGTGGTTGACAGGGCTACAGGGGAAGTGATCAGGTAGCAAGCAGAGCATCCTCTGGGTTTAAGTACTGCCCTTTGTTTGCTGATGTCCCCATCCTTGAGACTTGTCTGACAGTGCCATGTGCCCAGTTTTGGTCTTTTTGTCCCCAGAGTGGCTCTGAGACCCCTCCCACCAGCCCCTCCTCTGCCCCCACCCTCCTCCCTCGCAGCCAGAGCGAGTGTGCCATTGTCCCCCTGCTGCCCCAGGGCCAGATTGCTTCTCACTCAGGCTGGTGTCATTTCAAGAGGACCAAAGCCTGCGTGAGCCTTTTTATTTTCAGTAAAATGGTGCTTATTTCCTTACTTCAAGATATTATATATAAATAATGACGTAAATGACACCTTTTCGTGTGGAGCTCTTGAGTTCTGCTTCACGGAGCTCCCTTAATCTGTCGTCACAGTCCTGAGCTCTGCAGGAGACCTGGCTGGAAGCCCTCGGGAGAGCAGAGGAGGACAGCACCAAGGCCCCTGGGGGAAGTGTTAGAGACCCACCTCTGGGTCCCAGCAGTCCTCACTGTTTTGTCACTCAGTCCCGTGAGCAGTCTCTTTATCCATCGCTTACATCTGCCTAAATCCGTGTGAGCAAAGCCAAGTGCTCCCCCCTTTAGGTAGCAACACAGTGTTTTGTTTTTCCCTCAGGATTATTTCTGTACAATTCCTTCACTGTCAGGTCTGAGGGGACCAGAACTTTCCCTCCCTGTGGAAGGGGGCATGCAGGTGGATAAAGGAAGAGCTGACTCCAGAGAGGGCTTCTGAGGGCGTCACCTTAAGCTTGAGATGGAGAGGTCCTGCCCTGGGGTCTGTCATCTCAGTGCCACCCAGGGGGCTTCTTTGCTGTCCAGACTTGGTAAAGCAGTCCTCCTCCAGATCTCCACTCGCGGACATCATGCCTTTCTTTTCCTCCCTGAGGAGACTTGGCAGAGTGAGGCAGCCTCGGAGCCCTGCTGAGCCCCCATCAGACCCTTTCCAGTCAGCCTGGTCAGAGGACTTAGACTGTGAGTTGCTGGAGCTCTTTGGTGGAAAGTATTTTAATCCATGATGGGTCTTTTGCAAGTGGCGTTTGCTCTTTTTAAATGAAGTTTAACTGAGGATGCACTTTCTTATAATCTTGTGGACATGGTCGGGACCAGGCGAGGCCCTCAGTAGGCTCCTTAGTTGCTGCTTTACCTTAGGAGGGCCAAAGAGGTTGACTCTGCTCCCTTGCCACGCCTCAGAAAGGTCGCCATATTTCACCCAGAAGGGACGCGTTTTCCTCCTCCTCTTTAACCATGTGCCTGGAGGAGCCATGCTGGGCTCTTGCCTTTGGCCCACCCTTTCTTTGCCAGGGGCCGAGAAGGAGAGGGGTTAGACCTGGAGTCCCAAGGGCAGGCTTTCTTCCACCCATCTGCTGAGGGACCTCTCTCGCTCCTTGCCTCTGTTCATGCCTGTTGTCTTGGAAGAAGATGGTCCCTGTGTCTTAAGGCTTGTGGTGAAGTCGTCTGCAGTTAGGGTCGGCACCTGTTTCCTTCTTCCCCGCCGGCAGCCTTTCTGAAGTCACAGGTGGTCTGGAGCCCGTGATGTGCAAAACACCTGGTCGGTTACCTGCCGGCGAGTGCTTGAGTGCTTCTACTGCTTTCTCAGTCTGAGAACCTTTCTCTTCTTTGTTAAAGAGCTCTGCAGAGTTATTGGACAATATGTGTAAGTACCATGTTTCCTTGTGGCGTACGCTCTGTTCTGGTTTGTTTTGAAATCAAATGCCTGTTTGGGAGGAGATGAACGTATTTAGTCTATTAGATTTGCGCTGCTGGATTTTTTTTTTTTTTTAAAGTGTAACCTTGACTAGCTGTCTTATTGTTTATTCTGTAAGATTAGTCTATCAATTAAAGTTTGATAATTAATTGCGTCTCTCTTTCCTTCTGATCCTTCCTGCGTCTAATCATTACTGGGGACTGACCAACACTTGGAGCTGGGCCCCAGGCCATCTTTTGCCAGCTGTGGTCTTATTTGGCTTTAACTAGATCCAAATTTATTCTCTGCTGAAACAGCTGAGAATAAAGAGATTCTGGTTTTATTTACTCTAGTGGTCCAAGTGACCAGCTTGCGGGTCAGCCACCCTCTGCTAAGGTGGCTACCTTTGTCTGCTCTGACCTCCACGTGGCAGAGGTGCCCCCTGCCCTCACCCTCCTGACTGGGTGCCTTGTGCAACCTCACCAGCCACTTAGCCTTTGAGGACACACATTCAGTTAAACACTTGAGAACAGCTCTGGCCACGTGCTACCAAGACTCAGGAAGAGGGAGGAGGAGGATATTATTACCAAAAAAATGGGACAAGAACAGAATCCTTGGTCTAAGGAGTGAGAACTGGTCTCTCAGAACTGGTTTGGACCCTCTACCACCCCCAGACAGTAGATACTGTCTCTTCTTTCCCGTGTTCTAAGTGTTCTGGAAGATTTGGTCTCATTTCCCTGTTCTGGCAAGGGGAGGATGTGTATTGTTTTTCCATTTTCGTCTTACCTCCTAATCCTGATGGAACACTGCTGGATTCCTATGGCTCTGGCTGTGATCTGGAGAGGCCAAGGTGGGTTGTCCACCTGCTGTACATTGGCTGGTACCCACCTGGAGAGAATCTTGTGTCTCTGCAGAGGGTACTTCTGGATTTTATACCAATTCCAAACAATTATTTCAGGCACCTTAAGACTAACAGGATGATTGATTCTTCTGCAGTGGAGAATGAGATCAACTCCAGTCTGAATATTTTTACTATACTGTTGGGAAATGTCTGGCATTTTCTCAGCTTTGGGTAATTTAACAGAATCCTTCCTACACCAGGGACCCAGCTATGGGACAGGTATCAGGGCAGGAGACAATGCTTTTCCTCCTCTTGCCCGAGAGCTCTGACAAGACAGATGTGCAGTGGGAATGAGGTACTCTCCCCCAGCCTCCGCCCACACACTTGGCTGCTGGTAGCTGGAACTCTGTTCCTCTGGCTTTGCCTAGTTGGAAAGCTGGTACAGAATGGTTAACATCCCTACACCATTCACATAGGTTTGCCAGTTATTAAAATATTAGCCACATCTTCTTTCTGGTCTAGACATACCAATTTGTTTTGCTGAAGCACTTGACAGGTGTGCTGACGTTGTGACACTTCCAAGAGTGTCAGCACACATCTCCTAAGAAGGTTGTTTTAAACCTAAGAAAATCACCTAAGAAAATTCCTGTCAATTCAGTGATACCGTCCTCATAGGCCAGCATAGCTTTCAGAAGAATTTCAGTTAATGATCCAGTTTAAAATCTTTATCTAGTCTTGTGTTGTTTAATTACCATTTTAACTTTTCTACTGTTACTAGTCCTGGCTTTTTTTCTCTCACCTGGAAGTAATTCCCTTCTCTGTGTGTCGCCCCACCCACTGCACAGGGGCTAGAACCCGGGGGCCTCATGCATGCTAAGCAAGCACTCTACCCCCAACCCTAAGCCATGTCCCCCAGCCCTCCACCTGCATAGTTTGTCTTCATTTGCTGCTCCTCTCCATCTTGTCTTGAGTCTGCTTCTGCGTGGGTTTCTCATGGCTAGGGAGCTGTGGTCCTGGAGGAGGCTTGTCATGGAACCAGATCCCCAGAGGGCAGAGTCCTTTTGTCCAGTGATCATTGTGGCTCTGAGGCCATATCCTGTTCTAAGACTGAGGTCCATAACCGAGGACTCTCGTGGTTCTTGGTGACAGTTGACACAACTTAGGCACAGGGATGTGGCTCCTGTAATTCCAGAGTGTCCGACCTAGCCCAGTGCCAATGCTTACATCACATTGCCAGGCGCCTGCCACATACCTCTGGGCTCTGCTTTGTCCTTGGTTGACCTAGAGCCTGCAGACTAGCGACCAAGAGGAAAGAGAATCTCCCCACCGCGAGAGTTCAAGTAAAAGTCCCAGACAAGGCTTTTAAGGGCTCGTTACAGACACGGTGACCTGCTGCATCCACAGCACGCGCTGGTCTGCGTCCACCCATCATGAGCCTCAGGGATTTCGGGCAGATATTCCAAAGCTCAGAATATAGCACTTTGACAGGCCACCTAGCAGGTGTTGACCTCTTGCCATGTGCCAGGTAAATGCCACTTGGAGAGAACCTCCTCTAGGGCTCCAGCCCTGGGGTGAAGATTGGGAATCAGAGGAAGGTGCTCTGTGGATGAAGACCAGCTCTAAACACGCTCCGTCCAGTCCTGTGGTCTCAGCTCCTCCATTGATGGGCCAGGTGCTCCACTCATCATGATGTGCATGATATTGTCGCTCTTCTTCATGTCCCTCCTGTTACCCTACTTTTGCTATTAGCAGTGTCTTGGGCTCAGAGAAATAGAGGCTTAGCCACGTGAGTGGCTACATTGAGGCTACATTTCAGAACCCCAGTTTGCCTGGTGCTACTGTAAGTCTGCCCTTACTCCCCTGACTGTTGAGAACTTAAAGCGGTTTGAATTTTCCTTTCTTAAAACTCTGAACCTTGGCATTTATGTATTGTTTTCATTAATTAACTTTATTAATAAAGTAAATATTAAATTTGCTTAATTTGCTCATTGATTTGCTATTTTAAAAGCTAAAATAGTCATACGTGCACTGGATACAGAGATGTCAGGGGATAGGTCCATCTCTCAGTTCCCAGCTTCTCAACCCATCACCTTAGGCTTCAGCACCTGAGTGTCCATTCCCTCTTAAATCTCTTATAGGTGTGAGAGGGCAGGGTGCTTGACAGAAACCTGGCAGAGGAGGGAGGCGCCTTGCCGGCACCCAGACTCCAAGCCTCATTCCCCAGCCTGAGCTTCTCCTTGAGCCCTTGTCATTAGGTCGCCTGCTCGGGTATTTCACAAGCACCCCAAATGTACCATGTCCTAAACTGAAATCACATTCCCCTTTAGATCTGATTCTCTCCTCATCCCTCTTTATTTATTTATTTATTTTTTGATATTGGGGTGCTTTTGATATAGGGGCATGTTAACCACATGTTACCTCCCCAGTCTTTTTTTTTGACAGAGTCTCAAACCTGGGATCCTCCTGCCCCCGCTTTCCAAGCTACTGGGGCTATAGGAGTGCACCACAGTAGCACGCCCTCCGCCCTCATCTGGTTTAGACAGCAACTCCCCAGTACTGAGTAGCTCAAGCCACAAACTTCGGAAATTACACTCAACTGATTCATTTCCTCCTTCATCTGGTCAACTTCTGCCATTTTATTCCCAGAATCCTCTAGTCCATCTCTTTACCCCCACCTCCAAATCATTTTTCTCATGGGCACTTTGAGTAACCACCAGGATCATCCCCTTCAGTCCACCCTTGGTGTAGCCGCCAGCGGCTGATCTCAGGTACATCTGGATGTCTCCCCTGCTGGCCTCCCCTCCCCTGGTGGCACTCACTGCCAACAGGTTCCTCCAGCAGGTTTTCCTGTGTGGCCTAACCCTGGCCACTTCTTTAACCATAGGTAACCCACCCAACCTGGTCCCCGCTGGCACCTGCCAGACTGAACAAACAGGCCCCACCTGCTGGTTTTGCCCGCACTGATGCTGCTGTCTTCACAGCCCTAGAAATTCCCCTCAGCCTCCACTCCCCTTAAAACCTTCCCCACCTGCCAGTTCCCCAGCTTCTGGTGGACTAATGCCAGATTTCACACTCTTCACTTTTATTTTTCATTTATTATACAATGTATTATAATTTAGAAAACAGTGATTAGCAATAGCCACATCTACATTATATCTCTTGGTGATGATCATTATCATTTTGATGTTTTTATAGAAATTGGATCATGCTGTTTTTGCTTACAATATCATTCTTTCCATTTCCTATAAAATTATTTCTGCTCATCCAATCCCATATTGTTGGATCAAATTATAAGTCACAGCATACTCCTTGTTACAGGTACATAAAATTTTCTCCGGTTTGAGAAATTTTAGACAGGTGAAAGCATAGTCCAGTGAGCTCACATGTACACATCAATTAGTCACCAATTCACAGTTTGCTTTTTTTTTTTTTCTTTTTCCTGAATCACTTGAAAGTCAGCTGCAAGCTGGTTATGGTAGCACACGCCTGTAATCCCAGCAACTCAGGAGGCTGAGGCAGGAGAATTCCAAGTTTGAGGCCAGTTTGAGCAACTCAGTGACAGTTTCAAAAAATACAAAGGGCTGGTGGGGGCTGGGATTGTGGCTCAGTGGTAGAGAGCTTGCCTAGCACATGTGAGGCACTGGGTTCGATCATCAGCACCACATAAAAATAAATCGTGTATTGTGTCCATCTATAAAAATATTAAAAAATAAATAAAAAAAAAAACTGGTGTTAGAGTACCCTGGGGTTAATCCACAGTACTAAAACAATAACAAGGTCAGCTGCAGACTTCACTGTTTCACTCCTAGATATTAAATGTCTCCAGAGAACAAAGTAGTTATAACCACTGCATATAATCCTATTACACATAAAAAATTCAACATTGTCTTATCACTTAAGTACAGCCCAATTGTCCCAAAAATGTCTTTTGTGGGGTTTTTCCTCCCAATCCATTTCAGCAACACATTTCTCAAATTTGTTCTTTGGTCTCCTTTAATTAGAAGTTACCCTGCCCTTTTCCATGACGATTATTAAATAATTATTTAATTTATTAAACATTGTTAAATGAAGTACATGTCTGATACTAGAGATTGAACCCAAGGCCTCATGCATGCTCTGGGATACATTCCCGTCTTGAGATAGGGTCTGATTTGCTGAGGATGGCCTTCAACTTGCAATCCTCCTGCCTCAGCCTTCTGAGTAGCTGAGATTATAGGTGAGCACCACTGTAACTAGCTCCTAATTTTTTGAGATTTGAGACAGAGCTTCCCCAAGTTGCCTAGGCTGGCCTCAAACTTGTTATCCTTCTGTCTTAGCCTCCTGAGTAGCAGGGACTACAGGCATGCACTACTGTGCCTGGCCCATAACATCTTTAAGAGTCTTAGCTCTATACTGTCCTACTTTCGGGATTTGTTTGCTTATGATCAGATTCAGGTTACACAGTTTTAGCAAGAATACCTTGAGTGAGTGATTTGTCCCCAGTGCATCACATCAGAAGCAGCTTAGGAGACTGGCTGGTGGCATTATTGGTGATGCCGTCTCATGGTCTTTGTCTTCCTTACTAGACTGTGAGCTCCATGAGACGTACTATTTACCTTTGTGTACACAGGCCTGGCAGAGTGCCAAGCACATGGTAGGCACTTCACTGTCTGAGCACACTTGCTATTTGGGGACACAGAATGAAGCAGCTGGCAGAACAGGGAAAATGGCTGGAGGCAGGGTTAGGACTAGGTCTTGAAAGGCTCACAAGCCACCCTCCCACAAAGGGAATGGCTTACAGGATGCACGATGTCCTCACATTTTAGGAGGCCATTAAAAAGCATGCAGCTACAAGCCCATTTATCCTGTCTTCTAATTTGGCCAGTGTGCTGCCTCCCTACTGTGGTGCAGAAGCCTCCAGTGAGTTCTTAGAGCAGAAAGGCCCTGCTGTGGTTTGAACACCCAGATCCCAAATGGCATTACCCGTGAATTATCTGTGCATGTGTGATCCAGTGAACATTTCCCCTCACTCTGGCTCCAGCTGGAGTGATGTGACTGGAACATTTCACTGCAGGTATCAGCAGTTACTTGGTGGCAGTACCACCTGACTTAAGTGATCTTTGGCAAAAACAACCCTGACACGTTTTTTGCAGTACCACATTTGTAGTACGGACCATAGAAGAAATTTCATGCAGCCTCTTTGGTTCCCTGTTGGGTCCCCAGTGCCCAGTAAGCACTCAGGCTATTTGCAGAATGAATGCAGCTATAAAAATGTATAAGGAGGCACCTTTTGATCCAAGTTGGCAGTTTTCCAAGGTACCTTTTTTTTTTTTTTTTTAAAGGAAGGTACATTGTGAGTATGATTGCTTCCTATTATCAAAAAAAAGGGAATTGGGCTGGGGTTGTGGCTCAGTGGTAGAGTGCTCGCCTAGCATGCTCGAGGCACTGGGTTCGATCCTCGGCACCACATAGATTGTGTCCACCTAAAACGTAAAAATAAAATATAAAAGAAGGGAATAGAGGACTGGGGATAGAGCTCAGCTGGAAGAGTGCTTGCCTCACATGCACAAGGCCCTGGGTTCAATCCCCAGCACCATATACACAAAAAGAAAAAAAAAAAAAAAGAAGGGAATAGGCCTGGAGTAGCTAGGGTGACACAGCAGGAACTGACCACACTGGGCGCCCCAAATGGGAAGCAGGAGTGAGGGTGGACCTAGTTCCAGAGCTGACTGCTGTCCTGCTACCTCACCCCTTAGCCAGATCATCTGCCAGCAGAGGTGTCTCAATCCAGTGCCTCTGCTCAGTGACATTACTTACTGCAGGCCGTTGGTCTTGGCTCCCTTCCTCCTACAAACCAGTTTCAGTAGCAGGAGACATGTCTTACGACACAACTCAGATCTCATCAAGACCCTGCAGTGTATGGGTTATCTCTACATCAACCCCAAGGAGCTAACACAGGGCACTTGGCTGATGTGTGACAAAGGGACACAATGCCACACTGACTTTCCAGGAAGAAAGAGCACCTCCCACCCTCCAAAACTTATATTCTATTTATTTGAAAAGAGATCCTTAGGTAAGTAAGAGATGAAAAACGATTCCCACATGCCAACAGCAGCTAACATATGATCATCCATTAGCTAATGGAAGCGATAAACAATTCTGTGAAGCAAAAAAGTCCTTTCACCATTCATTCCTGGCACTGAGGCGGGGGAGGGAAACTTATTCCAAGTACACTGCTAGAAAAGCCATGTATTTTTGATAGGCATAAATATCAATGATAAATCAGACAAAACTTAATTTTTTTTTTTTTTTTGAGAGAGAGAGAGAGAGAATTTTTTAATATTCATTATTTTTGTTTTCGGCGGACACAACATCTTTGTATGTGGTGCTGAGAATCAAACCCAGGCCGCACTCATGCCAGGCAAGCGTGCTACCGCTTGAGCCACATCCCCAGCCCCAGATAAAACTTTTAAAATATTAGGAAGTTTCAATCTATAAAGGCACTTTATAGACATAACTGAAAAACTGAAGATGAAGAAAAGTGTTGGTTTTATAGATTTATTTTCAAAGGGCAGTACATTTAGAGAATTTAAATACAAGTCCAGGAGAACTGCTCTGTCAAGGTCAGTGACGACACCAGAATGGGTTCTCACTTCCACACACTCCCCAGGATCATCCGAGTCCTCTCTTGGTGAGGAAGAGGGGTCTGGCAATGACAAAGCAAGTTCAGTATTTGTCTCTGGTATATAGTCACCAACTCTTGAATGACATATTGAAGGTGCTAACTCCAGTGTAACTAAATGTTATAGATACTAATATGGTGTTTTAATTTACAATGTTTTTTGATGACTCTGGAGCCTAAGTAACAACAGCTTGCACTTTCGGGGAGACTGCTGCACCAGGCAGCGGGGAAGCAGCACACACTGCCCGCTCTGCCTTCACACAGGCCCAGCAGCCCTGCCCTGCCCTGCCCAAGACCAAGACCAGCAGGCTGAGCACATGGTACAGCTGGGAAAAATCTGGGTTACTGACTCCAAAGTCCATCCTCTTACTCAGGAGGCCACCAGGCCATTTAGATTCCTGGACAGTAGGGCAGGCAAGCCATGGGTGGGCAGTTGATGGAGACAGAGGTCTGTTTCTGGGTTACCTTGCTCAGGGTTTTGTGCATGATTCTTTTTATGAGGATGGCCGACAATCAAGTGAATCCATCCAGGAATGACTGCTCTCAACCTCTTGAGGACAAAAGGTCATCACTAGCATGATGTTTTTTGAATGGCAGGCAAATGAAAGTAGCCTGCTAATTTATTTGTTTGTTTATTTATTTATTTGCAATACTGGGGATTGAACCCAGGGGTGCTCTATCACTAACCTACATCCCCAGCCCTTTTCATCTCAAGACAGGGTCTTGCTAAGTTGCCAAGGCTGGCTTTGAACTTGCGACCCTCCTTCCTTACCCTCCCAGGTCACTGGGACTACAGACATGTGTCACCACACCCAGCAGCAGCCTGCATTTTAAGTGAAAATCTCTGTCAAACATTTCCATCTTTCATTTCTTCTTGAGTCTTGCTTTATTGAAGAACCAGACAAATTCTTTGGGAGGACAACATTTCATAAGTCATTTTTACCTGATACTTTATTCATATACATCCTTCTTATCTGCAATGTAATCAACAATTTCTTGTGGACACATTAACTTTTCTGCATCTATATCAGGAATTTCAAACCCTAAAATGAAAAAAATTAAAATAATGTGTGAATGTAGAAAAAGCAAATCCTTTAGAGCTGAAAGCACCTAAAACTACCAAAATTCTCCAGCAATTTTGAATCCCATTTAAGTTGCGAGCCCGTGAGGTTTTAGACTGTATGCCCACATTGAGTCTAAAGGGGTTTTGTTGTGGTTGTCGTTTTAAGGACAGAATTAGATTAACAGAAAACTCCTCCTCTTCACATATACAACTCAATGATTTTTAGTATATTCACAAGTCTGTAAAGCTATCACTATCATCTAATTCCCCAAGAATTAATCTCATCAATCTAATTTCCTCAGAACATTTTTATCACCCCTAAAATAAAACCAAGTGCCCTTCAGTCAGCAGTCACTTCCCATTAACCCTGCCCCAGCAACTGATCTACTGTCTCATGGATTTGCCCGTCACATTTCACACAGTGGCATCATGCAGTGTGTAGTCCTCTGTATCTGGCTTCCTCCACCTACACTGTCCTCAAGGTTAACTCATGAAGTATTATGTTCTTCACTCCTTTTTATGAATTTTTTTGGTTTTGATAGTTACAATTTACAAAGTGCTCACTTTAGTCCAAATATTATGCAGAGTATTTTATACACAATCTCTAATTCTCACAGCAATCCCAATCTTGAGATGTCTACTATTGTCACCCTCATTTTATAGCCAAGGAAAAAGGCTTTGAGAGATGCAGGTACGAAAGCCCAATCCAGACCCAGTACTCAGCCACTAGCAAATTAGATCATACCTTGAGTCAACCCATGAGGAATTTTAACCAAGGCCTGCTCTGCAGAATGGCACAGAAGTCCCTTTGCTTCCTGAATTGAAGCAACTCAGAAATTAGCAAAGAGCTTTATAAAGGTCTCATTTGTACACAAACAGTCCCCAACAAAGAAAATTTGGACAGTGCATGTAAGGCATTATGAAGACCAAGCCAGAGGGTGTGCGGGGGTGTACGTGTGTCCTCAGCATACCTGTTACTTCTGCCTACCTAGCTGCTGGGTCATCAGCGTCTCTACAAGTGCCCTTCATCTTGGACCTGTCTTAGGAATCTGAGCCCCTCAGCCCCCAGCTTCACACTCGACTCTCAGGCCTGCACTGTCCCTAATATTTACTTCACCTGGGGGTAGGGAAGGATGTATGTGGAGGGGAGGCTACTGTTTTTAGTAGGATTAGATTCTAATACTGATTCAGACTCCTAGCATTTCTTTCAGTTTAATCCACCTAAATGAAGAATCAGAATATGCAGATGCAAGACTAAGCCAGTGCATGTTACCAAATTCGTCTTCCATGGCCATGATAATCTCCACTTGGTCCAAACTGTCTAAGCCCAGGTCTTTCATAAAATGGGAATTTACCGAAAGCTGTAAGAAAGGAACCAAACAAAAAATTGAGTCTGTGAAAGCATTTGCTTCACAAGGTAACAGAGCAATATAATGGCATTTAATCATCATATAGACTTTTTAAAAAATATAGGTGTCTTAATTAGCATTACGTATTTGATCTACAACGGCAAGTACACACTATGCTTAAAGGTACCTTATTCAACTCTGTTTTAAAGTGGTTAACAACATAAAGCAAATGAAGGCACTCACGTTACATTATTTTACTGTGTGTGTATGTGGGGGGATACTGGGGACTGAACGCAGAGTGCTCTACCACTGAGCTACATCCCCAGGCCTTTTTAAGACAATGTCTCACTAAGTTGCCAAGATTCACCTCAAACTATGATCCTCCCACCTCAGCCTCCCAAGTCACTGGGATTACAGGTTGTGCGCCATCACACTCCAGCTTTTTTTGGGGGGGGGCCCACTCTTCTGAATACATCTGAAGGAGTTTGGTTTTCTTGCTGCCTTACTGACAACTAAGACCCTGCACCTTAGATATAGCATTCCCCTTAGCACATGGCTTCAGGCCCAGTGGTGTGCACCCATAATCCCAGAGATTCAGGAAGCTGAGGCAGGAGGATTGCAAATTCAAGGCCAACCTCAACTTAGCAAAACCCTGTCTCAAAAATAAAAAGAGCTGGAGATGTAGCTCAGTGGTAGAGAATCCCTGGGTTCAATCCCCAGTACCATATGCATACACAAAATAAAAAATAGCATACTGAGTGCCTAGAATGTGAAAGGCTAATGCCACAAAAAAAAAAAAAAAAAAAACAAGCTGTGCTCTCACACAAAAGATTTAGTTATTTAAAAATGAATGTATACTACCACTTGTGGCTTTTTTTGGTAGTGGGAGAATTGAATGACAGGGTTTCTCATATGTTAAATGTACCTTCTAGTTCTGATTTCAACCCCAAACCCTCTTGTTTTTAAAAATGGGTGAAAGATACACACAAACACATGGAATATATACTTACATAAGCATTGAATATATCCATAAAGACACAGAAGCTGGTGACACTGGCTGTCTCCCAATGTTAGGGGAGCTGGGTGGCTGGGGACCAGGGAGGCTGTGTACTGAATCTCCTTTCAGGACCTTTGAATTTCACACCATGTGCTTAAATATGCTAAAGAGAGAAATTTAACCCACCATCAATTACCTTTTCTGGATCAATCTTGTCATAGAGTTTCAGGACATATAAAACACGGTCCTTGATTCCCTCTAACGTCAAAGGGGGTGCGTCACTATACTGGCGGCACAATTGTGTAACTCTCCCTGGAACCTAGAGCAAAGGCAGGAAGGAAACACAGTCGTGAACCCAAAATGCCTCTAAATAAATGCACAAGTAAGTCTACAGGTATCTTTCACAAGGCTTTTGGAACCATATAGAACCCACATCATCTGATTCTAATTGTGGCCATGGTACCAAGTCACAATACTGGACAGTCTCAGAAACCCTAGCAGTAAGCAGCATCAAAATGGGCCTGGGGAGGGGGTGGTGGGGGGGGGGGGCTGGGGTTGTGGCTCAGCAGTAGAGCGCTTGCCTAGCACGTGCAAGGATCTGGGTTTAAGCCTCAGCACCACATAAAAATAAATAAATAAAAGGCATTAAAAAAAAAAAAAAAGAGGGGTGTTGTGGCTCAGTGCTTAAGTGCCCCTGGGTTCAATCCGTGGTACAAAAAAATAAAATAAAAGGAAAAAAAATAAAAGGAAAAAAAAAAAATGGGCGTATTTCCCCTCGAAGCCAGGGCTCCTAGGCTCAGCGCTCAGGTTTTGGACGTTCATCACTGTTCAGTGAGACTAACTACCACTAAAATCGTCTAGGGCCTGCAGACAGAGCAGCCTGTTTCCCCAAGGCCTCGCCAACATCCTAGGGCCTCTACAAGGCACTGCAGCTTTAGTAGCCAGGTGTGAATCAAAATAACCCAAGACAGACCTGTCATGGTATACTCAAGATAGTCCCTGTGAACCTACTGAGAAACATAAAAAAAATTAAGAAAAAAATGATATGAAGAGGAATTAATGCTGAAGAAAGGGGGAAAGAGAAGAGGGAGGCCACCAAGTGCCCAGGGCCCAGAAGTAAAGCAAACAGCTGGTGGGTGCTGTCTGTACCCAGCTACCCATGCGACCCACTGGGTGTCAGCATCAACCCAAGCATCACTGGGAAGTGCTTACAGAGGCCAGTTTGGTGCCATGGAATTAAATTAAATTTAGCTGTTTGGGGTTGGGGATGTAGCTCGGTTGGTAGAGTGCTTGTCTTGCATGTACAAGGCCCTGGGTTCAACCCCCAGCACCACTAGTAATAATAACAATAGTAATAATAATAATAAATTTAGCTGTTTGGACTCTGGCAAGTTACTTAGCCTTTGTGTTTCTCAGTTTCTTTACCTGTAAGACGGGGATAAACAACAGTACCGTGCTCACAGGACTGCTGGGAGGCATCAGTGAGGTGAAGGAAAGGGCTCTGACCTCTGCCCGGCGTGTGCAACTCAGTAGGTACAACTTAGGGTTATCTAGAAGGATCTTGAGGACAACCTGCCGCTGTGATGCCTTCGCTGCAGTGATGCCCCCAAAATACTAGATGCTGTTTTTTCCCTTTCAGTCTCCTTACTGATCTTTTTTTTCTTTTGGGGACTGGGGATTGAACCCAGGAGCACTTTACCACTAGCTACATCCCCAGCCCATTTTCTTTTTTCAGACAGGGTCTCAGTAGGTTGTTGAGGCTGGCCTTGAACTTGCAATCCTCCTGCCTGGGATTCATGAGTGGCTGGGATTACAGGCATGCACCACTGTGGCCTGGATTCTTTATTGATTTCCTATCGTTAAATCAGGCTATGGTGCCGTCCTGAGTATTTGACATACAAGATCTCTTTGAGCTCTGACAGTAACCTTATGAGATACTTGGTACTATCACTCCCCATTACAGTTGAGGAAGTTGAGGCAGAGAATGGCTATAATCTTGCCTCAAGTCCAGCCACATGACTTCTTGGAGAGTCTTACTGTTCCTTGTTGCAAGATCTCAGCTTACAGAATGAGCCAACACCTTCCCCAAGACCTACACTTAACAATTATATGCAACAGAAATTGCCTCTCCTTGACATCAGGGAAGGCACTATTTGCAGGAAGAGTAAGTCCTCTGGAGTAGTAACTCAAACTGATCAGTTTCCATCAGGATCCATCTTATTTCACTGGGGTCCTCCCCTACCTGAGGGAAATTCAGAGGAAGCTAAGGAAATGACTATAAATCCCGCTCTACAACCTGCCCCCTGAACAGCTTTCTCCAAGTAGCCCAGACATCTCAAACTCAGCTGTTGAAATAAACTTCATACATGTCTCAAAACTCTGGCTGCAGACCTGCAGCCATCTAGGAGTGTAGCCAGGAACCTGAGGGTCAACCTCCGCTCTTCCCACTCTCACCGTCACATTTATTAAGTCACCCAGCTTGGCAGAGTGGGAGGAAAGGCTCATTCCTTCAACAAACCTTGCTAATTATTCTTTCCCAGTGACCTCAGCATTCTCAATACCTAACTTAACTGTTTGTCCATATCTTTGAATGAACTTAATCAAAACCACTTTGTAAATATAAATACAGTGGTTCCTCTGCTGTGTATGTAAACCAAGAAGAGGCAGTACAAGAGCCTTGCTTATTCAAAATATGGTCTAAGGGCTACCAGCAGCAGAATTCATGAGAATTCCATGGAAATGAAACCCCTCAGGCCCCTTCCCAGCCCCACTGGATCAGAATCTGTATTTTAATCCAGGTGACCTGTATGCCCAGTGAAATTTGAGAATCAAAGCTGTAAGATGAGGATAATCATGTCACATTTTGCCTTATGCTGAAATCTGTCTCAGGACACAAACACTCAGCAACTATACTAGTGACCTTTTAGCCCCCAACTTTAAAATGACATTTACCTTTTGATATAGCCAAGAGGACACTGCCCAATGAATTATTAATCCATTACACTGTCAGCAAATCTCAGCACTAGCTGCACAAAAGAATCACTGATTCTGGATTCTGACTTGGCCTGGGCATCCATATTTTTTATTGTAACATGCAGTCCTGATTGAAACCACTATTACAGGAAGCCCATCAGCTTGAAAAGGGGTTTCTCAACTTGACCTTGGGAGTCTTTAAAGCTGTAATTTTGTTTTGTTTTTTGGTGCTGGGCCTTGTGCATGTGAGGCAAGCACTGTACCACCAACTGAGCTATATCCCCAGCCCTAAAGCAGTAGTTCTTAATCTTGGATGCACTTCAGAGTCATACGAGGAGCTTAAAAACAAAACAGAACTGTCATGTCAGGGTCCCATTCCAGAGAACTAAATCATAAGAGGAGTGAGAGGAGGGTCAAGGGATTTCTTTTTTTCTTTTTTTAGTTACCTAGGTGATCTGAGCGTTCAGCTAGGGCTGAAAACCACTGCCTCGCGTTGCAACCTCACACAGACTTCATCAGATAGGAAAGCTACTTTACCTGTTCGCTATCCTTACTTCCCGAAGGTCAAAAAACAGGTAAACGGTGCCAGTGGGGAAAATTAAGACAGAAATCCAGGAAAAAGAACTACTCTGGAGGAGGCTATAAGCAAGCGGCTGCCTCTCTGCACCCTATCTTTACTCTCCCCCTAGCAAGTGATGGCGGTATTTATCATGGTGACCACAACTAACAGCGACCAGTGTTTTGATGGCTGACCAAACAGGTGCTCTGCCTGCATTATCTCAACTAACCCTCGCTGCCACTCCACGACCCCGCCGTTCAGTCCGGGGCTCGGCGAGGCGAGGAGACCAGTTCCACGGGGGCAGCCGGCGCGGGAACCCGGGTGCGGGGGAGTCTGTGCTCGGCTCCGAAAGCAATCACCAAGTCGCCGGCCTCCCGCAGGGGCCCACCAAACACCGGTCGGCGGCGGGGCTGGGGAGCCAACCAAGGCCCCCCGGGTCACCTGCTTGCAGCTGGCACGGTCCGGATGCCCGCTACCCCCTGACCTCCAGCGACCGGATCCCTGACCCCTGCCAAACCCCGGCAAAGTCACCGCGAGTCACCTGCGTGAGCACTAAGGCCAGCTGTGTAGTCCCGGGCCACGTCCGGTTCCCCGCGGGACACAAAGCGGTGCTGAGCGGCCGGGCCAGGGCGGGTACGGAGACACGAGGCAGCGGCGCGAAGGCCGCAGGCAGGCGGCGGACACAGGAGGAAAGGACACGAGCCGCCATTGCTACGCCGACCCAGGATGCACTGCGCCGCAGCCTCAGGCCCAGATTTTGTCCCCGCTGCGCACAGAGCGGCGCTATCTGGCGCCGCCGGCGGTAGCGGCCCCTAGCGGCCCCTGGCGGCACTGCGCCCTCGAAGCCGCGCAGCCCAGCGGTCCAAGTACTTAGTGCTAATGGCACGTATGCGGTCTTCCCTTGAATGCTAGTCCTTAACGCAAGAAAGGTATTTGGTTTTATTTCTTCTCTGAAAATTCTGAAATACATTTATTTAAAAGTTGTGATGCCACCGTTCTTCCATAGGCATTTAAATTTAATAGTTTGCAACAGTTCAAAAAGTGAGAATCAATTTCAATACATAAATAAGACTAATAATTGTAAGGTATAGGCTACAACAATATACATGTCTTAAAAAGTGCCAGGCAACATCTAAGTAATATTGTTAACAAAATTGGGTAAATTAGCCGGACTTGGGGCCATAGGCCTGTAATCTCAGCAACTCAGGAGGCCAAGGCAGGAGGATCACAAGTTCAAAGCCAGCCTCAGCAACTTAGTGAGGACCTACTCTAAATAAAATATAAAAAGGGATGGGATGTGGCTCAGTAGTTAAGTGCCCCTAGGTTCAATCCCCAGCTGAGAGAGAGAGAGAGAGAGAGAGAGAGAGAGAGAGAGAGAGAGAGAAAGAAAGAAAGAAAGGTAAATTAATCTTAGCTATTCAGGAGACTAAAGTAGAAGGATGGTAAGTTCCAGGTCAGCCTTAGCAACTTAGTGACACCTGTCTCAAAATGAGATAAAAAAGGCTGGGGATGTAGCTCAATGGGACAGTACTTGCCTAGCATGCATAGCAGGCACTTGAGTTCAACCCCCAAAACTGGAAGAAAAAAAGAAAAAGAAAAACCCAAAACAGTTAAGTGGATTTGGGAAGTTTATGCTAATTTGCACATATTTCTCAGCTGGGAGCCTAAGAAATTGATTTAAATTGAAGCACACTGGCATGGTGAACAATCCAAAAATGCCTTTAGTTTTATATGAGTTTCTTTCTTAAAAAATATTTTAAAACTCCAAGTAAAATGAAATATATTATCTTTGAAATAAAATGCATTGTATGAGCCCATTATGATAAAATTATTTGTATTTATTCATTCACTAAAACGTTGAGTCTCTATAATGAGCTTATTATTGAGGCCATAGCAGTGAGCAACCCAGAGAGACAGTCTATTCTCACAGAGTTTTACATTCTGGTATAAAAATAAAGACAATAAACAAAAATATGTAAAAACAATAGCCAAGATATGGAGTCAGTGTTGGTGTCCAGCAACAGACAGGTAAAGAAAATGTGGCATCCATACACAACGGGATATTATTCAACCATAAAAAGGATGAAATCCTGTCCTCTGCAGCAGCCTGGAGGACATCAAGTAAGTGAAATAAGCCAAGCACAAAGTCACAGATGCTCTCGTTCATAGGTGGGAGCTAAAAAAGTAGATTTCATAGAAAGAGAATAGAATAGTGGTCACTAGAGGTAAGGAAGGGGCCAGGGTAAGAAGGACAGAGAGATATTGGATAATAGTTACCAAATACAGTTAAAATAATAAGTTCTAATTATATTTTTACTTTGTGAACCATCTTTCTTAGTCTCCCGGCACCACCATGCCCAGTTTACTGCTCTGCATATTAAGCGATTGGTTTTTTGTTGTTGTTTATTTTTTGGTACAAGGGATTGAACCCAGGGGCGCTTAACCACTGAGCCACATCCCCGGCCCTTTTTATTTTTTATTGTGAGACAGCGTCTTGATCAGTTGCTTAGGGCCTCACTAGTTGCTGAGGCTGGCCTTGAATTTGCCATCCTGCCTCAGCCTATTAAGTTGCTGGGATTACAGGCATGTGCCACCACACCGGGCTTTCTTAAACAATTGGAAGAGCACTTGTATTACGGATTTGGAATAATCGTGAGTAACTAACTGCCCAGGCTCCATTTTAAGTGGCAGTACTCCATTCCTGCTGAAAACTGGCACCAAAAAACTCTGCCTGGAGTTCTATGATCAAGGCCCTGATCTCTTCACAGAACCTATCCAGTATTTCTGTTATGTATCTCAGAAGTGATTTCAAACACTCATGGAGTCTAGTATGTGAATGGAATCTGTTGTGCTGTAATAAGAATGTGGGGCCACGTGTGGTGGTACACACTATAATCCCAGCAACCTGCCAGCCTCAGCAGTTTAGTTCCTAAGCAACTTAGCGAGACCCTGTCTTAAAATAAAAAATAAGAAGGGCTAGGGGTGTGGCTCAGTAGCGAAGTGCTCCTGGGTTCAATTCCCAGGACCAAAAGAAAAAGAAAAAAAAGAATTTGCTGTGTACTCCCCCTGCCCTTGAGAATGTGCAGTCTTCCCATGCTCCGATTTGTGAGAACTTGAAGTGCACTCACCCTTCTTCACGATGTTACATCCCGTGGTATCAGAGCCCACGTGGAAGTGAACGTCAACTCCTGGACTTCAAAGTACACAGGAACCCAGGAGTTCTGACAGACACTGTGAAAACCCAGGCTCTGTGGCAGGCAGAACCTTCAGCTGCTTCTCCCAGTGCCAAGAGCTCAGGCTGGGACAGAACCTGGGGCCTGAAGCCAACCCCTGCCCAGTCCTCTGGCCTCTGGGAAGCTTCTTGTCACATATTTGTGCTGCTTTGCACAGGCCAGTTTTTCCTGAGAACAGCTTGCTTGTATAAAGGTGCACCTTGAACTTCAGTCAGACTTGACTCCCCCACAGGCCTGCTTCCACCCTAGCTGAGCAATTAGACTCTAATTATTTTGGAACACATGATTAATAAATCTCACCTACTAAAGTATATTTCCTGTGAGATTTATTCTCGTTTTTCTCTCTTTTGAAACATATGAACCTAAGAAAAAAATTCTCTTTGTATGGCAGTAGATCACTGTGACTCGTAAAATCATATTTTAATCATCTCCTCATTTTAAGCCTACAGAAGATTTTGTTACATTTAATACTATGGTCAAACATAACAAATCACCTCTTATTTAAATCATATAACTGGGGAGAGCTCCTTTACCCTCCAGCAAATACACGAAGAGAAAATGTCTACATGATCTGTAAAGTAAAATGTCCAACCTTAAGATTGGGATGAGGCCCTTTGTGTTGGGAGACGCTTTAACAAAGAACATCGATGCTTTTCGGCAGCACTTCCATCACAAGATGGATGGGCATAGTGGCACATGCCCGTAACCCCAGAGAATCGGGAGGCCGATGCAGGAAGTTTGAGGCCACTATGGGCAATTTAGTGAGATCCTATTTCAAATTTTAAAAAATAAATAAATAAAAAGGGCTGGGGATATTGCTTAGTGGTAGGTGCTCCTGGGTTCAATCCCTAACACTCCCCCCCCCCCCCCCCCCAAAAAAAAGAAAGGCTGGATGAATGGATGGACAAGCATAAATGCCATCACCCGTCATTCCTCCCTTTTTCTAGCCCATCTGCACTTCTGTCTCATCCCCTCTGTTGTCCCTGAGACCTTGCATCACCAGTCCTCTCTTCATCTTTTTTTTTTTTAAAGAGAGAGAGAGAGAGGGAATTTTAATATTTATTTTTCAGCTTTTGGCGGACACAACATAATTGTTTGTATGTGGTGCTGAGGATCGGACCTGGGCCGCACGCATGCCAGGCGAGAGCGCTACCGCTTGAGCCACATCCCCAGCCCATCTCTTCATCTTTAAACTTTCTTTTATCTGGCTCTTTCCCCTGAGCCCCTGAACACGCTTAAAGTTTCTCCCAGTCTAAAAACAAAGCCAGAGACCAGCATGGTGGCATACTCCTATAATCCCAGTGGCTCAGGAGGCTGAGGCAGGAGGATCATGAGTTCAAAGCCAGCCTCAGCCATTTAGCAAGGCCCTAGGCAACTCAGCAAGACCCTGTCTCTAAATAAAATAGAAAAAAGAGCTGGGGATGTGGCTCAGTGATTAAGTGCCCCTGGGTTCCATCCCCAGCACCAATAAACAAACAAACAAATAAAAACACAGCCTCCTTCACTGATCCTTAACATACCCCCACCTCCTTTCATAGTTGAGCTTCTTTTTTAAAAAAAATATTTATTTTTTAGTTGTAGTTGGAAACAATAGTTTTATTCTATTTTTTTTTTTTAATGTGGTGCTGAGGATGGAACCATTGAGCCTCACCTCCAGCCTCCAATTCACTCTTTTTTAAAAAAATATTTTTTCAGACATTGATGGGCCTTTATTTTGTTCATTTTTTTATATGCGGTGCTAAGAATAGAACCCAGTGCCTCTCACGTGCTAGGCAAGTGCTCTACCACTGAGCCACAACCCAGCTTCTCCAGTTCACTCTTTAATTCACTCAACTGGCTCCTACCTCTGACCTGAATGTTCTGTGAGGCTCACTACTACATCTGAGATGGCCAACACCAACTGATACAGTCTCTTTGGCAATTTATTTCCTGCCTCGTTTTCATGGCTGTACTTCCTCTGCTCATTTAAACGCTGGTTCTGAAAGTCTGTCCTTGACCTACTCTTGACTTTGACTCACTCCAGAGGCTTTAACTCCCGCCTGCCTCCAGCCAGGCCTCTCCTCTGAGATTCACAGTCCTGCATCCAGGTGTCTAGTCGCATTCCTAGTGGATGATCTACAAGCATCTGAATTAATTCTCACCGTCCCTTTTGTCTTTTCATTTTTTGGTACCAGGGATTGAACTCAGGGGCATTCGACCCCTGAGCCACACCCCCAGCCCTATTTTGTATTTTATTTAGAGACAGGGTCTTGCCGAGTTGCTTAGCGCCTCCCCATTGCGGAGACTGGCTTTGAACTCCTGCCTCAACCTCCCGAGCCACTGGGATGACATGCGTGCACCACCTGTGTCTCTATTTCTTCGTCACCCACTAAGCCAGAATTTTAAGACTCCTTCATTTCCCACATAATCAGGCACTCACTTAGTCCGGCCCATTTCTTTTCCCTCCTAAATCTTCCATTCTTTCTGTTTCATTTCTACTGTCTCTACCATAGGTCAATCCTTCCTAGTGTTCCCCTGCCTCCGCTCTTGGCCTCCAAAAAAGTCCATTAGCCACTCTGTAGCTAGAGTAGGACGTCATCTCCTCACTGCTCAGATCTTGAAGTGCAGAACAAAGGGCTGGTTTGTTCACAGTCCTCACAAGGCTGCTGGCTACCTCTGTCGCTTCCTAACTCCATTCTTCACAATGTCATTCTCCGGCAATCCTGATCCCTCCATCCTGTCCTTCTGCCAGGGACACCCTTTATTTCTGCTGTGCCTGATTATCCCACAAGACTCGGCTAAGTTGTCACCCTACTTAGTTTCTTGGTTGTGCCTTTGAGCTTCCATAGCAGTACCTGAAATGTAACAGTACTTGTTGCTTTGTCACAGTCCCCAGCGCTACAGGGAACAGGCCTTACAACACTCGTTTTTACACCTGTAGTGTCAAGTACGTACTGTTCGTTCAGTAGTTACTGGACTGGAATTACTGCTTAGCTTTCCTGTTTTATTTTTTGCAAAACTGGGGACTGAACCTAGGGGTGCTGGACTACTGAACTACAGCCCCAGCCTTTTATTTTTGACTCAGGGTCTCACTAAATAGCTGAGGCTGGCCTCAAAACTTGGCAATCCTCTTGCCTCAGCTTCCCAAATTGCTGGAATTATAGGCATGCCACCTTGTCCAGTTCCATTCATTTTTTCTTAACTCTTTTTTTTGTAGTGTAGAGGACTGAACTCGGGGCCTCCTGTATGCCAGGCAAGTGCTCTACCACTGAGCCACATCCCCAGGCCAGTTTCAGTAACTCTTTTTTTTTTTTTTTTAAATATTTATTTATTTTTTTTTAGCTTTAGGTGGACACAATATCTTTATTCTATTTGTATGTGGTGCTGAGAATCGAACCCAGTGTCCCACGCATGCTAGGCAAGCGTGCTACCACTTGAGCCACATCCCCAGCCCCTCAGTAACTCTTAATTCAAGATAAAATGTTTCTCAGGGGTTCTTGAGTAAATTAAATGCTTTTGAAAAACCATTATCTGATCTGCTAGTGAATGAACTAGAGTTTGGATATGCACAGGAAAGTTGTGTTTTATATAAATGGATCAAAGGGTGTAAATGCAGTAAGAAAAATCACTACAGTGAATATTAAAAATGTCTTTTAAAAAATGTACTCAAAGAATACCAGGTAAATAACTAAAGTAGCTTGAGATAAAATTTCCAATGATACCAACACATTAGCGCCTTAAAAATTTCTGTCAGACCACTTAGGCAAAGGTGAAGGCAGTGAACTTAGGAAAGTTATGTCATTGGCTCAAAAATGACTCTAGAGATAAGGCAGGCACTGGGATTAAGGAACCAGGGATCGGGCTCAGTGGTAGAGTACTTGCCTAGCATGCCTGATGCCCTGGGTTAGATCCCCAGTACTCAAAAAAAAAAAAAAAAAAAAAAAAAAAGGGCATGTGAGAATGAAAAAACAGTATTTCCAAATTAATAGATTTGTATCACTTTTTAGTATATATGTGAAAGTAAAATAATACAAATAGCATAAAAAGTATACTGCATATTAGTATATTCAGTTAAGTGAAATTTACACTCCTTATGCAAACATTATTGGCTAAATATTCTAGCTGTATAGTAACTAGTTCTTGTTTTTGAAAATGAGCTAAATAAAATAGGAAAAAAATATGCCAAGCAGAATTTATCAAAATAAATATTTATTGACATTTGAATTTTTATATACACTTCTTAAAAGCAAATGTGCAAATATTGGGAATACAAAAACTGACCTAAAGCCCTTTCCCCCAAAGTAAGTATAAACAAATATTCAAGATCAGTAGTGCCACCACCAGCAGAATAAAAATAAGTCTCTCTGGATGGACACAAGTAATTATTTTAAACGTCATTCAGATATTCCTTTACAGTTGTACTCCAAAGGGAAAAAAAGAGGCCCACATATCCAGAAAACTGTTATTTCCCTCTTAACTTATATGTAGCGATATATAAATATATTTCCATCTTTTTGTCCGGCCAGTAAGTGAGAATCTGTACCAGACCATTTAACAAAAGACCAATTTTGGTCAGAGATGGGTGGAAGGAGAGCAGTGCAATGACCCAGAAGTAAGTCCCAAATGGCAATTGTCCCAGAAGTCAAGACTGCTGCTGCAAAATGATCTTTCACGTCCCCTTCTAGGAACCTGGTATCAAGCAGAGAAGAGACAATTCAGATTACATGTCAAAAAAGCTTTTTTTTTTTTTTAAAAAAAAAAAAAAAAGCCCCAAACCATGTTCCCTAAAGCCCTAGAGCACCAACCAGAACAATCTCCCTGTGGCTGTGAGTGCCCAACCTGAGAGGACCAGGGGCTCATGTGTGGCACTGCAGTCCCTGCCTGTCCTCAGATTGCACACCAGCCCCCGGAGGCCTTCCTCCCTCTCTCCACACTAGCCAAACCCAGTCCCCTGCAGTGGCTTTGCTCTTACTATTCTCTCGCCTGGGCAGGCTCAATCCCCAGATCTCAGCAAGGCTGGATTCCTGTCATCATCAGGCATGTCACCGCCATAAAAAGGCCATACCCAATGAACCATCTGAAAGAGCCCACATTTATACCCTGTCCCTTCTGTTACATTCTCTGGTTTTATCTTTGTAGCACTTTGCACTGGGTGAGATTATCCTACTGCCATACTTGGTGGGGTGTCTCCCCTACGAAACCATAAGCACCATGAAGCAGAAATCTGGTTGCCTTTTACCAGCCAGCTACCTGGGTTTGGATTCCAAGTTCTAGAATGTAAGAGTTATGTGATCCTGGGCGTAAACTAATTCCATCAGCAAAATAAGGATAATAAGGGCACCTGTTTCATAAGACTGTTGTGAAGTTGAATGAAACAGTTCATATAAAAAGCTTATGGGCTGGGGTTGTGGCTCAGCGGTGGAGCGCTCGCCTAGCACATGCGAGGCCCTGGGTTCGATCCTCAGTACCACATAAAAATAAATAAATAAAGATATTATGTCTAACCAAAAAAATAAAAAAGCTTATAAGGGGGCCTGGGGATCTAGCTCAGTTGGTTGAGTGCTTGCCTCACATGCACAAGGCTCCGGGTTCAATTCCCAGCACCAGCAAAAATAAAAACACTTATTAGTACAATCCATGCCACACAGGAAATGCTCAGTAAAAAATCAGCTTTCAGCTGGGCACAGTGTCGTACGCCTGTAATCCCAGTGGCTCTCAGGAGGACTGCGAGTTCAAAGCCAGCTTCAGCAATGGCGACGAGTTTAGCAACTCAGTGATACCCTGCCTCTAAAATAAATAAATAAAAAGCTTTTATCTGTTATTATCATTCAGTGTCATATCATCAGCACTTTGCAGAGCCGATGCCTATGCAGCCTCAAGGAATATTCTCTGAATGAACAGAATGATATTTATATCCCCTTACTGCTACCCAGCTCTGAATACCTAACCCTTTACTCTTCGGAAGGTCCTCCATCTTTTTGCTCCCGAACAATGTGAGCCCCACATACGGCATCTGGTGCACCTAACAGCAGTCTCTAGTATTTATTTCTAACTTCCACGAGATTGGAAATAAAGGTGCTTTGTTATGCTCTCCTCCAAAATTTATCTGTTGAAATTTAATCATGATACTCGGAGGTGAGGATTTTAGGAGGTGATTAGGCCATCAGGGCAGAGATCACATGAACAGGACGGTGCCCTTATAAAAGAGGTCTCAGAGAAGTTGGCTCATCCCTTCTATCAGATGAAGACACAGTGAAGAAGTGCCATTTATGAATAAGGAAATGGACCTGACCAGATGGAATCTGCCAGTGCCTCGATCTTGGAATTCCCAGCCTCCGGAACTATAAGGAATGAGCTTCTGTTATTTGTAAGCTACCTAGTTTATGGTATTTTGTTATAGCAGCCCGAACAGATACTTCCCACAGGATTGGCATTAAATAGGCTTTCAAAGTTTGCTGAATAAATGAGTTTAAAAATTAACAGGAGATGGGTGCAGTGATGCACGCCTGTAATGCCAGTTACTCAGGAGGCTAAGGCAGGAGGACTGCAAGTTTGAGGTCATCCTTAGCAACTCAGTGAGACCTTGTTTCAAAATAAAATAACAAAAAAAGCTGGGGATGTGGCTTAGTAGTTAAGTGCCCCTGGGTTCAATCCTTGGTAATCCCCCATGCCCCCCCAAAAAAGTGACAAAGGAAATGCTTGACCAAGTAGTTATCTTCATCTTCAGTTTCTAGGGCAATTACTACAGTTCTCTCTTCACACCCAAAACAGCAAGTTCTATGTGTAAACACAAATTGAAGATAATATTTATGATTTTTGCAGGTGGGATACTAGGGATTGAACTCGGAGTGCTCTACCATAGACCTACATTCCCCAACCTCTTTTTATTTATTTTGTGATAGGGTCTTGCTAAGTTGCCAAGACTGGCCTCCAATTTGTAATCCTCCTGCCCCAGTCTCCTGAGTTGCTGGGATTACAATTGTGAGCCACTGCACCTGGCAGTTATGATATTCTTGCTAAAAACATTTGCAGAAGTGCCACAGCTGGCCAAGTGTACATGGACAGAAACTATCTTTTGGAACAAGCAGGTTTGGCACAAGGTCCAAAGAAACAGGCATTAAAACCATCCAGGTTCCTCATCCTTACAAGTTATTAAAGCTAGACTCTACTCTGGATTGACTATATTTTTCCAATCCTTGCTGCTAATTTCACACATCAATAAAGGTAGTCTCCAGGACTTACATGTTCAGATGTTGCTTTGTTGACCTAACAATATCCACTACTTCTAAAGTTTATCAAATCAGAACCCCCCGGGGTGCCAATAACTGTGTCATTAGTGTCAGTCAATACCCACGTGTAGAAATGTTTATCAATAAGTAACAACTGCCTGCACAGTGGAGGCTCAGTCAGATTTCAAAGTGAAGATGTCTTCCTAAAGTGTATTTAAAAGTTCCTTAATTTAGGTCTTAAGGAAAGAACATACACTGTGAGGATTCCATAGAGAATGTGCGATACTCTGTGTATTTAAAACATTTTCCTTACAGAAAAAAACAGGGCTTGAATACACATGTGTTTTTTTGAGGGGTTGGGGTACCAGGGATTGAACTCAGGGGCACTCAAACACTGAGCCATGTCCCCAGCCCTATTCTGTATTTTATTTAGAGACAGGGTCTCACTGAGTTGCTTAGTGCCTCACTTTTGCTGAGGCTGGCTTTGAACTCATGATCCTCCTGCCTCAGCCTCCCAAGCCACTGGGATTACAGATGTGTGCCACCTCGCCCAGACTGAATACACATTAAAAAAAAAAAAAAAAAAAGGCAATCTAAGCTCATACCGATGGGGATCAATGGATATAAGGGAATCTGGGAGTTTGACTCAAATCAACTAACTTCATCCTACTTCTTAACCTTATTATTATAGTATTTCATGTTTTCCATTCATTAAAGTGACACAAAGGTATCTCGTTTTTGTATTTGCAGAGTGCCTTCCAAACTGTCACAACCACAGATCAGCAGTCACAAGCACTTGCCTTCCAGCCTGCCCCTGTGGGAGACAGTACAGCATCACGCCAACATTCAGGGTCGTCTTAGGGTTAATCACAATCAGCTGAAACACAGGGCTGCCCAACGCCTCCCTCTCTTTGGCACAAGAATGACTCAGAACAACAAACAGGAGCCCCTAATTTAAGGAAAAAAAAAATCAATAACCAAATACACCATGAAGAGCATGTTTGGCAGAGATAAAAACCAAAGAATAATAGGAATGATCAACAGGCTCCACAATACCCAGGACTGAACTACTGGCTTCATTTTTTCTTCAGACAGGAATGCTGACATTACCACCAGGCTGGACTTCCAGCTTCTTGAGCACAGGGCTCCCGATATGTGCTTCGGCCAGTCTTGCCAAGCAGGAATCTAACTGACCCATCGACTTCCTCCATGACTACAACATCTCATGCAAATTTCCATTTGCGGAAATGTTGTACAGGGAAGGAGGACACAGAAACACATATAGGGAGTCCTCGAATTACAAATACTCACCTGCAAGTTGTTTTTTGGAAATTCAGAACACATTTTTCCAGAAAAACAACTTAAAAAATATTTTAAATTGTAGATGGACACAATACCTTTATTTTGTTTATTTAGTTTTTATGTGGTGCTGCAGATCGAACTCAGGGCCTCACACATGCTAGGCAAATGCTCTACTATTGAGCTACAACCCCAGCCCCTAAAAACCACCTTTTAAGGGGAGACTAGAGTCTTAGCCCAGACCATAATAGTCTATTTGAAACTCAGACACTATTACTCTCTACTAAGGTAATGAAGAAAAAACTACAAAAGATAAAATAAACAAAAACAACAACAAAAGATACTGTCACGTATGGCTGTTTCTGTGGGAAAATCTCACCCAGTTTTTAAATTACAACTTCTAATAATATTAGTGTGTGTATACATACATACATACAAATATGTATGTATATGTACAGACATATTATACATTCAAAGTTCTCTTTGGGACTAAGGGAAAATTAAACTGTAAGGTAATTTTACGATTAGCATTCATTTTCTACTTTCTGCATTTTTGAATGAATTTTTAAATAAAAATGAATTACCTTTGTATTTAGAAAACTTGAGAATCTTAAAATGTTAAAGGCCACATACTTAATAAAGAGTTAACACACAATGGCCCACAGGCCAATTCTGACCCAACACTTATTTTTCCTGAGGTAAGAATATTTTTCAGTTTGAAATGGTTAATTAGGGCTGGGGATGTGGCTCAAGCGGTGGCGAGCTCGCCTGGCATGCGTGCGGCCCAGGTTCGATCCTTAGCACCATACACAAAAAACAAGGATGTTGTGTCCGCCAAATACTAAAAATAAATATTGAAATTCTCTCTCTTTCTCCCTCTCTCTTAAAAAAAAAAAAAAAGAAATGGTTAATTATATGAAATTTGGATTTCCTTGCTCACAGTTTTATTAGAATACAGACACATCCATTCATATATGTCTAAGGCTGATTTTATGCCATAATAGCAGAGTAGAGAATTACAACAGAGACACTATTTTCAGGGAAGGTGAAAATATTTGCTATGTGGTCCTGGATGGAAAAGTATGCCAAGCCCATCTGTGCTCTCTGGGGATGCAGATAAGTGGTAGAGCACTTGCCTAGCACATGTAAGGCTCTGGGTTCATTTCCAGCCTACTAAACAAACAAACAAATAAAAAGTGAACTATTATTTTTGAAGGTTGGCTTTATGGGGAACTGTTAGTGTCTAACATCTGTTGCTGTTTTTTTTTGTAGTAACAGAGATTGAACCCAGGGGGGCACTCTACCACTGAGCTCCATCCTAGTCCTTTTTATTTTTTATTTTTAGACAGGGTTTCCCTACGTCGTCCAGGTGGCCTCATATTTGCAATCCCCTGCCTCAATTTCCTGAATAGCTGGGAATGTAGAGGTGTGCCACCATGTCAGGCCTACTTAATACATTTATGTTAAATGTTTTAATATCAAGAAAGTATTAATGCTGTAACACAAAAGATATAAATTTATTTAAATGCACAATAGATAAACTCTAGAGACAAATCCAACCTTCTTGCTTCAAGGATGAAAAATGTTAGGCTCAAGATTATGTGACAGGGGCTGGGAATGTGGCTCAAGTGGTGGCGCGCTCGCCTGGCGTGTGTGCGGCCCGGGTTCGATCCTCAGCACCATATACAAACAAAGATGTTGTGTCTGCCGAAAACTAAAAAATAAATATTGAAGTTCTCTCCCTCTCTCTATCTTTAAAAAAAAAAAAAAAGATTATGTGACAGATTTTCTAAGATCACACATCTTTCATGTTTAGAGCGTCTGGGTGCTGATGCTCTCAGAGTCACCACTGATACCCAGTGTCTACACGAGCACTGAGCCTCTGCTTGTGGCTTTAACAGTAGATGCTCATGTGGGTTAGTCCTCACTTGGGGACAACTAACTTCAACCTGTTTGGACATCAAAACTAGACTGTAAGTTAAGTCTATTAACAACGGTAAGTAACTACGTTTGTTTCTATATGAGAACACTTAAGCTCAAGAGAAAAACATGTCTAAGACAATTTAATCATCCTCTCTAAAGGTACTCATTCATATCTCACATCATTTATGGCAATGTGGTCTGGAGTCATATCTCATAATAGGCATATTTTTTAGTCAACAAATTCATAACTGGGAATAAACATTTGCCTATAAGTCATAAAGCTAGGAAATTCAATAAGTAACTACATTGAACCAACACTTATCTTCATTCATAAACATCATGAAAAAACAAACACTGATATCCAGTTTTGGAAAAACTGTCAACAGGGAGGGTCTGCTGGTGAGACCAACAACAGCATGTAAGTCAACACCAAGCGGTCCCAGAGCAGCACTTACCATTTCAGAATAGGCTTTGTGACAGACGGAAGCTTGATAAGAATCGTCAATGTGCATCTTTTTCAGGAGTTGACCAGTTTTTAAATTCCTTAAGACACCAGAAATAAATAAGCTGATCACATTCTTCCAGCAAACTGGTATTCACATAATATTATTTATCACAGCATAAATAAAAGGTGACCAAGGGAAAAACTAAGGGACACAGCACTTCATTTTTGTTTATTCACAGATTTAGCTCAAAGCAGAACTACAGGTTAACTTTGCCAATAGTTTGATAGTTTAGCCTTAGCTAAATAGACCTATTTATCTGCTCCACCACTAGAGATAACTCTCCAAATTCCATGAGAACAGTTTTCCATTATCTCGTTTTACTTGGTATTGAACAGGCATATGGGACAGTACTATGTTTATGATTTTGCTATGCCTAAATTTTCCATGGGGGACAATGGCCAGGAAACCAAACTTGGTTGGGTGAGACTATACCAAAAACAGATCTAGAGTCGATCTCCATTATACGTTTACACTACAGCTAGACCAAGTTAATGAAAAGAGAAGGGAAGACTGAGAGTAAAAAATGGAAGAAGAAAGTAGAGAAGAGGGTGAATACAAGGAAGAAGGACAAAGGGAACATTTGTGGGAACCACGTCCTGGCTTTGTTGAGGATTGTGACTCTGAGCCACGAGATGAAGTCCAAGTTCCTTCACGGCATTTATAACCCTCACGAATCCAGTGCTGTATGCAATACTACACTATTCGCTTCTCCCTTGCCTGAAATTTTACCAAGCTTAGGACACTGTGTATATCTGTGGCTCTAGATCTTTGGTCAAGTTATCTTTCCTCTAAAGGCCAGTTCCCGTCCATTCCCCATTGCAGAGATGATGTCCCAGCTCCTCCAAGATGCAGGAACTCAATTTAGACCCTCTCTCCTCTTATGAGTTCAGTCTTCTCCTCTCATCTAATTCTAGTACTGTCCATATGCCTCATTTTGTATTTAATATATGCTATGATAGGATTTAACATGTTCATTCAACAAATACAGAACTTTCTTTGGTGAGAAACTGTGTTTAAAAACCTGAAGAAAGAAAATTAAAATTTCATGGGCACATGCAAGGTTTTCCTACTAGGAAAACCAGAATACATTCATCCCCTACAAAAGTTGGCATATGCTCTATATTCAGCAATTGCTTTTTCCCCAGATCCCAAAGCATGTTGCCCAAACCTCTATCACTTTGAATGTGTGTGAAGTATAAAAGAATTTCACTGGAATTATACACTGTGAATTGTAAAGGAGTCTTATTTATCTACTAGATTTTAGAAGCCTTGGGGCCAGGATTCAGATGATTCATCTCTACATCCCTCAAAGAGAATGGGACACAAGTAGAGATTCAGTTATCTTTTGATTGTTTGAAAAATGTTGCTCAACAATATAGCTTAATCAAGATAAAATATTAAAATTCTAGCAAGTTACCAAATATGGCCACTCAAATCCCAAGTGTAACATGAATCACTATAGATATCTAACAGATCAGATGTTAAATATGATGCTGGGTGTGGTGGCACATGCCTGTTATCCTAGCACTCAGGAGGCTGAGGCAGGAGGCCTGGGGGTTCAAGGTCAGCTTGGGCAACTTAGTGGGATCCTGTCTCAAAATAAAAAATAAATAAGGACTGAAGATGTAGCTTAGTGGTAAAGTACCCTGGGTTCAATCTCTAATGCCCAAACCCCCTCAAACAAACAAACAAACAGATAGACATTACATAGAGCCCAAAAGGTCAAATGATAGTTTCTTTAGATAATATGATTGATGTCATTTGAGTACTAGCCTAGGCAAGGAACTAGGGAAAGCACTAAGAACAGATGCAAGACATGGCACTTATCTTCAATTGCCAGAAAAAAGAAAAAATATATAATGTAGTAACCAGTAAGTAAAAAACAAGGGCTATATAAATTTAAAGAGGGAAACATCAGTGAAACTGAGATGACAGGAAACTCAAGGCAGCTGTGGGGTGAAGATGTTCCTTAACAGGATATTCTGCAAGGGAAGCCTAGTAAAGAGATCCCTCCCCACTCCCGACCTTTGTGATCTTTTTTTTAAAAAAATATTTATTTTTTTAGTTATCGGTGGACACAACACCTTTGTTTGTATGTGGTGCTGAGGATCGAACCCGGGCCGCACGCATGCCAGGCCAGCGCGCTACCGCTTGAGCCACATCCCCAGCCCCCCTTTGTGATCTATTACAACCCAAACGCCAAAGGTATACTATTAGAAAAAGGGCAGGAAAAAAAGAAGCTAAGGAGTACAGAATACCAGAGAAGACAGTTTTGTAGTAGAGCAACGGGAAGCGGAAGGTGAAGAGAAGTCAACATGGCGGGAGTGTAGCTCAGTGGTAGAGTATTTGCCTAGCATGCACAAGCCCCTGGGTTCAATCCCAAGTACCCTGGAAATAAAGAAAAAAAATGATTTGGTGGTTGAATATTGACCGAAGGCAAGGAGACCAATTATTATATTTAAGTCCTGAATCAAATAATTAAGGTCTGGACTATAGAAACAGGAGAAAGAATAGAAAGACAACTTATAGAAAGAATAATGTCTTCAAATAAGACTGCACACAAACCCTGGGGAATGCACCAGGAGTGGATACTGCTGTTCTAGGTGGCAGGGCCTCTGGAAATGGTGTCTCCTGGACAACTAGAACAATGAAGGCAAATTTCAGAGGCTCTCTAGTGGAGAGAAGACAAAGTTTCTCTCAGTGGCCATGTTTTCTAGTTTATTTCCAGAGGGCTGGGGTCAGATGATACATAACAGATAGGGTAGTGTGACACTAATAACTTCCTCTTACTAAGACCCATTTTAGTCCCAAGGAAACAGTTAACAGACAAGGCTATTGAGCGGGAGAAAAAAAAAGTCAATATATTTTCCTAATAAATTGAACTTATAAGTGCCTATAGCTGGATAGGGCTCTCTCCTGTACTCAGACAATAAGTGGCTGGGTGGTTAGGGACTCTTCCCTATACTAAACTTGTTAATTTGGTTCCTATATGTTATCAAATATGTTATATATGTTTTGTACATCTAGTAATTTTGGATTATATCTTGATACAATATGTTGCAAAAACTCTGGATTCTGTTAGGTTCCTCTGAAAACACTGATTATGTTGTTTGCTTGCTCTAGTAAACAACTAACCTGGCTGAATTTCAAATGCTGAAATTCCAGTTCAGTTCTTTTGGCCTTACTTGGGTTGCTCACAGTCTACCCCGGGCAATGCAGATAAAGGATCAGTCAGGTGGTTAGGTAATAATTGTATTCAGAATTTTGGGTTTCCTCTTTGGTCTCCTTTTTAGGACTTTTCTCCCTCGCTTTCTAGCTGCTGTGGCCACCTGAATTCTGTCCTTTGGTTCTTTAAGTTGGCAGGACAAAATGTTTGCTATTAGGCTTTTCGTCACCCAGAAATCAGGACTGGGGACTGCCCCTGGCTTAAAGCTTTAAGAATAAAAAACTTGTTCTGTGCCATTTCCTCCTTCTAGGTGAGAAATCCATTATCTTTCTTCTTTTTCTTGCTTTCTGGTGTCTTCAGATGGTTGCTTTTATATTTTTTTCTAGAGTTTGTAGTTATTTGAGGTAGGAAAATTCATTTGACAGAAATTACTCAACCATTAAACAGAAGCAAAAACAACTGTACATTTTTACAAAAAAATTCCATTTACTTTAAACTAGTCTACTCTAAATGAATGCAACTCTCTTGGTAAGACAAGCATATAACATCTGACAGTTAAAAAAACCCCACTAACAACAGCCATGTTTATACAGTCTCTTATCTAACCGTCACTGTCCTGTACAATCAGAGGCATACCCCAACTTAATGATGAGAAAACTAGGACCTCAAGGGAAAGCTTACCAGATAACAATGTTGTTCATGATAGTAGTACCAAGCAGAGCTTCCTGCATCCCTTGGACCTCACCAAAAGTAAGTATAGTCTCTTCAGGGGGCATCAAAAACTGTTTTTCTTTGCTTCTGAATTTAAAACAGTATTAAAAATTAGTACTGTACACTAAAGAAGTTTTTTTTTTTTGTACCAGGGATTGAACTTAGGGGCATTACCACTGAGCCACATCCCAGCCCTCTTTTGTATTTTTTAAATTTAGAGACAGGGTCTCACTGAGTTGCTTAGCACCTCACTTTTGCTGCGGCTAACTTTGAACTCCTGATCCTCCTGTCTCAGCCTCCCAAGCCGCTGGGATTACAGGCGTGTGCCACCATGCACGGCAACAAAGCAATTTCTAAGAAGAGCTTCACACATTATTGAATTAACATAATAAAATTTAAGCTAACACTGAAAAAAAAAATTAAGCAGATAACTGTATATTCTAAATTTCCTACAATGAATTCACATTTCTTTCCTATTAGCTACTTGGGATGTTGCAAGTATCTCAATATCATCATTTCCAATATTAAGCTCAAACTTTCTCTTTAAATCTCATTTTTTTTCACATTTTTATCTCAACAACTATACAACCATCTACCCAGATGACCATCCCTGAAACCTGCACATTATTCTTGTCTCCTTCCTCTCAATCTAGTCACTAACCAAGTCTTAGTGACTTTATTGTCTTATTTCTCACAAATTTGTCTGCTTCTTCCCATCTCTACTAAAAATTTTGTAACTTAAGCAAACACTTATTTCTGTTTTGTTTTATTTTGCAGTCCTGGGGATTGAACCCAGGAGTGCTCTACTATTGAGCTACATCACCAGATTGTTTTATTCTTTTGTTTGAGACAGGGTCTCACTACGTTGCTGAGGCCAGCCTTGAACTTACAATCTTCCTGCCTGGGCCTCCTAAGTCACTGGGATTATAGGCATAGGTCACTGAGCCAGCTAATTTTTTGTCTCTTGCCTAGAATAATGCCACAGGTCATGAATAAATAAGACAAATAAGGTCCTTGCCATTTGTTATTAGGAAAGATGAATAATAATAGTGTAACCAGTTGCAGGTACAGCTCAGTGGTAGAGTATACATGCTAAGCATGCACAAGGCCTAGGGGTGGTCAATCCCCAGCATAAAAATAAAATCAAAGGGAAAAAAAAAAAAGAAAGAAAAGAAAAAGTGTAATAAGGATATGGCAAAGAAGATGTCCGAGTTCAGTTTTCTACAGGTTGAATTTGAGATGTCCTCAAGATGTCTAAAAAACAGGCACAAAGGCCTGGAGCTGGAGAAAGAGCACAGAACTGAAAATGGATGTTTCCAAGTAGTCAAGTCAGCATCTGGAAGGTCACTGGAGCACTGGCCACCAAATGTGTGGAATGAGGACTGGGTCCAGGACTTCGAGGTGGTACTCTGGACATGAAACCCAGGGCCTCACACATGCTAGGCAGGCACCTACCACTGAGCTACATCCCCAGCCTGGCTTTGAGGTTCTTCTTCTTATTATTCTTTTTTTGGTACCAGGGATGTTCAGCTACCGAGCCACGTCCCCGGCCCTTTTCACATTGTATTTAGAGACAGGGTCTCGTCGAGTTGCTTAGGGCCTCGCTAAATTGCTGAGGCAGGCTCTGAACTCTCAATTCTCCTGCCTCAGCCTCCCGAGCTGCTGGGATTACAGGCATGCACCACTGAGCCCGGCTGAGGTATTTCTAATACATAAGGGGAACGCAGAGATTTAAAAGAAGTCTGAAGAATAATCAAACTCTATTCACTGATGTTCCCCCCTCTGCTGACTTCTTTCCTGTCATATCTGGCCTCTGCTTTTCTGACTTGCTTCTAGGTGGTAACCTGGCACTGAGACATTCAATACAGAAAAACAGGATCCTAATCATCTCCTTTCTCTGAAACCTGTGAGAAAATGCTTCTCCATCTAATAGTCACAATCAATCAATGCTTTGCTTACCTTCCGTCCTCTGCAAAAGTCATGATTTCCACTTGCTGATCACAAAGGGTCCCACTGCTACTAACGAGCCTCCTCCTTGTCAGGCCAAGCACAGCTTTTATGTTTCCAGATTTGAGTAGTACTTGTTTTTCACTTTCATCCTCAGAGGAACAAAGTAATGCCCTGAGGAAAAATGGGGAGAACCCAGGAGTAAGCCCTCTTTTTTTGGTACTGGGGATTAAACCCAGGGGTGCACCACTGAGCCACATCCCAGTCCTTTTTATTTATTTATTTTTAATTCTTTTTTTAGTTGTAGATGGACACAATACCTTTATTTTATTTTTATGTGGTGCTGAGGATCGAACCCAGTGCCTTCCACATGTGAGTAAGCACACTACCACTGAGCTATAACCCCAGCCCCCTTTTCATCTTTTGAGACAGGGTCTTGCTAAATTGCTGAAGCTGGCTTTGAAGTTGCAATTCACCTGCCTCAGCCTCTGGAGCCGCTGGGATTTCAGGCATGCACCACCATATCCAACAGAATATATACAACATTTGTCTGTATATATTTTAATATTTAATATTAAAGGGCTAAGTGCAAATTTCAAATGGAAATTTCAACCAAGGATGCCATTTGTTGATTTTTAAAATATTTTTTTAGTTGTAGATGGACACAATATCTTTATTTTTATTTGTTTATTTTTATGTGGTGCTGTGGACCAAACCCAGAGCCTCATGCATGTGAGGCAAGTGCTCTACCACTGAGCTACAACCCTAGCCCGATTTTTTTTTTTTTGTAAACAAATCTCTCTTTAAATCTAAATCCAAATTCTTTTTTGAGACTGAAGCCTAGAGCTGGCTATATACCTGTAATTGTAGCCACTCAGGAGACTGAGGCAGGAGGATCCCAGGGTAAGGCCAGCCTGGGCGATATAGCAAGATCCCCATCTCAAAAAACAAGACCAACCAACCAAAACCCTAAGCCTAGGTGATAACCTCCACTCAAAACAAGATGACAGAGACAAAGATAAAGGGAAAAAAAGAAAAAGAAATCACCTTGGGAATTACCTGATTTCTCTGATCTCCAAACTTCCCAAAGCCACACATACAAGATTACAAACGTCGGGCACTGGAACTATTTGTAACACAGGTACCTAAATAAAACAAAGCACACTCAAATTATATTTGGTTGTTTAACTTTAATCTAAATGTTCCAAAATTTATCACATTCTTTTATATTCTCACTATACCAAGACTGTTTCCGACATGTGAACAAATGTGAATAGGTTCAGAAAATATTTTCTTTTTGTAAGTTGTAAACCTATGTATACTATTTGCATAAGTTTAGTTGGCATTTCCTTCAGCGGAAAAAAAAAATTCCTTTTTTTTTTTGAGATAGGTTTTGATGTGTTGCTCAGACTGGCCTTGATCCTTTGAGCTCAAGTGATCCTCCTGTCGCAGCCTTTCCAGTAGTTGGGACTGCAGGCGCACACCAGTGTGCCCACTGAGTTAGCATTTATTTAATGCAATTTATACTTATGATAATGGGAATAATTAAGTAAATTCTAACAAGTGAATAAAGAGAACATTATGCTGCATTTAAAACTATATATTTATCTTAGTTGTTCAAGAAGCTGAGGCAGGAGGACCATTTGAGCCCAAGAGTTCAGGGCTACCCTGGGTAACATAGTGAGACTATCTATTAAAAAAAGAAAATTATGTTTAGGTGCTGGGAGTATAATTCAGTGGTAGAGCATGTGCTTAGCATACAAAAGGCCCTAGGTTCAAGCCCCAGCACCAAAGTAAATAAAAAACTAAATAAAAATGTTTATTCACTGAATAAATATTTATTGAGCATCTCTACTGAGCACAGGGCTAGAAGCTGTGACTACAATGGAAAACAAGAATGAAATATAAACCAGTATGAAGAACACGTTAGCCACAAGGAAAAATGCTTACTTACATGGTAAGGGAGAAAAGACAGATTAAAAAATTTAAAGCACAATAGGATTGCAACCATGAAGCTCTGCATGATAAAGAAAGCAGAAATGATGTTTTGGTGAAGGGCAGGGAACACAGGTTTAAGCCAGTTTAAAAGTCAGAATGGACATGAAATTCAAGCTCCACAAACAGGTCTTGTGTAAAAATTATTTTTTAGATAAACAGGTAATAAAGCACATCTTGATGGCAGAGTCTAGATGGTGGGTACATGGGTGTTCAGTGTACCACTTTTCTGTATGTTTGAAAAAAAAATTTTTTTTGGTACCTGGGATTGAACTGAGGGGCACTCAACCACTGAGTCATATCACAGCCCTATTTTGAATTTTATTTAGAGACAGGGTCCCACTGAATTGCTTAGCGCCTCACTTTTGCTGAGGCTAGCTTTGAATTTGCGATCCTCCTGCCTCAGCCTCCTGAGCCACTGGGATTATAGGTGTGCACCACCATTCCTGGCTGAAAATTTTCATAATAAAATGTTGAAAAAATAAACCAAAATCTTTCTGCTCTGTCACTTCTGGTCAGAGATCCCAATGTTGCCAAGCTGTTCGCTATATTATCACACAAATGACTACTAAGATATCTAAGATTCTTCTTTTTTTGAGGTGCTGGGATTTAAACCCAGGGCCCCATGCATGACATCCCTGAGTTCCAGTTCCATCACTTCTAAGGTTCTGACTTACCTCTGTGAAATGCCAGGTGTAGATTTTTTCCCACTGCCAAGTATCCAGAGGTCTCCAAAGAGAAACTACATATTCACAAGCTGTTATGATACATGGCTCCTTAAAACCAGCTCGTTCCCACCACATGGCACTAACATCCACAGAACAGGAACCAGAAGGATTCTGACCCAGAATGGTAACAACAGTTATGTTAAAGGGATACCTGAGGTCTGTTTTATGAAAAGAATAAATATAAAAAATGACGAATTACAAGGATTAGATGAAGTACCAGGTAGTAAAAAGTTTTATGCACATCAAAAGAAAGAGTTCTGTGGATCTTATTTTAAAATATTGCCTATAGACATGTACATGATGACAGATTTAAAACACGTAACTCCAGGATAGGATAAATTCTTTTTTTTTTTAAGGATCAGTGGTTGACAGGCCTTGGGAGGAAAGAGCACGAGAAGGTAGAGAGTAAGAGAGAGAGAGAGAAGGAGAGAGAGAGAGAGAATTTTTAATATTTATTTTTTAGTTTTTCGGCGGACACAACATCTTTGTACGTGGTGCTGAGGATAGAACCCGGGCCGCATGGATACCAGGCGAGCGTGCTACCGCTTGAGCCACATCCCCAGCCCGGGATAAATTCTTATTTAAGCACAAAAGGATAGTTCATGAGAACTTAATAATTTGGTAACATTCTGGTAAGCCACTCATGAATTGTAGAGGGAGTTACATTGAAATCACATATAATATGCTACCTCTAATTATGATGAAGAAAATACTGTGTATTGAAACCCCCAGAACATTTCCAGGAGAAATTCACAATTGTACACAGATTTATTAAAAATAAGAAAAATAAGGTTAAAAAAAAAAAAAAACGACAAATGAACAGAAGGAAGAAATTTTTATCAAGGATAAAACTGAAATAAGTTAAGGAGAAATGCTAAAAAATATTCAATTAATACTTAATACAGGGGCTGGGGTTGTGGATCAGCAGTAGAGAGCCTGTCTACCGCATGTGAGGCCCGGGGTTTGATCCTCAGCACCACATAAAAATAAATAAATAAAGGTATTGACAACTACAACTAAAAAATAAATATTAAAAAAGAATTACTAGGGCTGGGGATGTGGCTCAAGCGGTGGCGCGCTCGCCTGGCATGCGTGCGGCCCGGGTTCGATCCTCAGCACCACATACAAACAAAGATGTTGTGTCCACCAATAACTAAAAAATAAATAAATTCTCTTTCTCTCTCTCTTTAAAAAAAAAAAAAATGTTCAAAATGAAAAACTGAACAATAAAGACTTAAAAAAAAAGTTCCTGCCTTTAAGTGGCAGGTGTCATTTAAAAAAAAAAAAAAAGATTTACTACAACCACAAACTTTTTTGGAAGACCAACAAAAAGGACAAATCTCTTAAATCTGATGTAAGAAAAAAATACTTTAGAAACAGAACATAGGTACAGTATCTTTTTACGATATTTTTTAGTTGTAGATGAACATAATAACTTTATTTTTATGCTTAGGATCGAACCCAGTGCTTCATGTGTGCTAGGCAAGTACTCTACTACTGAGCTATAACCCCAGCCCATCAGTGGTTCTTAACTGGAGAGATTCTGTACTCCAACCTCTACCTCTAATGCCACTTGTAATGTTTGGAGACATTTTCAGTTATCACACAATAAAGCCAAATTTCACTACATCAAAATCTGGAACTGCTACACATTTCCTTATACATCACCAAAATGATTATCTTAGAAGTATACCATCTGAGTAGGAGAGGTACAACGACTCTTATCTCAGTGTGTCCATCAAAATGCCTGATTTAAATTTAGTCCCTAAGTTGAATTACTTTGCTCTTGGCAGTAGCCTCACATAAACTTTGAGGAAAGCTCAAAATAAAAATACAGGTAAATATTGTAAAAAAAAGAATTCAAAAATTTTTTTTTCCTCTAAATCTCTTATGACTGTCTTTAATAAGAACAAGATGGTATATGGTCAAATTCAATTTTCCTATCAACTCCTTAGATTTTTCACATGTATGTTACAAGACACATAATAACAGAATATTCTTCTGACCTTTAACTTGGAAATCAATTGTAGGCTGCCCGGGTTTAAGCTGTCACAGGTGGGAAGATCTGCTACTTTAGTCTGTGCAAACAAAAGCCACACCATTAATATACACTTTATGTATAAGGTTGGCCTTCACTCATTCATCAAAATATCTATCTCATATATTATTTTCTCTAATAAGAGAAAAGTTCCAAATGCAACTGCTTCATTGATGGCAAAAAACAGGATCCCCTATGTTTAAAAATATATTTTTAAATTAACCTTAATTTCTCCAGAATGAAATGCATGTTCACAATGAAATCATGTTAAAGAAACAAGTTAAAACATTCTTAAACATCAGGAGGCAATGGTGAGGAAGTCATCCTGTCTGTATTCCCTAAGATATTTCATTCTTTCAGAGAAAACTTCACAAAAGAAACACTTGTACCTGTTCAATGGAATGTTTATGCAACTCCAGGCACCTATTTCCACAGAGCTGATTTTCTCTGAAAGTGAATGACTCAGTGGGTAGAGGTGTTGCTTGGAGGCCAGAGTCATGGTCATGGGCAGGCTGTTCTTGCCTACCTGACACATGCAGGCTGGTTCCCAGTTTGGGTGAGCTGGTGGAACTGTCGTACTGCTTACTGTCACTAGCCAGGCTGACTGTGTCTTCCGGGGTAGAAAGCTGGGATGTAGAGCAAGTTTGTCCAATGACCTTGGCAGATGCTTTTTCACAGTACACCTGGGAACCAAGGGCTGGAGTAGTGCCTAACATGGGGAGAGCAGATGAACACAGGTCCACAGGGGGTGTGCTGTTATCGCCAGACGCAGAAGTATTTAAAGGAGTAAAAAGTATCATGGACGAAGAAAGGCCCTTGTTGGTAGGCTGGTGTTTTAGATTTGGTATTTGACGATGTGCTTTTCTTAGTATAGCAATAAGGTCCTCTTCTGAGTCCTCCATTTCGGCATCTATTTGTTTAGGACTCAGTTCCTCCAGAACAACACAATCGTCCTCTTTAAGATACCTCTCCCTGCACATTTTTGATTCCAGAGGCTCAATAAGTTTTTCCGAGCAGGACTTCAATTTTTCAAGCATAAGAGGCCCAAAGTCGTCTTCAGGTAACTGAAAGTCTGTGACATTGAGAAAAGACAACAGTTGCTTTAAACTTAGCATTTCGTTTTTATAAAATGGAACACTGAAAGCATCATCCAAAGCTAAATAAGCGTTATTAATGGAAGAGAGGGAGTCCTCTTTTCGACAATGAACTTCCTTCCCTAAAATAGAAAATTAACCAACAATAGTAACAAAACCCAACAAGAGATATTAATATCTAATAGTGAGTTTTTAAATACTAAATAGTAAAAAATGTTCATTACTTGTCCTACTCATGACTTTGAAACCTGAGTGAAGGGCTTAAAATAATTACAGAGCCGTGAGAAGTGTCACATGCCTTTAATCCCAGCCACGAAGCAGGCTGCAGCAAGTGGATAGCAAGTTCGAGGCCAGCTTGAGCAATGTAGTGAGATTTCTTACAATTACTTTTTTTTTTTCTTTTAAAAGGATTAGGGATGTAGCTTTGAGGTATTGCACTTGCCTACCATATACAAGGTCCTGGGTTCAATCCTGTACCTTCCCCCAGCCAAGATAAGAGGTAGGTGGTTAACTAGCAGCTATCCTTTCGCAGGACCTCACAGTGTGGTACTGACAGTGCTAAACGGGAGATGGAAGAACGGGGTCAAGTCCCAGCTTAACCACTGACCTACTGTGCAGCTGTGGGTAAGTCAATTTATTTTCCCTTTCAAGCAAAAATTTATTTCCCAGCAGCTTGGTAAGCAAGAGGATCACCAGTTTGAGGCCAGCCTTGGCAACTTAGTGAGACCTACCTCAAAATAAATAAAGAGAGAGAGAGAGAGAGAGAGCGAGCTGGGGCTGTAGCTCAGTGGTAAAGCATCTCTGGGTTAAATCCCCAGTAACATTAAAAAAATAAAAACAAAAAATTATTGCTCTTAAAGTATCTGGGGTCATATACTATTCAAAATGTAGCTGCATATAACTGATGAACCAGTACAAACTGTCATACATACGTATAATGTAATATTCAGTTCTTAAAAAAAAAAAAAAAAGAATAAAGTACTGATACATGTTACATTGTCTATGTATTCTGAAAACATCATAAGTGAAAGCTGTTAGACCCAAGGGTCACATAGTAATTCTATTTATATGAAATATCCACAGTAACTAAGTTCACAGAGATAACAGATTGGTAGCTGCTGAGTGTAGAAGCAGGGGGAAAGGTGATAGAAAGCAAATGCTTAATAGGTATGGCATTTCTTTCTGAAGTAATGAAAATATTTTGGAACTAAACAGAAATGGTAGTTGCATAACACTGTAAATGTACTAAATGCTACAGAATAGTTCATTTAATTTAAAAGTTAATTTTAGCTTATGTTAATGTCACCTTCAGAAAAACTTTTCTAAAAAAATGTAGCTGTAGGTTACTAAAATCCCAGTGGAGTATTTTGAAATATAAGAACGAACATTTCTAGATTACTGGCATGCATACTTCTTGATTTTGTTGCATTCTTGTTGACTTCAAAGAAGGAAAAAAAGTCATGATTATTATTTTAAGTTAATTTAGTAAATTACAGCTCACACACTGAAGTCTATGTTCAAAGGTACAGAGCAGCCCGCTGCCTACTTTTGTACAAAAAGTTTTATAGGAACAGTCCCAATTACATATTGCCCACGGCTGCTTTTGCAGGACAGCTGAGTACTTAAGGTGGAAAGAATAAAACTTGGTCTATACAGGGTGTTTGCTAATACCTTACTTAAAGCCACAGCGATAATCCAGGTTTTATGCTCAGTTTATCAGATATGATTAACTCCTGAGAAAATGAATAAAGCTAAAACTACAATATATCCTTGCTTGTTATCCTCTAAAATCTTGTCCTTTTGATTACATGATCACTTCTAATAGTTGTTCAACAGATGCTCACTCTAAAACACACTTCTGTTTATTTCAAAACACTGTCTATATTAGTAGTATGCAACAATAGTAAGAATAACAATAACAATAATAAAACCTTTGATAAACACCAAATTTAATTTCCTTTTCAGTGTTGATTGGCTTTTTCAATCATATGAGTGAACTCTAGTACCACACTGCCAGGTTTCAATCTTGGCACTGTTATTTCAATTAAATTACATTAATTAAAGTTGTTGTCTCCCTGTGCCTTACTTTTTCCTTAACTGAAAATGAAGATAAAAATAGATTCTCCCTTATGTGGGGAAGCTGTGGTGATCCAATGAGCAACCGCACAGCATTCAGAAAAGTGCCAGGCACAGTAATTATCAGCCATCATCATTGTCATCAAACACAACCTAATTTACCTTTAACTCTCTTCTTACCATGAATAATGGCTTTTTCATTCTGCTGCCTGCCCAAGGTGACTTCTTCATTGGATCTGTTAACACCCAATGTGCTGAAAATTGGCCAAATCAGTTCACTATGACCTAGTGCTGGGGTGCAGACTGATTTCCTTTTTCCTCTGTGTCTTCTACCAGATGGCTGCACAAGAGCCCTCCTAGAACAGAGGTTATCTTCGGCAGACCCAGGGGGAGAGCTGATGTGAGCTGGAGAGAGAAGCTCCTGAGGAGGACTTCTTGAGATTGCTTGTCCTGTGCACGTGTCCAAAATCTCATTTTCACTCTGGGCACTATTTTCATTGGAAGGGTTTAAATTTTTAGGTGCTTCCTTACTTTTATTTTTAAGCCCCTTCTTCCTGCCACCCAAGTGATTTTGAATTACAGCTTCCAGGGCTACTTTCTTCTGGCAATCGGACATGCGACGTGTTGTTCTAACATAGTATTCCGCTGGAAACAAAAGGCCTTCAAGCACTGTGCAAGAATGTATTTGATTTTCTGTAGAAACAGAAGGGACTGCTTCCGGGCTAAGACTCTTAGATTGACTTAGAACCTCATTTTCTTGAACATTTTCATTTCTATCATTAAAAGCATTAATGGGAGATTCCTTGGTGTGATTTTGTTCTTTTAAGTTTTGCTTTATCTTTGCTGATAAGTTATTATAAGGGAGTTCACTTGCAGAACATGAATTATCTGCCTCTAATGCAGGACTTCTAGGCAGCTGGCCAGTGGTGCCTGCAGCTTTATTTACTACTGTGCTATCTGGAGAGACAGTCATTTGGTGGCCTTGTACCTCCGGGTTTATGGGTGAAGTAAGGCTAATGTTTTTAAACCCCTGAGTAATGAGTTCACAATTACCTTTAGGAGGTATATGTTCAAGGTACTCATGATTACTGTTATCTGGTATAGTCTGCAAAGGATCTTCAGTGTTACTGGAGAAATTATTTCCTTTAAATGGGGTATCAACTCTTTCTGATTTGGCAGTTGATGGAATTAATATATTCTCTCCATCAATTTCTACAAGTGGTGCTGGAGAATCTGGAATTTCAGACTTACAACTTGAAAGGGAGGGTATTTCAGTTACTGGTGACCTAGGATTTTTGCTACCGATTGCTTCCTGTTTCTTTAGTCTTTTTCCAGAGAGTATGAGTGAATCAGTGTCAAAGAAACATTCGCCCTCCTGTGAGACATGTGCTCTCTTTGGCTGCCTCTTTCTTCTCCCTGGAAGCTTACTCTGCCTTTTCTCACTACCAGGGCCATTTGCCCTGAAGGGACAATGTTCTTGGATGTCAACCATTCCTGAAATACGTAATTGTTCTTCTGGGCCATCTTCAGGGTTAAAAGACTCAGGCTCAGCAGCAAGTGTTATAGGTGTCTTTTCTCCAGTGTTGCCATCCAGACGGGCATTGATTTGTAACTCCGTATAAGGAGATCCTTCATTTTTAGGTTCTAAGGGGAAAAATATATACAAATATTATTTTCCTTTTAAAATGAAACAATATAATTATACTGAAAAGGTGCTTTTTAAAATGGAAAGATTTTTTCTTTATCACAATTATGTTTTCTCTTAATTTAAAAAAAATTCTATTAATTTCTTTTGGTGCTGGGGACTGAACCCAGGGCCTCATGCAGGCACCAGCTGAGCAATGCCCCCAGCCCCTCACCTGTTTTGTGTGCATGTACTTATTTATTGTGAATACTAGGGATTGAAACAAGGACCTTAACACATATTAGGCAAGTGTTTCATCACTGACATATATTCCCAACCCTTCTTTTTCATACATTTAATTGAGACAGAGTTTAACTAAATTGTCTGGGCTAGCCTCAAACTTGTGATCCACCTGCCTCAACTGTCCAAGGAGCAGCAATTACAGGCATATGCCACCAGACCTGGCATCTTCTTTTCTTTTTCTCAAGTAATTTTAACATCACTTTCTCATTTCAAAAGCCCCTAATTTTACAATTAAAAATTACTTGAATTCTGACACCAAAAATGACTAGTTTTTTAGAGTACTTTTAATCTAGACTTTTTTCTCTATGCACATGTACATATATCTTTTTACAAAATCATCTTTATGTTAAACAATATGAAATGTGAGGGGGAAAAAAGAGCAATTAAATAAACAACTATATGTATAGTTTTTTGCTCACAGAATGGGAAACAATACTAGCAAATCATATCTGATAAGAACTTAGGCAGAACCCCTACAGCTCAACAACACAAAGTCAACCTAGGGCTGGGGATGTAGCTCAGTTGGTAGAACATTCACATAGCATACATAAGACTCCAAGTTTAATCCTCAGCACCACAAATAACATAACTTAATTAAAGGTATTAAAAAAATAAAATGAACAAAGAACTTGAATAGACATGCTCCTAAAGAAGATATACATATCACTATAAACACATGGAAAGATGTCTAACATCATTGTCACTAAGAATTCTGTACCTAATAATAAAATATATATATAAACTTATACATGGATATTTATTGCAGAATTATTCATAATAGTCAAAAGTGGTAACAACCCAAATATTCACTAACTGATGAATGGATAAACAAATTGTACATATTCAATGGAATACTAATCAGCTGTTAAAGGAACAAATTATTGACAGAAGCAAGGATACGTGTATGGATGGATGGATGCACACTGAAAACATTACGTAAAAGAAGCCAGATATAAAATCCCACATATCAGGGCTGGGTCTGTGGCTCAGTGGTAGAAATGCATGCATGAGGCACTGGGTTCGATCCTCAGCACCACATAAAAATAAAATAAAGATACTGGGTCCACTTACAACTTAAAAAATAAATATTAAAGAAAAAAAATCCCACATATTGTAAAAATTCCATTTCCATGGAATTTCTGGGGTAGGCAAATTCAGAGACAGAAGTAGATTAGTTCCCAGGGATTGGGACTAGGAAGGAGTAGGGAGGGCTGTCAATGGGTACAGGGTTTCTTTTTGGGGTTATGAAAATGTTCTTGACTTAAGTGATTACAGTTTTCACAGTATTTGTGGATATGTAAAGAACCACTGATTTGTACAATTAAAAGACACTCTACCACTGAAGTACACTCCACCTTGCCTAGCAAATGCAAGGAGGATCTGGGTTTGATCCCTAGCAAAAAAAAAAAAAAAAAAAAAAAAAGGTTAATTTTTATTAAAAAAAAAATCATCCTTCTAATATTTAAACGTGAAATTGGTTTCTCAACATTGAGGAGGGAAAGAAAACTAAATAAACATTTCAACTCAAATATAGTTTATTGCTTGAATTTTATGGTAAAATGTATTGCTTCTTATCTGCTGGCTGTGGAAAAGGATAGCTTAATGTTCCTGGAGAATTATAGTAAAACAAGTATAAATAAGTAGGCTGGATTTACCTGAGTGGTTTAGCTGTGATGAGATTTCCTGCTGGATCGAGCAATCCTGTTCTGCTGTTTTCTTAACAGAATTCTTAACCTTCTCAGCTCTTTGGGCACGCTGGAGAAAACAAAAGCAGCTCAAGAAATACCTTCTTTTTAATACTTCATTACCGTCGAGAACTGTTTTGATATATTTTGTACCACACCTTTATCTGAGAGAATACGATTCACCTACCTGAAGGCGGGCCAGTGTCTTGCTGTATTCCCTTTTCAAGAATGCTAATTTTTCCTTCAACTGGAAGAAGAAAAAACACCAACAATGCTGAGCAGTGGAAAGGTAGAGACACAGAGCCTATCAGACAGGGGTCAGCGGTGCTCAGTGGGGTTTCTCAGCCAGAAGCAGGGAGGGAGTGGGTCTGGCCCACATAAATCTACTCTTAGCTCTCAAAAGCACCAAGCTCTTTACTCTTAGAATCTTTGCACAAACTGTTCCTTTCACCCAGAGCATGTCCCCCTTTTGCCAATTCATCCTAATTCCTTTAAGCCTTAGCTTAGATTTTTACTTTCCTGGGATAGATTAGGCACTCCATTCCTCTCTGTGCTACCCTTATCACAGTATTTACAGTACTCCAAATACAGATTAGGCACTCCATTCCTCTCTGTGCTACCCTTATCACAGTATTTACAGTACCAACTAACTATGTTGTCTTTTTAATTCTGATTCTTTTCTCCCCATTCCCATGAGATTCTTGAAAGTGGCAGGAGCTGTCACCCTATAGTCATTCAACAATCATTCTCTTGTCTGCTAATGGTCCAGGTGTCTCTAGCACCTGGAATATAACTGATACCCACTAGTATCAGTTTTTGATCCAAGTGCTAGAGATAGAGTGGTCAATGCAATTTACACCCAGTGAAGGGTACAGATAATATACAAGAAAACCGATAAGATTTCACATGGTAATAAGTACCTAGATAAACTGGGTGATAAAAATGGTTAGGGAGGCATTACTGAGGAACACCATTTCAACTAATTGACTTGCCCTGATGGAGGAAGTTAGCTTTGGGAAGATCAAGGGGACAGATATTCTGGACAGCAAGAACCACAAATGTGAAAGCTGCATAGTGGGATGGGATAAGTTAATTGAGGAGCACATAGAATGCAGAATTCCCAGGCAGGCACACAGTAGATATTCAACAGAGATGCATTAAATAAAAAAAATAATGAATTGGGCTGAGTCAAATTATCATTCTCTAAAAATCTGGGTTCTCTTTGTCTATCTGGCTTTGGTGGTTCAAAGGATTCTGAGCTGCAAAGCCACATGTCTTTTTTCTGCTTTCTAGGAATCTTAGAAGCACTCATCCTTCCAAGATCATGTAGTTTATAAATGGCACCATTTAAACTTAAGTAGCAGGGCTCTAGTTGATGCACTTAGCTCTCTATGCTACCCTGCTTTGCAACAACCTTATCAAGTGCTGGGAGTTATCTTGTTTACTTGTAAATTATCTTTTCACCTCCACAAGAGGGTAAGAAAACTGATGGGTGATGTGAATGAGTTTAGTACACTTCTAGCACAGTTAGCACGAGATGCAATCAAGTTAACAGCAGCACAAGAACCTGGAAACAAGCTAGAAGCCTCTAAGCAGATTAATATTTAAAGAAACAAGGTCACTTCCAAACTACACCATCCTCACAGAACTTTTTTTTTTTTTTTAAATAAGGTAAGTGAGGGGCTGAGATTGTAGCGCAGTGGTAGAACACTTGCCTAGCACGTGTGAGGCCCTGGGTTCGATCCCCAGCACCATGTAAAACTAAATAAACAAAATAAATGCATTGTGTCCATCTATAACTGAATTTTTTTTTTTAAATAAGGTAAGTGAACATGTCCTAACATGGATATTAAAAATGGGCAAAAACAGAACTTGCAGAACCATTCAGATCATGCACTTATGAACATTCTCCTCCTTAATAAGTACATATGACTTTTTGGTGGCTCCTACCACCACACACACACACACAGATCTGGATGTACACAGGCGTGGGGTGGAGGAAGTCCAGATTCCGTGTGCGCGCAGGGAGGAGGAAGGATGTCCAGGGGGACTCAAGCTTTATCCCCGAAGCTCTGCACTTTGTATTTATGCATTGCTACTGTAATGAAAATTTATCTTGTTTAAACGCCACCACGTGAGCACAAAGCGCCGGCCCTCCACACTCTCACTTCCGGTGCCCCCGCAACCCTAACAGAAGGGTAGGTCGGGGGGAGGCTGCTGCCTCGGACAGGGGAGGAAACCAGACCAGGCCGAAAGTCCTAGGCAGCGGGTCAGAGTCCCGCATCAGCCCTCCCCACGCCCGTGGCACCTTTTCCTTCTCCGCACAGCTGAGGGGCTTCCCGGGAGGCTCTTCCATTGAGCTGGAGGCCGAGCGAAAACAGCAGCCCCGGCCCTGCGGACGCGGGGACCCAGTTGGACCTAGGTCCAGGAGGCACCCCGGGAAGGAATAGGGAGCCGGGATCCCCCTCAGCGCGCGATCAGCTGGCCCACGCGAGCTCAGCGCGCGCCCTCAATTCCGGCCAATAAAAATACACCGCTCGGCCTGCGCATGCGCAACCCGGGATTGCCGAGCAACAGCGCGGGGTCGTCTAGAGGAGAGCCGAGCTGTGGATGAGACCCGAGTCCCCAGGAGAGCGGAAGTGGAGGAGCAGCCGGAAGTAGCCGGAATCTCCGACTGACCGACTGGCTTTGACGCGCTCCGGAGGTGCCCAGAGGCGGTGGCCGCCATGGAGTTGGGCGAGCTTCTCTACAACAAGTCCGAGTACATCGAGACGGTACGCTGTTCGGACATCTGCCCTCCGCTTCCTAAGACTGGGTCCCTTTGAGGCCTGGCGGGCAGTCGCATCCTATCCCTGCCCCACCCACCCTGGGTCTCTTTGGCAGTTCGTCACTTATTACCTAGTGTCGCTTCGGGTGTCATCTGATTCTGTTATTTAGTCTGTGCATGG